TTTTTAGAAAAAGAAATTAAAAAAAAAGCATAAATTCGAGCTGGGGCTTTAAATATGAAAAGTAACGAGTTTATTGTTGACAAATGCTTACTCATTGCTTACAGTTTTTAGGCTTGAAATTCAGCCCATTTATTAATTTTTGGACAACTTACCTATATTTATCATCTTATCAATAACATCATCACTTTAATACAGGTGAAACTATGCTCTCTACAGCCAATCCAATGTACAGTAACAGATCATATTCAGTGAGTCATTTTTAAGCCGGAGAAGTAATCATATTTTATTCACCAAATTTGGTTATTTTATCATTAAAAATAAACAGTCTGACTCTTTCTTTTATTTTAAAAGGGCATAAAAATACCAGAGAAATGAGAGGCGCATTAGCTTAAAAAGTTTAAAATACAACATTTTTTTTTAATACACAAAAATGTTCAACTTAAAGAATTGCATAAAAAGAGAGGATTGACATAAATAAAGAATGGTATACAGTTAAGATAATAGGTAAATGGTAATAAGAATTAAAACAAGGGGGGGGGGATATATATGGGCATATATAAAAAATAGAAAGAATCTACAATACTCCTACACGAGATGACTTTTTACCTGTCATCAAGTTCTTGAAACTCTTCCATAATTTACCAACTTTGGAGGGTTCTTCTGGTATTGTCGTTGCCGCAGCACTAGGTTTCTTTTTAAGTGATTCATCATTATTCTTTTTAAATGAAAATAAAGATGGCTTGCTTGGCTTGTCAATTTTATCTGCTTTTGGTGTTGGACGGAATGAAGATATCACACGAGCAGATATCTTCTTTACTTCAGATTTTATAGTCTTCTTTTTCGGTGGTTCTGGAAGAGGTTTCTGTGCCGCAGGTCGATCGACTCTAGGTGTAGTTAATACATTTGGTTGCTTAACAGAACAAGACGTAGTAGATTCCGCTGGTTTTTTCCAGAAGGCACGACTAGCGAATTCTGAAGCACGTGAGGTAAAAGATTTTTTGGAACTGGGGTTACTTGATAATTTGGTGCAACTACTACTACTAGGATTACTATTTTTCTTTAAAGATGCTCTAGAATCATTGGTCGTTTTGTTCGTCTGAATAGAGCCGATGGTTGTACCAAGCTGACCACGCTTGGGAGATGCAGGTGATACAATGGATGACGATGTCTGTGGCGGTTGTCGCTTTGAGAAGAAGTCCTTTAGTGACTGAACTGTTCCCTTTTTTATCTCTAATCTTTCAAGGGGCGGATCTGTAGTAATAATCGACGTCTGTGTGGTCCTCTGGCTCAGGTTACTCAGGGAATCCGGTAACTGAAAGAGGGATCTTATTGAACGCACGGTGCCTCGTTGTATTGAGCTCAAGACAGAGGATCTTCTACTGTATGAGGAATCTGCATCATGACGACTAATGCTGGTTGTACTTTTTGATTGAATAGATGAAGCTCTATTGATAGACGGTGGCGATACTCGAGCAACATCGCGAGGATCAGCTTCCGCAATAGGTAAGAAATGGTCATCGTTGTGAAACGGAAACGCTAGAGGCCTCGGGCAAGAATAGACTAGATCGGGTTGGCGAGGGGTTTGGTGGTATCTTTTTTTCTTTTTTGGTGGACCAGTAATGTGAGGCTTTTTGTTCTCATCGGTTGTTGTTATAGTTGAAGTTGAAATAGTGGTTGGAGTTGATACAATTGAGCATGTGGGAGTGAACGATGAGGAGGTATATCCGCTATCAGCTCCGGCTGATATTTCAGATTCGAGTGAAGAGCGTTTTTTATGAAGTGTATGCTTTGAGTCTTGCTTTGCAGAGCGAATCAAATATTGTTCATATCTAAGACCAGAAGAATGAAACATCTATAGTTTTCCTTTTAAAAGAAAAAAAGCTTCTTTTTTGTTGTTATGTTCTATAAAAGGCTGTTGCTGCTTCTATGGTTACTTGAGCCTATTTTCAAAAGGAGTGAAAAAAAAAAAAGAAAAATTAAAAAGAAAAAAGAAAAGGAGGTATATGAAAACCATTTTGTTATTTTATTTCTTGTGCCTTGTAACACGAAGCTTATAAAATAGGTTAAAGATGGAATCAATGCATCTGTTATTTACTGGACCGTGATGACTGTATGCTGACTTATTCTGCAATTCTCCTTTCATATGCTCGCTCACTCCTTATTTTTTTCTGCAAGATGATTTGAATTAAGCAGAAACAATATCTATGCATCCATACAAAGTCCGAGCTGGATATTTTTTCTTCTTTTTCGCTATGCCAAATCCAGAGGGCCAGAATTGATTGGATTATCATTGGATCAGGCTATACAACAGTTCTTGTAAATGCTTTTTTTTTTTTAATGAGTATCAAATACCCTTTGATAACTTTGTGTATGCTAAAGTTCAATACTGTTGTTGTTATCTTTGTAGTCACTCTAAAGTGCAAAGATACTAATAAGATTAATCCTAATCATGAATTGAATGCATTAAATTAATAGTGTTTAATTAAGTGGCTTCTACGGTCTTTGAAGTTTACAAATAAACACTTAATTACACCATTTCCGGAAAGAGATGTCGCGCTGACTTGTCGCTTTTCGTATAAATTGTATTATAAAAATTGCAAAAATGCGACTTTACTTTCTGAAAAGACTGTATATGTTGCTCCTATCACAACAGCGGTTACCTTGACTCCGATCTCGATTGTGATGATAGAATTACAATAAAATAAAATTTTTACTTTACGCCTTTCTAAGCCGCACATCGTGGCACGAATGTCTAACTATGACCATGCAAAAGCACAAAACATTGAACCTGTTCAAAACCACGCGAAGCAAGCCTTTAAATATGGCTTACTCAAATACGCTCTACCAATCAAAGCTCTTGAGAATTTCCCCAAATATCAAGTATGACGTCGACCAATGAGGCAAAACAGGAACCATCAATAGGTTATTTGACAAAAAGATTGACCGGAGCAAAAAAAAACAGTCCTTAAAGCTTCCTTTTGACAAGTTGAATAAATCGACAACGAAAGGATCAGAGCCATAAAAGCAAATTCTTTGATCAAGAAACAGTTTAACAAACCTTGCTACGTAAAGCAGTTATCAATAGAGGGTTATGGAAATAGACTTTCAAAAAGAAAGTGACTCAGTTGGAACTTTGCTCTTGACAAAAGAAAAAACTGGCTTATCTTTTAGCTCAAATAATGTTGTTTGTGTATACAATTGATAGATGAAAGCAAAAAATTGACATTAATGAAAATGAAGCCTGCCAAGAAAAGCTTAATGTGGACGCTGCATTCAAAGTCAACTTCAAAGCGATGATTTCTAATGGATAAATGCTGTGTATTCGGGCATCAAACTTTGATGCTTTATTTTAGGTGCCTGAAGAAATCTCGACATGCTTTAAAACAGCATTCGTATGTCTATTGAAGACACTGTTGAAATTACTTTTCTATTTCAAAGTTCTAATGAAGATGTTGTAGTCAAGACGCTTGTTAAATGGTTCATAAAAGTTTATTGTAAGAAATTCAAGAACAGTGAGTAGTATTTCAAAAAGAAAAACTTAAATTCTGCTTACAAGAAGATAAAAAAAGGAGGGGGATGATTTATAAAGAGAAGTACATTTAATGTACGACTGAAGGCTGCTACTCAATATCTCTTGAAAAGTAATACACTCTGCATATGCTTGTTTCCCTCAAAAGTACTCCAATAGACCAGAAGCTTTCCCATCTATTTTCTTTATCTATACCCTGATATAGGCAGATACATGCTGTATACAGCCAATTCAACCACCGAAAGACTCTTTTACACTGTTGTTGTTATTCTAAAGAGAACAAGTGGCTAAATTGGGGAGATCAACAACGTTCAATAACGAATATGCGCAATTGATATGTTGTAAAAAAGTACGCCACGGTAGATTTTTTACTCTGTGACAATCACCACAACACGATGATAATGCCTATGTTCTCAAAATTAATCTCATATGACTTTTGTGTTCTAATTGTTGATTGTCTACAGCTGTCCACATGTGGTTACTTATTATTAAAGAACACACTTTGATCAAATAACCTTACAAAGACAAAAAGAAACTCTATCATATGATTGACGAAGATGTTACACCAACTATCTCACTCATAAGAGTTATGTCAGCGGCGCCCTTGGAATATCGCAGAAGAAACTCCTTCAAAGATCAAGGCAGCTCCAAGAGTATCCTTGCAGACATAAATGAGTTTCGAATGTCAAAGGTATTCTTTTATGAAATGAGGGAGATAAGATCGGTGCTATTTAACGTACTTTTTGAAACTTCATTTACTTTGGTCGGTAACAACTACAAATAGAAATGATTGGAGCAGAAGAAGCTTTCTAATGGCGAACATCCCATAGTATATTAGATTGTAAGTTTGCAATATGCAATAGAACAGAGATACAAATACAAGCTCGATATCTCTTTGGTTATTTGGAGAGAGGTGAAAGAAGGCCCTCAGTATTCATAGGAGAAGCTGCTGTAGAGAACATGGTTCCCTTCAACAGGATTTAGACATTTACGTGCAGGTGTCTAAATCAATTTCAGTATGAAATACTAAAAGAGTATAAAATTTAGGTGGATATGACTGTATATCGTACACATCTTATCAAGTTTAAACTCCACCCCTGCAAAAATAATCACATTTAAAAAGTACCTATTTTTTCCTTTTTCTTTTTTTTTTCATTTGTTTAATCAAACAACAAACACGAGCACGATGGCCGACAAGCATTCAGCAATCCTTGAGGAGATCAAAAAGAACATTGACTCTCTCCATGCCAAGTTTGAAGCTCTTGAAAAAAAGGTTGAAGACAGCTTACCCAAGCAACAACTTCGTATGGTCCTCATGGGCCCTCCTGGTGCCGGTAAGGGAACGCAAGCTCCTGCCATCAAGGAAAAGTTTTGTGTTTGTCATTTGGCTACTGGCGATATGCTCAGAGCTGCTGTTGCTGCCAAAACTCCTCTTGGTTTAGCCGCCAAGAAGATCATGGATGATGGTGGACTCGTCTCTGATGAAATTGTTGTTGGTATGATTCAAGAAAACTTGGATAACAATCCTGAATGTAAGAATGGGTAAAGTATTTATCAATTGATATAAAACGCGAAGACATACTTATAAATGATTAGTTTCATTCTCGATGGTTTCCCTCGTACTGTCGTTCAAGCTGAAAAGTTGGATGAAATGCTTGAAGCCAGAAAGAAGCCTTTAAACTCTGTCGTTGAATTAGTGATTGACGATAACCTTCTTGTCTCCCGTATCACTGGTCGTTTGATTCATCCTACTTCCGGTAGAACTTATCACACAGAATTCAAGTAAGTGACACGTTTGTATATATAAACATAGACTGATCATCGACTAGTCCTCCCAAGGTTCCCATGAAGGATGATGTTACAGGTGAGCCTCTTATCCATCGTTCCGATGATAACGTCGAGTCATTAAAGAAGCGTTTGGATGCTTTCCATAAACAAACCGTTCCTGTTGTTGAATATTACAAAAAGAAGGGTATCTGGTATGGTGTTGATGCTTCTCAATCCCCCAAGGCTGTCTGGGCTTCTCTTGGTGCTATCTTTGACAAGACTCTTTAGATGATGCAGTTTATGTTTGTATTTAGTTTTTTTGTTTTTATGTAAAAGAACTCGTGTTTCTTTGGTTAAATATACGCTTTATTCAGAAATCACATTGCTTACATTTATTGTGTTAAAGGGAGCCAACCATACATACATCATTACTTTTCGGTATACGCTTCGTTTGCTTAAAAAAATGCTTCGTGTGTATTAAAAAGGGGATGTGCTGCAGATTGTACAGTGTTACACATTGATAAAGTATATGGTCCGTATTCTGGAGATGGATCGACTCTGATTAAAGCTATACGCATTCCTTTTACATTATAAAAGTTGGATACAGTCAGTTGCGGCTAGAGATATATTTATATGATAGCCCTAATGTGTACAAAATAAGGGAAACAATGGACAATCCAAATGAATAACAAAGAAAAAAGGCTCAGTTTGAGGCGCATTATGATTATTTGATGTCATGAACCATTTCAATTGGCCCAAGAAGGTACGATAATCCAAACAAGGAAAGAGAGTCAATGGAAGGGGTTTACTTCATAGACTGCGGTTTTCTTTTTTATTATTATTATTATTATTGTTATTATATTTGTGATGTCAAGTAATAATAAAACTAATGAAGACAATGACTTGAACACAACTGTAGATAATGAATTACATGACCTTGGAGTTGATCTTGTTGATCAAAACGAACTAGAAAAGTCACTCATGGAAAAGGTGAAGAAAAAGAAAGGGTGAAATAACAACTTGTATTCAACCTTTATAAGGCTGACAAAGCCATAGCTGAACGAGAGGATGAACTTGATATGAAAAGATTAGAGAAAGCAAGAAAAGAAAAAGCGTGAGTTTATGGCTTTTTAAATAAATAAATACAAGCTTATACATTGTTAGTGCTGCACAGGAGCAACTTGACAAGTTAAAGATAAAGTTGAAAGAAACGGGCACTGTAGATAAACTGATACCCAAGATTAATGAGCATACAAAGAAATTGCGTGAAGCAACAAGAGACGAAAGGGATATTGTGAATCGAATGAAGGATAGAGAGAGACGAAGGATGGCTGTGCCTCCAGCAGTAGCAACAACGAGCGAACGACAGATGGATGAGACTCAGCGAGAATATTTAATTCGAACGGGTAAAATAACGCCATTCTCTAAATTGTCTGAAGATCAGCACAAGGCTACGATAACAGAAGAGCCTGCACTTGCTTTGCCCGGCTCACGATATGCTGAACCTATATCGCATCAGAACCTTCATGCACCTATTCATCAAGCAGAAGACATCAAGCTTGAGCGGCAAAAGAAGAGACAGCGTGAAGAGGATGATGCGTATGAGTTAAGCGAAGAAGAGGAAGAGGATGAAGAGAGAAAACATACAGTTCCAAAATTAGACGAAATTTATGAGGACGATGGGAACGAATCTAATTATAAGCATAGACTTAGAGAATGGATACTGAACAGAACTATGATGAGATACAGAACAACTCATGTAAGGTTTGATGTCTCAAATAATTTGGTTTCTAAAAGCACTTGTAGGAGGAAGCCGCTTCTATGTCTCTTGAAGAGATCAAGGAAAAAACAAGTGGAGAGGAATTGAATGAAGATGAGATATATCAGCCACATCCAGATTTTGAAGATCACGAGCTAGAGGGAGGCTTAAGAGTTCCAGGAGAGCTCTGGAGTTGCCTTTTTGATTATCAAAAGACATGTAAGTCCATTTCAAATACCTAGTACTTGCTAATGTCTTTTTAACAAAAGGTGTACAATGGCTCTGGGAACTGCATCGACAAGAGGTCGGAGGTATACTTGGTGATGAGATGGGTCTGGGAAAGACTATTCAAGCGGTTGCATTCTTGGCAAGCTTACATTATTCAAACATGCTGGGTCCGGGTAAGGCATGTGTTGTCGTATGTCCTGCGACTGTGATGAAACAATGGGTACAGGAATTCCATAGCTGGTGGCCCCCGCTTCGTGTTGCCATCTTGCATTCAAGTGGAAGTGGTGTAAAAACGGGTACTTACACCAGCTCAGAGGATGAAGAAATGGAGGATATGGAAGGTGTGGAAGATGTGAAAGAAGATGACTTTGAGTTTAATAGTCGAGGGAAACTCGTTTTTAAAAAAAAGAAGATAAAAAAGAAAAAGAGTATCTTGGGAACTAAGGCTGGAAGAAGAGTCTCTGCCTTGGTGAAAAAATACATAAAGCTTGGCGGTGTACTTATCACGACATACAGTGGTGTCCAATCATATAGAGAGGTCTTATTGAAGCATCAGTGGGGATATATTGTATTAGACGAAGGTCATAAAATAAGAAACCCTGATTCAGAAACAACGCTGGCTGTTAAGCAATTTAAGGTAATACGTCTTTTTTCTGTATTATGCAGAACTACGCTTAGTTTTTTAGACTCCGCATAGAATCATCCTGTCAGGCACGCCCATTCAAAACAACTTGAAAGAATTATGGTCTTTATTCGATTTCATATTTCCTGGGAGGCTTGGTGTAAGATATATACATATTATTTATTGTTTTATGCTGAGCAAAAAAGTTATAATAGACCCTGCCTATCTTTCAATCACAGTTTTCAGTGCCTATAAGTATAGGTGGATATGCTAATGCAACCAACATTCAGGTGCAAACAGCCTACAAGTGTGCCTGTATGCTACGAGATTTGATCAATCCTTATCTGCTACGACGTATGAAGGTTGATGTAGCTGCTGACTTACCCAAGAAGAATGAACAAGTCTTGTTTTGTAAACTGACAAAGCCACAAAGAGAGGCTTATTTACAATTTATCCATTCAAAAGAAATGGACGCCATCCTCGAGCGCCATCGTCAGGTGCTTTATGGCATAGATATTGTTCGAAAGATTTGTAACCATCCTGACCTGGTTGATCTGACCATCACAGAAGGGAATCCAGATTATGGAAACCCTGAGCGAAGTGGAAAAATGGTTGTCGTGAGAGCATTACTCAAGATGTGGAAGCAGCAGCATCATCGCGTTCTTTTGTTTTGTCAAACACGACAAATGTTAGATATTATGGAGACGATGATCAGGCGTCTGGACTACCGGTACTTGCGTATGGATGGTACAACGCCTGTGAACCAACGTATGGCTCTCGTGAACGAATACAATGATAACAAGCATATCTTTGTATTCCTTTTGACTACCAAAGTAGGCGGATTAGGTCTTAATTTGACAGGAGCAGATCGTGTGATCTTGTTTGATCCTGACTGGGTATGCATTCGGTTTGGCATACTTTTGTTATTATTCACACTATTTGGTATAGAACCCTTCTACTGATGTTCAAGCCAGAGAAAGGGCGTGGCGTTTAGGTCAAAAGAAAGATGTGACGATTTATCGATTGATGACAAGTGGAACAATTGAAGAAAAGATCTATCACAGACAAATTTATAAACAATTCTTGACCAACAAAATATTGAAGGATCCAAAACAGAAGCGGTTCTTTGATGCCAGTAACCTACAGTCTCTTTTTACACTAGCCACAGAAGATAGTACAGAGACCGAAACTGGACGTCTTTTCAAAGGTACTGAAGTAAGCTATAATAAGAAGAAGCAAACGAATCAAGATGACGAGGGCCAGCTAAAGTCATTGGAAGGCGTGAATGCATTAGAGCAATAGTAAGTCCTAGATATGACATGATATGAGTATTAATCCATAAATTAGTGCTGGTGAACATTTTGAGGAAGAAGAGCATAAGAATAGACTAGAACAAGAAGAGGATCATGTGTTGCAAAGTTTATTTGAGATGACAGGAATTCAAAGCGCCTTACAGCATGATCAAATCATAAATTCAGATACTCATGATGCAATGATTGTTGAAAGAGAAGGTTTGTGTGAGAGATCAAATTTTTGATATGCGAACTAACCACTACCTATAGCGAACCTAGTAGCTCAACGCGCAGCAGCTGCATTAAAAGAATCGAGAAGACTCAGACGAGCTATGGATATCGGCACACCTACCTGGACAGGACGATCTGGATCAGCAGGAGCACCAAGATATGTGTTTCAAAAGAGATCAGAAACACCGCCTCCAAGATTTGGTCAAAGCATGAATGATGATACTATGTCCGACACGTCTACCTCGTCATTTGGATCTGGCATAATATCTGGATTTAAAGGATCTGGAAATACAAAACCTTCATCAAGGACACTATTGGCTCGAATCAAAGAAAGAAAAGCGGCGGTCAAAGATGATACTACTACAGAAGGTAAATATTATATATATATATATATACACCAAATATGAGCTCATTCATATGCGTACATAGGTTCTGTACCTGTTACAGTTCTAGATGACGCCACAAGAGAAGGTATGATTGTTAAACTACGTGATTTTTTATCAGAACACGAAGGACGAGCGACATCACAAGAGATTATGGATAATTTGACGCTAAATATAAAAAAGGAGCAAGTGATTATATTTAGAAAGATGCTGCAACAAATTGCAAAATTTGAGAAAAATGAACAAGGCAAAGGTGTTTGGGTACTAAAAGAAGAATTTTACTAAATAGACGCGAAACAATATACGCGCATGCACAAGTACGCGATATAGAGAAATAAACATATTACGTGACTTGAAATGTTTTCCCCCTCCAACGAAGGGCTCGTATTTATAAATTTCATCCGTCTTGCGCTTTATTTCATTCTTTTCCCTTTTTCTCTTTCTTATCTTTTTTTTTTTCTCTGTCTTTTTGGGAACAAAGGCCTTGGTCTATATCAATAGTAAATATAAAAAGAAAATAACTTATTCCAATAGCTTTGTTGAATATAACATTTAGAGCAAATGACACTTGATGAATTCCAACTTGAAGACGATTCATTACTAGAAATCAGTCGTAAACTTTCTAATGTCACCATCGGCAAAATGCCTACTCCTGGAGAAGAGCTGGACAAAAGCGCTGTAAGGGGAGACTCACTTACGACAACGGAGTTTGTCTTTTTCATGCCTGAGTTTCTTTTAATTTTTAACCAGTGATTCTATTACAGTTACCAACAATAAAGTATCTACTGTTCTCTTCAGACTATGATAAGATGAAGCAGTCTGTCAGGGGTATACGCAGGTATCTGGTTCAAGGTATTATGAACTCTGTTGCAATATTCAATACACTGATCCATGTGTATATATAGCAAATAGTGATGAAAGTCATGTAGAGGATATTTTAGCTTTGGGTGTATTGCCTCGTATAAAGGAGCTGATGCAATCTGATAATGGAAATTCACTCAAGTTTGAATGCGCTTGGATTGTGACAAATATAGCTGTAAAGAAATGCCTAGGAATTTTTCATAAAAACTTATTCTCTTTATATCATTCATAGGCAGGCACCACTGCTCATACACAGGCTATTGTTCAAGCTGGATTTATCGATGTTTTACTTGAAATAATCAGTAGCAAAAAGGCTGAAGTCTACCTTAAAGCTCAAGCTGCTTGGGCTTTAGGTAATATTGCTGGTGAATCTCCTGCATACCGTGAGGAATTAATGACAAAAGGGAGTTCAACTGCTATCGTCAATGTGCTGAATGATATTTATGAAGATATTTATGACCTTGCATTAAGAGACGGACGTGGTAGAGGAAGGCTGTATCTATTAGATAATGATTATGATGTTAGTACAGAATCATTGCTATGGTCACTATCCAACATGGCCCGTGGAGGATATCGTACTGCTGATTATTATGAAAATGTATAGATTCATCCATTTTATATTTAAAGTATTAACTCTATTGTAGTATTTGATCATGTTTGATGCTTTTGCAAAATACGTCATGTTTGAAAATCCAAAGCAAGTATTGGAAGCTTGGTAAGTTCAAGTTTACTCCGTCATTTTACATATACGCTCATTTTTCTGCATAGCTGGGGATTATGTCGTGTTTTGTATAATATGCATGAAGTAGGCGCGTTTTATTACAGAGTTGATATTTCAGTTGAATTATGCGAACGCTTAGGAGAACTTATAACGTACATATATCCAAAAAAAATAGGCTTATAAGCCATATCTAATTATTATGACTATAGATCGAGTCCATTAAAAGTGGTGCATGCTGCTATCCGGACAATAGTAAACATATCTAATGGTCCTGACAAACACGCAATGAATTTACTACAACCTCCTGTTCTCTTAAGCTTTATGCAGCTGCTTACACCTCAAACCACAACTGATGTAAGAAAGGACGCTTACTTAGCCCTTTCAAACTTGGTAGCAAGCAATGAAGAGATGATTGATCAAATCATTCAACACAGACCCATTATCGATAATGTCATCAACCATCTTGCTGTACCTGGTCACACTTATACTCATTTCAACTGGGAGCCAACCGTATCCCACGCTTTCTACTCTAGAAGCGAAGAATGGAAAGTGACCAAAGAGGCATTATGGGTTATTCTCAATCTTGTGACGGTTGGAAGTGATTCTGCCATCTATCAGCTTCTTTCTCAACATCCTACTATTCCAGCTACCCTTGCAGCCTTGTTAAACTATATTCGATTACCTACAGATGCATGCGAAAAGACACTGGAATGTATGATCAGTTTAGTACAGAGAACGAATAAGTGTATAGGTGACCAATACCAAAATGGCAAGAACCCCTATGTTCGACAGTTGATCGATGGCCGCGCATCTATAGCATTATCTACTATACAGCAATCGAATTCGACCCCAAAGATATGGGATCTCTGCTCAAAGCTTGACAAATTACTTTATGTATCAGAAGAAAGTGTAAGTCAAGCAGCAGCTATGGTTGATGCTGGAGGGATGGCCAGTGCCTTTGGTCTTCCGTCAATGGTCGAAATTCAATCAAAGAGTCAGAAGCGAAGGGTTATTCGTGGTTTAGATGATGGTGATGTTCGTTTAATTGAAAATGCAGTAAACAACCTTTGCATTTAGCCTCCTCCTTCTTTCTTTCTCTTTTCTTAAAAAAAATAAATATGTAAATTTTTTTCTCTCTCTCTTTCATGTCAAAATCTGTCAACCTTTTGCAGCGATTAGCATTAACCTACAAGGCTTCTCGATTCCCTTGGAAAAAGCATGCTATTGTTGGATATGACTTATCAGGAAACGAATACTGGGACTGTCCAAACCCATTAGGTATAGTCATGTTGAAATGTAACTTATTTTTATAACTAAATCACACAAAGGTGGTAGAATGAAACGTTGGGTGCAAATGAAGAATGTACCTCGAGGCAATTTAACAATATTTGAAGAAAACCAATTACCAGGTACTATAAAACAGACTGATAATAACTTGGCTAACAGTAATGTAGTTCAGTGGCAAGCCTGGCTGAGGCATACACGAGATTATCCTCCAACCATTGAAGAATTAATTCAAGACGAGAAAAGAAAGTCAATAGTAAAAGAACGAGCGAAAGTTTTGGAACAGGAATGGGAACAGGTAATAATAAAAACAAGTACATAAACAAATGATTATTAAACAAAAAAAAGCGAAAACTCCAACTACAGCAAGAAGCAGAAAAGGAGAAGCAACTGTTGGAAGAAAGCAGTCGAAAAGGTAAAAAAAAAAAAGGCTATGAAGCAAAGGAAAACCAACGGTTTATGTTTAATAGAAAAAGATAAAAGTGAAGAACCCAAGTCGACAGAACCTGCTGGACAAGGAGATACATTCACTCCTGGTGAATGGAACCCGACTGTTTCTAAACGATGAAATGTAGACTAAATAATATTGCAACTTATAAATTGTTGATTTTCAAGTGCTTTTCAAAATAAATGAATGATATCATATCTAACAGCATAAGGACAAGGTACCAGATGACTTGAGAGAAAATAAAACCCAGCTATGAGCAAAAGCAAGAAGCCTTTGTCTTTTTATTTTCTATAATCAGCAAAGCCCTGTGTTATGACGATAGCTACCAACTAAAGAGTCGTATCACACCTTATCTCTGAAAGATAACAAGAGAGTCTTTATCATTGTACTAATTTAAGAAATATCCCCTTATTAAATTAGAAAAGCACAAGAAAAGCTCATGCAAAAAGATAAAGTAAAAGCAAGCAAGGACAATTAATAAAAAAAAAATGTATTTATTATGTACGGGAAATGTGGGAATGATTTAAAAGATGTGGAGATGATGATTTGCTGCTATTGTTATTACTGCTATTATTTGGAAATGCTAATGAATATAACGAAGGTATAGCTTCACTTAGAGAAGGGATATTTGTTTTGCATGTATTTTTATTACTGTCATTATTACTACTGCTGCTGCTATTATTTATATTGTTATTGCTTTTACTATGATCCACAATGCCAAGCATCATGAGTGATGCCAGTATACTGCTTTTTTCAGTGCTGTTACTATCATCTTTTTTTACAAGAGAAACGATGGACTCTATTGACTTTAATATTTCGCTTGTCTTTGATATTAGGTCAGTGATTTGATCAAGCTCTCTTTGAAGCTTTTCTCTTCTTGCTTCCAGACCTTGCTTGAATCTTGCAGGATTAAGCAAGATGGTTGATAGAACAGCGGTAAGGGAAGAAAGCATGGTCGAGTTGTCGATTTGTGTAGATAGTTTTAAAAGGGATTCTATAGCAGATACCAGTTCAGGATCATCGTGCGTCTCGCTTTCTTGTTCATGTCTTTGTAAATGTTTATTGTCAGGCTGTGTGTCTTTGTACGTCTGATTAAATATTATTTGCTGCGATGCGCTACTAAACCGTTTTCTTCGTTTTATAACAGTTCTCTTCATCGACACAGGTCTTTGAACGTGGTGCAATTTATAATAGAGTCCACATGCATTACAAATGGTGTTTCCGGAATCATCTCTTCTCCAAAGAGGAGTTGTTACTGTTTGACAGTTGTAACATTTGGTAATAGAAGCAGTCCAATGATGATTGCATTGTCCTTGACAGTTATGTTCAGTCTGCATAATGTATCGTGAGAAATAATGAAAAGAAAGAATAATAAGCTAGAGCTTCCCTTTTTATTAACAAAAAGAAGGGGGAATAGATAAGATATCATGGTTATCATATCCCGAATTCTCCACACACACACATATATATATACAAATATGCATATGTGCACAACTGATAAAAAGTAGTACAATTTTCTGCAAATGATACTGACGCTTATCTCTTATCCTCATACCCTTAAAAACTAGGAATTACTATAAATAGTAACTCTTAGAGGGCGATCATGCCTATGAACTGCTTTTTTTTTTTTTACAAATTACTATTATATACACTTTGCCCATGTTAGTCTCCATAGCAACGCTCAATAATCCCATAACCATTCATTGATGACAGTTGTAAAGAAGTATCAATTTTTTTCTTTTGTCCTACATGAAAATATAACACTATTTTCGCACGCTTGGATAATCATATCTTTCTTTGACTGATAAGGTCAGCATGTAAATTATGTTATTTCTATTGTTACTCATATAATAAACTTGAGCTTTTGATAAAATAAAGATAAGTTTCTCACGACCTTCCCAAAACTGTCTTACAGGTTCTTTTGTATTTGCTTTTTTTTTTCTTTGGCATGGGAGATAACAGATAACTTAGTGTCATTTGCGCTATTTTCTAATTATAAACAATCTTAATTGCTCACAAACAAGAAAAAAAAGAGATATAGAAGCGGATCGTTTATTATGATTGACTGTAGACACTAGTAAGAAGAGATAAGCATAGGCTTTTTTTTCTCTTCTTCTCACAGCAATAGGTCCTTGATGAGTCTTTTGTTGTTTATGTGTATTAAAGATACGGAGTGAGTAATACAGAAGGAAAGAGAAAAGGGCTGTAGTAATTATAAGTCAAGAGCGTTTCTTAAATCAGACTACGTCTATGACGCGGATTTTTTGCCTGAGCAAAAAAAAAAAAGAATAAATGCTGCTGCCTTGTTATTGATCAAGAAGAATTCTGTTTTGTACGCATTCGACCTGAAGGCGATGGCTGGTATGACTATAGAGCAGTCGCTGAAATGATAGAGAAGAATGAAAGCATGTTTCCCAGAGTAAAAGAAAAGATGCTTCATGCATTCAAAAAATACAATAATGTATACCTCGAAAACTCCTGGTTTCAAGACTTGGACCGTTTACAGAAGAATATCGAAGACGGTATTGACTAGACTACAACCACACGATGTTCAAAATACTCTGACGGCAGATTTTTTACATTCCTGAACGTTCGTAAGTAGTAGCGGATACCTACTACGTCCCTGTTTGTACCTACAGCAATAATAGCAACATGGAAACAGTAACGTATCTGCCTATTGATTATACGACAGACAAGACAAAGTAACGCAGTCCGAAGCCATTGGTATTGCAAAACAATATTCATCGAATTTCAGTCAAAGTGGATAGAAAAATCCTGAAGCAATGGCCACATATCTTCTAACGTTTTTTTTTTTTTAGTGGACTAATACATATCTATAATAAAATACAGAAAGCCACTTCTGTTCATAAATCAAGTCGGAGAACAACAAGATGCCCTAAAAGAGAATGCTACTTGACTTGTTGGAAGAATGATCCGCTTTGAGTGTGATCTCTAACGACATCGTCCTATATACCTACTATTTTAAGATGAGCCTCGTCAACCAAGGTATGGCATCTAAAAACACTGATCAAATAATCTATTGGCTGACTTATTGTGAAAGCCTCTTGGCATAACACGGATTAAAGAGCATTTTTATGCATAGAAATGACCTTTAAGACTTATGCCCTGTATCACGCTACATGTACTTTTTTTTCTAAATGCTGTTGTACTTATAAATCCTTGCTATTTCATTTGATCGTCGTAAAATGTTGAGACGAGCAGTTTATAATATCTGAGTATTCTTTTTTTTTGCATCCCTATCGCTTGAAAATTGCTTACCAAGTCTACACTCCAACCGGGACTCATAAGATGGCGAGGACGAGACGTATGTGTGCATACAGTCGTTCCAGCACCAAAAGGCGGGTTTTTTTTAAAAAAAAAAGGACGAGTAGTAAATTTTTCCAAAGGACGGTTTTTGACTTCCTCAAAGGGCGGTTTACATTTTCTCAAAAGTCGGTTTCTTTTCTATTCAAAGCTCTCTTCGTTTTTATTACGAAGACGGCCAAGGTAGAATAGTTGATGAGCAATGAAATGATGCTATGGATTGGGATGAGGAGGTCATCCCATTCCACTTAAAAACTTTGACCCGTATTAGACAGTACTATGAGAAGCAAGGAAATGAACAGTTATCATCTCCTGAGCTTAATCCAATAGAGCAGTTTTGGGCAATTGTCAAAAATAAGGTCAAACGTAGCTCATTCGAAGTTACTGAAGATTTGGCTACTCGGATTACTGAAGCTTATAACTCTGTTCCTCTTAAGCACCTACAAGCATTTGTTCAAAACTCTGTCAATTGGAAAAGTGCTTACGTGATGAGCCGCTATGAATATTATTCATTTTAAGTAGCAGGCAATTTTTTTTATGGAAATAAACCAGTACATTGTCCCAATATGGACGTGGCTGATTAAACCATCACATAAGTTTTCGGCGACTTCATTGGATAACTGAGTTTCTATTGTTTCCAGCCACTACACAAAGTCCCTTAAAAAATTTCTCTTCTCTCTTTATCTTTCTATCAACATCTTCACAAAATAACACGGCATTACCTCTGTCACAGTTGGAAGCGCTTACCTCTACTGGGTAAGGCGTCAATCTGTACTATACACGTAATGTTTTTACGTAGTTGTACTAATGAAGACGTGGTTAATAATAACATTACCTCTGTGATGAAGCGGAAATGCTTACCTCTACTTAGATACATGTATTAGCTCAGTTTTCCCTGCTGATAGAGATCAGCTTGTTAATGCAAACTGTTTTTTTTTGTTTTTTTTGTTTTTTGTTTTTATATCGAAATGAAAATGAAAAGTCAAAGCTTGAATTAGTTATTATCAGTCTTGATATTTAATTATTACTTTCTTGGTTGTCGACATATTACGAATACATTAACTGTGTATTATTTATTTCATTCTAACAAAACAAGGAATTAAAGAAGCTTCTGCTTCAGATGAAGGCAGAGGCTCTGACAGTAGTACATTCTCTAACCTAGACTCCATTTCAAGTTTATTAATCCACACTTGTTGAACAAGGGGTGTCATTCTTTTCATGAACTCTTTGGAATGAATAGGGAAGTAGAATTCATTTATTTTTTCTACAACGCACACTTGCCCTGTGGGATTGCTAAGTTCAAAAAAACTTATTTTCATCCCTAAAATGCATGTATGTTATTATTCAAGGTTAGACTACTACTATCAACTGACGTAAAATATACTTAGTCTTATCAGAAAGAAACATGCCAACGATTTTCAAGTTATGACGTTCGTGAGATGCAGACTTGACGAGGTTCACCAGCATTGACTTCATAATCTTCAGTAACTTAAGTGAGGCATCATTTTTCTCTTTCGTGTTATCAGTTTCTACTTTGCTCACCTCAGCAGCCCAAACTCGTATCTGTTATAAAACACAAGCATGTCCGGAATTTCCCCAGCAGCCTGTCTGGACATCATGGTTGCAGCTGCCAACTTCCTTTTTTTTGTTATTGCCTAATAGGCAGGAGTAACTTGTTTTCTCACTATATTTATTATTTGAATTCATGTTAATTATTGAATAGCATCTGTTACTATACCTGCGCATGGTGAGTTCACTAGCATCATATGCTGTATCTATGAACCCCCCAGACTCGTCTTATTATGTCCCTTTCCTGTTGATCAGTTACAGGAAGGTAGCCTGTCACGAATAGGTCTGCTGCTTGCTGCAGAGTCATTTTTAACCAATATAGGTCCCTACTTTGGTAAGGATTGACTATTAGGTTGTTCAAATGTAAAAAAAAAAAAAAAAAAAAAAAAAAACATCTTTGATATTTGAACTTTGGGAATTTTCTCCAGAAAACTTTTCATACTGTTTGGAAATTGAATGCTTTTTGTAGGCTGTGTGAGTGCTCGTATCTCTTGAAACTCTTTTGGAGAAAAGATATCAACCCAGTGTACATCATCAACATCTAATATTAATGAACATGCAGGGCTAAAAATATGGCTAGAAGGTGATTTAAAAAAGCATCGATATCACACCTACTGTTCATATTTCAATTGTGAAGTGAATTCCTACATAATATTTTCGACATGTCTTCCTGAAGAAAGCTGCCATTTACAATTGAGATCACAGTACATTTTCTTTATGTCTTTTTTCTCAGCAAGGGTGAGCTTGTATCCTAATTTGCTTATACTGCTTGAGCAAAACTGAGTGTCACTTGAGCGTCGCGATTCCATATCACTATACTGGGAAGTACTGGATGAAGTGGATGGTCCCAAACCATCTTTATTTTCAATCAACTTTTTAATTATGAGCCAATTATCATATCTTGTATTAAGTTTAATCTTCATATCTTCTGCCACAGCTTTTACACACCTCAATCATATGCTTCTGAATTGATGTTCGTTATATTTTTCATAATAATCATTGACAATTTCTTTTTTAAATGCTACCACAAATACTGGCCAATATACTACATCATTTTCATTCTTTAATTCAGTAAGGCATTTGGAAATTGCTATACTCAAAGTTAGTATATCACTATAATATTATAATGCACGGATATAATACATACTTTCTTTATATCTAGCATCTTGCGCTGACATTTTGTAACATGTCTAATTCTAGAGTAAAACCCTGTATTGTTGTTCAGTTACTGTTGACAGTAAAGTAATAAAGGCCTCTGTTAATCATTTACTATTTATATGTATATTTTTATATGTGATCCTTTTCCCCTTATCTTTTTTCTTCCCTTCCCCTTACCATACACTCACACGCGTCATAACGTAATGATCATTGTTAGCCATATTTGGAATTGTTACCAAAATGGAAAACAAAACCAATAAACTCTTTTTTTTCTTTTTCTTTTTTCTTTTTCTTCTTCAGTATATAAACAATATGAAGTTGGCCTTATTGTTGGCTTCACTAGGCTTACCCTTGATTGTAATGTCTCTAGATGCACAAAAACCATTTATGGCACCTGATGACCATGGAGCTATATGGTCATTGTGTGGTGATCCTTCCAGCCATCTGTTAGTAGGATATCGAAATGGAGTACATATATCACCAGAGACACCTAGGACAGGAAGTGATATTAGTGTACAAGTACAAGGCAACCTATGTAATTTATCACTTATAAATTATGATACTTTATTTTAAAACACATTCTATAGTAAAAGATGTTACTGGTGGGAAAGTGGATATTGATTTGAGTATTATGTCAATGATTAAGATTAAGAAGCAACTCGACCTCTGCACTGTCTTGGCATCAGATATTATGGGCCATAAATCATGCCCACTTTCTGCTGGTGATCTCGACTTGGATGCAACAGGTTATATACATAGCTATTATCAGTCCATAACTATACAACTAACATGATATCAATAGCATGGATACCTAAAGAATTACCCAAATTACCACTCGATGGTAACATTCGTATCTCTGACCAAGATAATAACACTGTGACATGCATTCATCTTTCCTTTAAACTTCAATGATCATCATTTATTTACAATATACACAATTTTAATAACTCATCTTTGGCTTTTCCTCATTTGAATATCTTTGTTGCACTCCCAACAGGGAACTGATCACTCGTAGCTTATTCTTCATTTTATCTCTCAGGGCAAACAAATCTACATCATGATCATTGTAGTCGGGAAATTGATCAATCAGCCTCTGCAGGCTTTCCAGTTGTTTTAATACTCTGCACATATTGTTATTAAAGGAAGACACTATTTTATCTATTCTTACTTGGATGATATCATATCTGGATGGTCTATTGATAGTTGAGTCCACATGTCTACACAGCCCGCATAAAATCCAATTTCTTTTCCTAAATCAAATGCCTTTTCGCAGCCAAATATACGACCTTCCAACTCGCCTGATTGCTCTCCATCTCTAAATCCGTCGTCAAAGCCATACTCTTGAAACCTATAATGAATGAGTCATGATTGCAAAAAACAATAAAGGAATGTTTACATAGTCTCTAAATAGCATAGTGACTCGAGATCTTGGTTTGGAGGTGGCAACATTCAGTAAAAATAAAGAAAGAAAGAAAAGACGAAAAAAAAAAAAAAAGTCATGCATTAATAATAACATTTATTTTTCCTTCTTTTGTTCTTCTCCTCCGCCTGTCGTCGGAAGACCGACATAGACCTTGAATGTATCATAGAACAACCATTGCAAGCCTGTTAATGTACCAATCATTACTATACGAGGACCTAATCCTGTCCATAGTCCCTTCCAGCCTAACTGTTTAGCAACGTCCATGGCAGTGACTTGCTTTTGTCCTGCTTCAGTCTTGGGGAGATTATTCAACTTGGATACGAGCACATCGGCTGGATGCGACACTAGGGCACAAAAGACACCAGCGATATAGCCACCTGAAAAACTAACACCAAGCTATCATTCAAATGTAAGAATGTATAAGGAGCTCTTTTTATTTGAATTACCTGCTGAAGCTTGTTGTATTCTGACTTGGGCTTGGGTAAGAACGTTTTATAAAGGAACTCGACAGTCCTTTCAAAGGATGCAAATTTAACCATAGTATAAGGTACCTTTACAAGTAATTGTTATAAAACACGACAATTCCCATAGACACGTTCATTACCTGACGACACCAAAGAGGGACAATACCCTTGTAGAACCCAAGATATCCCTCAGTACTTATGATCTTTTTAAATCCTTCCCCTGTTGTTTTCGCAAAGGGTGGAACGGTTGTTTGCATCTTTACTTTTAGTGCTTCCATAGGACATAAAAGAATATCAGCAAAGAATTCAGCAGAGGCGGAAGCGCCAAGGTATAACAGAGTACGATATTTGTGAGCATTTTCTTCTCCAACAAGATTTGCATATCTATACTTGAAAACTTCATAAAGACCGTATTTACCGGCGCCTTGGAGTGAATAACCAATGGCAGTAGGGCCCACGCCGGTGAATACACCACCGATGCCTTCATTCTTGGCAATCGTTTTCCAACCATCAAATACACTCTTGTACAAGCCAGGTTTTACCTTTCTATATGTTAATTTTTGTTCTGTTACTGCTTTATCACACTTACTTGGTTACGACACTTGACCAAGTCTAAGGGAGTCACAAACGAATGAGTTGGCCTATGTTTATAAGCATGAGTGTAAACATAAAAAAAAAGAAAAAGTATAATGTACCCGCAAGCAAGTATGCCGCCAAGTGTACAAGCCAAGAAGTAGTTTGTGGAATAAAGCTCGATAGTCATTTAGATGATAAAGAAAAGAAAACAAAGGCAGATGACATGTTTTATATTTGGGTGATATCATGACTTCATAACGTTTTAGATGATTCATAAACCTGCAATTTTTTTTTTTACCCTCGTCCGGAAAAAGATTTGCAGTAAGCCTACAAGACCCGATAGGCTTACACAAGTTCAAAGTGAAGCTCTCAGTACTCTTTATTATCCTATGTGTATTTAGTGTAGACATCTAGCGCCTATAGATATACACATGAAATAATAATAGAAGAGCAGTTTATTTTATAGAGCCTGAAAATAAAAGCGCATGGTTTGAGAGCCATTTTATCTTCAATCACCAACTTTATCTTTGGTGCATTAAAGTCTCCTTGAGTTGCATGTAACACACATCTATTGCACCACTCCGCAATTTCCCGTTTAGTACCTTGGTTAAGTATTCTTCAGCATTACATCATGTAGAATATATCCTTTAAAAATGGAAGCTTTATCAATAGTTTATTACGTGATATAAAATTGGGATACGGCTTTTAAATTATAAGCTTCATGATAGGGGATGTTGCAAACTTGAAGTTTAATAGTGTATATGTATATACCATTCTTCGTAATCTCACAGTGAGGCTCAGTTGCTTTAAAGAATTGATACCAAGGTAAATTGAGTCATATCACTGACTGAATTGACAAACTACAAGTTGTGTCTCACAAAGTCGGAGAGATTCTTTGTAAGATTTATCATCCTTCACATTTGTGAGAATGCCTCCCTACTCGAATAGTATTTATAAAGATCGATCTCAGTATGATAGCTCAAGAGCACAGACTTTTAATTTGGATGTCCACGACATACTTTATTCTATGATCTTATTTCGAAGCTACATAAACTACATTTCTTGGTGATGCTACTTGATCAAACAGTGGATATGCCCATACTCCCTTATGTTGACTATTCTCCAATGAACTGACAGATTCTTCAAGGTATAGCCATCTATCCACAAGGATAATGCTTTCAACAATAGATGCTAACAAAGCTCTCAAAGTCCAAAGGGTAACAAACTGTTTATCAGCCTGCTTTTCTTTTGCCTTTAGGTAATGATCTCTTGCTTCTTGCTCTGTGATTGTATCGGGTGGTAATTTCAGTCTTTTTAATGATGCTGCTACAAATGAAGTAAACTCTTTGTTTTGTTTGATTCTCCCAAGGATAGGCGGGTCATTGATATCAGATAATTCTCTCTCGACAAGCATCTCCTATAGAAATAGTGAATAGAATGTATTTATGAATCGTCAAAGATGACATGCCTGAAGTAAAGCGCGGAAAAAGTAATTATCAAATGCTTCTATACATGGTTCTCCTTCTAACCAACGAGAGGGAGAATGACAGGCGAGCACACGAGCAGTCGATTTCAACTCCATCTTTTTCTCTCTAAGCAAGCTGCTCATAGGGAAACCAGAAGATGTCAGTGCATTATAACAACAGCCTACGTTGACCATGCAAGAAATCTTGTCACTTTCTGTAAATAAACGAAAGATGGTAGGTGATAGATCTCCACATGTATGTAGGCCGGTCACTAACCACTTTTTGTTACCATCTAATCCAGTGCTGGCAAGTACCTGAGATACATTTTCTGGAGTTACCTTTTCAGTAACATGTTTTATAGACATCTCACTCTTGTCTCGTGCTTGCTTTTTTGCCTTTTCATCAAATCGAATAGCGCCCTTTGTCTGTATCTCGGACATGTCAACAGCTACTACGTCAAATCCATGATCGAAAGCCAATGCACGAGATAGATAGCCTTGTCCAGAACCAAGATCGATAACGGATGTGATGCCCCTTTCGTTTGCTACTTGTTTGATTAGCTGCCCCATCAGCTCTACCTCATGAATCTTTTTATCGCTCATTCCTCCCAAGATCTGTTTACTGATATTTGCTTGATCGTTTTGAAAAGGTTCTTCATCTAAGTGCAAGACATCAATATTCAACATCTTTTTTCTTTCTACTTTTATATATACTTCTAGGTAACGATAGATCTCTTGTCTTTTCTATATAATTTCTTAGAGATTCTGGCCAAATGGACTATTGAATTGTTGGGCGTCATTGACAAGAAGACATGGTTTTACACTTTACATAATCGTTTGTATTCAAAATAGATTCTAATAAAGCTTTTGCCCAGTTATCTCCAGCTTGTTCCATAAATAACATTAATGCATTTCTCCATTCTACATCAAACTGATCCCATTGACGATGTGTAATGAAATTAAAGGGCAAGACATGGATCAACCAAAAATACTCGTTGTAAAACTCCAAGAGATCGTCCAGGTATGCTTGAACTGATTTATTCTTGTATTTTTCAGGCAGACGAATATAAAAAGAGCTCATTACAGAAAAAGAAAAAAAGAAAAAGAGGGCATCCGCACAATTAAATAAAAAAAAAGTCCCATTTCTAAACCGACACTCTCGATTCTTATCCTTGGTTTATAAATTGTTATGGTAACGATCCAATTGAGAAATAAAAAAAAAAGAATATGTTTATTATCTATTTTACCACTTGATCTTTTCAGGAAAGAACTCACGAATCAACTCTTGGTAAAATGGTTTCAAGGCTTCAACATCCGGTTCATCCTCTGCCTTAGAATAAAGGTCATATTGATTAAATACTTTGACCCACTTCATCATCTCCACGTCGTACTGATTCAGTAACCATGAATACTGTCCCTCTGTGTGACAAGGGTAGAATGAATGATAACGAATAACATAAGAGGCTTCAGGGGGTAAATAGTCCTTGGTAACGTGATAGAGGTATTCATCATGACCGTAACTCATATGCACTTGATCCAAGCCACAGTGAGGAGAGTAGATACCATGCAGAGTGGAATACTCTTGACGGAAATAGTCAGGGTTCTTCTCAAAGTATTTGGAATAAACAATTTTCTCCGAGAATTTACAGCCAACGGGAAAGGTGTCCCCCACAACCTATTTTGGATTTGTTAGATAAAAACTAAATAATAAAGCGAGAGACTTACTGTCCACTGTGGTTCGCCAAGGAAGAATAAGTATTTGCCAAGATCATGAATCAAGCAAGTCAATATCATCCATCTCGGCTGGTTATCTTTTCTTGCGGCTTCGGCCGATTGAAGAGCATGCATGATTTGTGGCATTTGGGTATCAGGATCAGACTCATCCACCAATGTGTTCATTAGTTCAAGGGCCTCCCAGATACTCATTTCACCATGTGTTAAGCTTTCATACATTTTCTTCTTGTCCAATACATGCTCCAAGGTTTGCCTTTCATGATTTTCCTTGTAGAAATTTTCTACAGTGGGCTGTACCTTACTTGCAAGTTGATAATCACGGAAGTCACTTGTCTCTTTACTTGAATGGTTGTGTCCATACTTTTGTTTGATGAACGTCTCCCAGGCCTCAGTTACTTTGACCGCCTCTGACAGGTTTCTCATTGATATATATGTAAAAGAGAAAAAGAAAGAAAGAAGAGAGAGAAAAAGATAGATTTGTATCTTTTTATAGTCCCACTTTCAGTTTTTTCCCACCTTTTATTTGTTCTGGAGTCTAAGCAGAATATATATTTAGACATGTATTATAGTGAATCACCACCCTTTTATGATTGGTGCAGAAAATAGAGTAGCATGCATATTTGTGCGTCTATTGGGGAGTTTCGGACTCTTTTAACATATTTTTTTGATTTGCGTGTCCTTACTTTTTTAATCTTTAACAGTAACAACGCGACCAAAAAGTCACTATCCATCAACGCCTATTTTTGAAAAGCGTAGCATTTTCGATAGTTAACCCACTAATAATAGTCATCTTATCGCTGTGAAGCTATTCTAAAGATAAACAGTACGACGCGATGTTGTTTAGGTACTAAAATAGCACACCTGTATAGTAAATAACGTGATGACGTTCACTTTTAAAAGTATATTGACTTTACAATTATAATAAGAACTGTACGAAATTCACTGATTCATATAGACGAATCGAAGATTAAGCTGTATGACCATGGAAACGTAAGATATGTTATTCACAGTAAAGTTAGCTCACTTGACAAACTTACTTTAGCATAGGGACACTGACAGTAATCTTCTTTTGAAAATATGAATCAATGCAGACTGACTGGATCTATTAGCAAGATCAACCGTAAGAATTCAACTTCACAAGCAGATCTTACGTTCAGTTTTCCTCGCACAAATTGGGTTTCATCGAAATAAGTCTTATTAACCCTATGACCCGAAAGCGACAATGGAACTTAATGAAGGGGACATTACAGTACCTATAATGATGCAATTAGTTGATACAGCAATGCAAGGTAGTTCTTACTAGCTGCAATCATCTTCAACAGTAAGGAAAGCTAACCAGGACAATATTAGCCCTTTACTTCTAATAGGAATGAACCCCCTCACGCTCTATCAATGGACTTTAAAAGAAGACATAAAGTATATAGTTGGTATTTATCAAAGCCTCTACTTTCCTTATAAACTTAATACAAAGCCCTTCTCTTTTTTTTTTTTTCGTGTGAGGCTTTGTAATGTGATGCATTTTCTGGAGTGTCCCAAAAAGGAAATCAGTACTTCCTGGCTTGTCTTTGATAAGATGTTCTTATTGGGCAAGAATAAACGTGTAACACTTTTTAGCTCTTTCTTTGTCTTTTTTTCTTTGTTTTTCATAATTTGAAAGAAATGACAAAAGAAAACGATGAGACATCCGAGCAGGAAAAGACAAAGTCTCGTAGACCTCGTGGTACATTGAATAGAGAAGCAGAATTAATGTTGTAACTAAATAAAAAATGGGAATATAGATGGCCCATTTCAACAACAGAAACTACCAGCTTGGCAACCAGTGATGATTCCAAAGACAGTGTTACCTACCTTGTTTATCATCGGTATCATCTTTTGCCCGGCAGGAGGCCTACTTTGGTGGTCTAGTAATAGAGTAAGTAAAAAGAGAATGAATAAAAATGAATGCTTATTGCCTTTTTATCTCTCTTGCAGGTTGATGAAATTATGATCAATTACTCTTACTGTCGACAGTATCCAAATCCAGTGTATCTTGTTCCTGAATTATATGAATATCAATTATCGGACAAGACAGTCAATCTAACCGAGATGGAACCACCAGCATATCATTACTCTAATGAATCGACCTTTTTGAACCCAAACTGGGGAAATCCTAACCAATTGACCGTTCCACGTTGTACATTAGACTTTACTGTGCCAACGACTATGAAGGGTCCTGTTTATATGTACTATCGATTAACCAACTTTTATCAAAATCATCGTCAATACATAAAGAATTTTGACTCGAGTCAACTGCTGGGCGAGGTCGTCTCTTCGACCACTCTACATACAGATTGTGACCCTTTGGCTTACTCTAACGGAAAAGTGATATATCCATGCGGATTAATAGCCAATTCGATGTTTAACGGTATGTTTCAAATATATATAGAGAGAGCGTACACACTGATATAATCTTGAGTAGACACTGTATCCAATTTCACATCCATTGACCATCCTTCGCTCATCTACTCCTTTTCTTCCAATAATATCGCTTGGCCATCAGATAAAAAGAAGTACGGTCCTACAAAATATCCCCTGTCAGACATTGTACCACCTCCCAACTGGGCTAATCGCTATCCTAATGGCCAGTACACGGCAGAATACCCTCCTCCAAACTTGTCTCAAGATGAGCATTTCATGGTTTGGATGCATGTCGCTGCCCTTCCTGATTTCCGCAAGATTTGGGGAAGAAATGACTCGAGTGATTTGCCTGCTGGTCGTTGGAGAGTAACGATTGATATGAGTAAGTGTGCATAGTGCTCTTTTTATCTCTTTATTGAATCTCTCTTGTCAGATTTTGATACACTTCAGTACAGTGGTACGAAATGGTTAGTCTTATCGACAACTACTCCATTAGGTGGTCGAAACCCATACTTGGGTATTGCATATATGGCCATTGGTGCCATCTGTATATTATTAGGTATTGTGTTTAGTCTAAGACAGTTAATCAAACCAAGGTAAGATGGTTAGATGATATGTAACCTATATTAATTCATTTACAAACCTAGGAAACTGGGTGATGAATCATATTTATCTTGGAATCAACCTGGAGGTGGACTTCCAAAGAATAAGAGAGCAAATGAACTAGAGCACCTTCATAAAGAATAATTCATGTAACATTTTGTATAAATTAATCCTATCATCTTCTTCATGATTCTCCTCCCTCTCTTTTTTCGACAATACACTATTAGTACACTCGAAAAAATAAAAATGAGCCAAGAAAAAATTACAACGATAATTGTTTTCTTGATTTTTTTAATTTCTTTTCGCGACCTACGATAAAAGAGCAAAAATTCGATTCAAGGAAACAATGAAATTTATGAAAGACGGTGATCAGAAGTCAAGGATACTTCAAAATTATGATAAATGACGCAAAGGTAAAGAAACCAAAAATTATTGGACTCAAAGAGAGCAAGAACATCAAGAAGACGGCCAAAATAATCAGCCATCCTTGGTGTCCACCATCAGTTCCTCTTCCTCGGCCACTAGAAGGGAATCTACTACATTAAATCATGCTGACAGCATTAACATTCCCTATAAAATGTACACGCGTCTTATTTTAATAATATTCTTCTTTTCTTTCCAACGAAGAATCTAATTCGCAAGCTATCGACTTAACCACCTTTTTACAAAAACAAAGCTGAATACAACAGCCATCCAGACTTGGATGACTTTGTTACTTCAAATATAAAAGATATTCGTAAAAGCTTGTAAGTAGATCAATACGGGTCTATATCGTTTGAGTGTGTTTTTCAAGGCTGCAACAACAAAGTACAAGCTGAAGCATATCTTTCAAGTAGTGATAGTTGGTAAAGTTTACTATATATATATATATATTGATGTTCCACGATAAATTTGTATACTAAATCTTAACATTAGGAACAAACCTCTAATTTCATATTAGCGAATTAAAGGGTAACGTGTTGACAATGGCAGAATTAGATTATTTCTGTCTCCCACTGTCGATGGACAAACTTCCGCAACTTATACTATACCTGCATCAACTGTATAACGTCATAGTAACAATTTATAGCTGTTGCTATAAGCAAAAGAAATTGAATGGGGATATACCGCCTGGCAGTTCATAAATTTATATACTACATCAAAATCTTTATTTCAAGAGTGATCTGACTGATCAAGTCAGCGCCACATAAAATTGCCAATCGAAATGATCTAGCTTTCATAAAGGATAAACCGTGTAACATTTTTGTACCTTTTCTTTTTCTTTTTCTTTATATAAAATAGGGATGAAGACAGCCTTTGCATTAGGTCTATTATTCTATTCAAGTGCCTTTGCCTTGCAGAATTACTGTAATTCGGGTTATAAGCCGATCGGAGACAAGTCTTTGGTACTTGATTTATCCAAACTAAACCAGTAACGTTTTTTGTTGTGCACGTATTATATAACAAAGCTGACCAGGATTAAAAAGAGAATTTACACTCTATCAGAATACAAGTACACCCCCTTCAACCCGATCAGTCATCACTCAGATAAATATGTGTGATGCTCTTCCAATTTCTAAAGAAAGCCAATTTCAATGCAAAAAGGGGACAGTAAAGTTTTAATGACGTATAAAAATATACAAAAACACTAATCTCGCTTATAGTACATTTGTCAAAAGGTTGTTTATAATCAAGATAACAAAGACTTTGTAGCCGAAGTACACACCATTGCTGGCGATTTTGAAAAGTAAATTATATAAAAAAAAGAGAGAGAGGTTATTCATTGCTTTTCCTAGATCAAAGCTTGATGCCGAGTTTAAACCCGTAAAATCTGAAGCAGACAGTACAAAGAGTAAGAAAAGACAACAACAAAAGTATAGTATATATATGTATATGTTGACATTGGGCGCTTCTTAGATGGATACCAATATTCCTTGGCTTTATCTGGTGGTGATAATGGTCAGAGCGCGCTTATCACATTAGAATGTGATACATCTCAATCTCGTGAGGTATTCAAGATTTGATCTAAAAAGATGGATGAATGGCTAATAACGATTATAGGATAAGCCTACAGAACCAACTATTGTCTCTTTCCATAATAACGTATTGACACTTCAATGGAAAACCGTATTTGCATGCGCGTAAGTGATCAAAAAAGTGTAAAAAAAAAGAGGCAGTTGACCTGATATCCAATAGTACAGAACCTCAGGAAAAGAAACCTGATGATGGTGGTCATCAAGGAGGAAATGAAGAACCAAAGAAGGAAGGCATGTCTGGTATTCGCATCTTCTTTACAATGTGAGTATAGATAGGATTCATTTAGAACATTTCTAAACCGCTCTCTTTAGTATATTTGTCTTGCTTGCTGTTTACTTTATTGGTGGTGCGTTCTACAACTATAGAGTGTATAATGCCCGAGGCTTGGATCTTATTCCTCATAGAGGTAAGAAATATAAAAAGTGTAGTACACTTTTGAAACTGACACTTCTCCTTAAAAAAAAAAAGAGTTCTGGCTTGATCTACCTTATCTTATTAGGGTAAGAAGAAAAAAAAAAATAGATAGTAATATATACTCATGATTATTCTACTTTAGGACTTGATCGCACATATCATTGATTCCATCATGTCTCGTCGTCGTGGAGGTGGAGGCTATGTTGCTGTATAATATATATCTATATATATGAATGCGATGATGTTTTATTATCAATGTATAAAAGAAATGAGATTAAACAAATGCAATAGAGGAGCCTTGATCTATGATGTCCTTTTTATCTTTGTGAGCCATGGCAGGTGAAATATTAACAGCGGTTGATGCACATGTTTTGGCTTTGTTGAGTAATGCTAATGAACTAGACTTTCTTAGTCGGACAACATGGCTGGATGTGTCACTTGTTATACTCTCTTTTGATTCAGTCTGCTGAATGCCAAGTGAGCTTTTTGAATCTATCGTTTGGAGTGAATCATCCATATTCGATGACAATGATGAACAAATGGATGCATCTTCAGGTGGAGAAGTAGATAAAGCAAAATGATAAAACTCTTGCTCTGCAGGAGTAGATTTCACTGTTTGTTGTTGTTGTTGTTGTTGTTGAAATAGTTCTGGTAGAGCCTTTGCGGTAGTTAATAAATCTTCATCTAGTTTTAATCTATGCATGGGAAGTTCTTTTTTGGTGTCATTCTGTAACACACATTCTTCTTTTGCTATTGTTTTGTCTTCTTTATTAGGCAATTCCTGAACTTGTTCTTCTTGCTGTTCAAAGATGCCACCTTCCCCATTCATTGGGAAGAAGATGATATCATCAAAGTTAGGCAAAACCATTGTTTCAACAATAAATTCTTGAATCTTTGTTTCAATTGCTTTGACAACCACCGAGTAACCTACACGTTTCTCCCAGACGACGGGTTCTACCTTCCATTTCATCTTGGGTGGTTCATGAAAAGCATACCAAATTCGGTTGGTTGGGGGTTCCTTAATTTTCATTAGTACTTTTCCTTGAATTTCTTCCAACGTGATTGCCAAGATGATATCGATAGTAAAGGGGCGCAGTCGATCAGAATATTTCCACTTGAGCACCGTTTCGATCTCAATTCGGATACATCCGTCATAATGTAAGTTGGCTTCAGCAGACAGTTCACCACTAGGGCTAATTCCGAGCAGTTTGGGATGAGTGATACGAGGTATCGAATGACCAGGATCAACCGATCTGACAGTGATTTCACCCAAAAATGGCGGTCTTTTTGCATTAATTTTGTCCAACTTTGAAACAATTTTTTTATAGAGAGCGTCCTTGATATCTTGAGTTCTATAGACAGAAAGGAAAATACGACCAAGTATAGCATTGAACCATTGGGTCTGAAAGTGGTATTCATCACTATGGATAGCCGTGATCAACTGATTCATGGATGATTGGTCAAAGTGGGTATTGTCCTTTTTGATGGTAAATGAAGGTGATGTTGTTTTGGAAGCACGAATAAAAGTAAAATACCAGTCTTCTTTTTCGATGCATCGTCTACAATTGATATAATATGTTTGATTGTTATTGCTGTTTTCGAGTTTTATATGCTGAGGTTTTGAAAATAGTTCAAAATCTTGTAATCCTGGTGGGTGAATGGATACCTTGCAGTCACTCAAGATGATGACACCTTTACAGTCCAACTGTTTCTCTGAGTCATATAGATAAAGTGTATTGTATTTTAATACTGAAAAGTATAACCGGCTGTTCTGATGGTTGTTATTCCTTATATATGAAGCGACAATATCCCCAATAGATGACGTATCGTCATCGTCGATTATATCATCTTTATGCACTTTCAACCATCCCACTTTATATAATTGGTTGCTCGTATTCTCGTCATTTACTGGGCCTTGATTAGAATTGGCATTGTTGTTATTATTGCTATAATGCTTCTTGTAGGATAATCGGTTATAGATTGGTATTATTAGTTTGCTTAAAATAAAATATATAGCGCATGTGATGATGATCATTATTGGAAAGAATGTTATTCCACCTATAAAATAACCAAATAGAAAAGATGCTGACACCATTTTATGAAATATAAAGAAAAAAAAAAAGGAAAAGGAGAGGAGAAAGAAAGAGAAATAAATAGAAAGAAAAAAGGGAGAGGATAAAGAAAGAAAGAAAAAAAAAAAGAGAGACAAAGGATATGATAAAAACAACATTGACCAAGCGGTCACTGAATTTAACCAATAAACAACTAAATTTCGATCATTTTACCAAATTTCATTCTAGACTTTACAAACAAAAAGGTTAAATAAAACAAGAATGATGATAGATACAACAGAATATATGTCTTATAGTCATTTTATTTAATACATAGTAATGATGTTACCATAGAGATAGATTGAATGTCAGAAAATAAACGTGAAGATTGCAAGAGAATATACAAAACTTGTTGTGATACTGTTATACTTTAAAACTAATCCTTTATGACTGATAAATAATAGATTAAGGGAATAAACCGTGTAGTGATATACTTTTTTTAAAAAGAGACTTGCATCCGCAGCCTTTCTTTCTTTTTTTTTTGGCTTGGTAAATATCGTAACACGGACACACGTGGGTTTATTTTAATTAAATGTGAAAAATAAAGATTTTTGATCAGAGCAAACACTTAGTGCACTCAAAAATACACTCAAAAATAGTCTAATGCTACAGGCGCTTCCTTGGGGCACTACATGTGGCGTCACTATACAACTTCACATTACTAAAGTCTCTGCCTAACCCAAGGCAGTCCACTGGGATATCCTTTGATATAAAGTTACTCATGAATGATCTTAGTTCTTTGTTGATCAAACTGACAACATAAAATTAAAATACAACAATAACCACATTTTATCTCTTCTTAAAAGATAATTTCTTATCCTACATTAGGGAACATGAAAAGATGTTTGTTCCTGAACAAGTTTAGCTTGACGCTGCACATTCAAAAGGTTTGTTGCCAACATCACAGGTAGTGTTTGTAACATTAGCCCTTTCGTGGATTTCCCCGTGTGCGTAGTGTACACCGAGAAAATTAGGTTCCCTGAAATTCGAAGATCATCTTGAACACGTTGAAACATTAATAAAGTTCAACAATTTTATAATGTCCGCTGCAAATAAGCATGAAAATGGAGATATTCTGGGAAGTGATGTCAAAGGTCTGGCGCTATACAGTGAAGATATCATATTGGTCACACAAAATGGCTCCAACAACTGCAGTATCGAAGCTGCTAACTGAGGACGTTTCGTACAATTTTCTCGGGGGTTATCTATTTCACCAGCAGTTCAGCTGAGTAGTGTAGAAAGAGATGCCTTAGAATCCTCTGTCAACACAAAAGCAAGTTACCAGCAATTAGCGGAAATGCATCAGAAGTTGATCAATAATGATTCTTTGCATACCGATTTGATTCCCGAAGTAATTCAAACCGTTCAAAGAATCAAAGGTAGCGTTTTTGTCGATAAAGAAGATGTTCTGATAACCAGCTTTGTCGAACCTTTGATAGTGACGTTCCTGCGAAATATCCAAAAAACAGCGGTCCATTGAAACGGTCATCTCCTTCATGAGTTGTATGTTAGGAAGGCCAAAATCGTCAGAAAATATGGTGTTTATATAAGAAACATTCGGAGAAGGGCCCCGGATAGAGCTATCAGGCGAAGGGTTCACGGTGCTGGTCGCAGGGGTTAAGACCGCAGCTAATGCTGCAAGAAATCCAGATTTCACTAAATTCGCCACATTAATGAGGGACCTGCTCGATTTTGCTTCGACCAAAGGGGTGGTTTGAAAATGCAAAAAGTTGGAAAAATGTAGTACTAGTAAATTTTGGTGCTTCCAAATGACAGTAGCAAAAGGCTATTTAATAAGAATATAAGCTTTTTCCTTCTCTCTCTCTACCAGTTTTCACTGCAGTTAACTGACAAAAATTTATATTCATTAAATATCAATCTTTATGTACTATCCTATATTTAACAAAGACAATTTACTAATAAAAACTGTCTATAAAAAGCACAACAAAGTCTCAGTTTCTAGTTGTATAAAATTCAGTAGTAACAGCAAATGATCCTTAATGCATAATACTTTTATATCTTCCCTTTAATCCCAAAAGGGTTTTTCATTCCTTCTCACTGCGACCTGACCCGGGCAGTACAGCATGAAAATACTATGTACTCATTGGTCATTAAAAATTATTATCAAATAAAGTCATTCTTCTAAATCGTAGTAACAGCAAAAATCAAGACTGGCATTAAAAGCGAATAGTCGCTTCTTTGCTTTAAGTGAGCTATATGAAGAATCTACCAGTGTTGAAAAAAAAAAAAAAGCCAACGCTTGTACAAGTCTATGCACAACACAAATAAATAACTAGTTTACACATAAATAAAGAATTAAGATGTTCTGTTATATGTATATATCTCAATCTGATGTTCAGAGAATACACAGCAATTGTGACTAAAAAACATTTATTATTTATTCATAAATATATACTTCTATTACTTTTTGCTTTACAAAGAGAAAAAGAGACATGACAGCGTCTAATAAGAAAACATCTTGAAAGATACGCGTTATGTAACATACGTGTTTATGCACATTTATTCAAGCTACATAATGTTTACATTATTTACTATTACTATTAATACAGTTATTACAATTATCAGGGTTGTGGAATTCAGCGTTATTAAACAGACAGTAATGCCTTAAAGCTTCGGCTAAAACTTTTTGATTTAACGGTTTTGTAAGATATCCATCCATGCCAGCATTGATACATATTTGTCTAGCAGATTCTTGCACATCAGCAGTTAGTGCAACAATCGGCAGTCTATTCTTTCTGTTTTCCTCTTTCTCAATCTCTCTAATTCTCTTGGTTGCTGCTACACCATCACACTATACATAGTGTGAGTAACAAGTTTCCTTTCTTTTTGTTTTGGTTACCTTTGGCATATGATGGTCAAAAAATGCCATATTAAAGAAATTCAAAGGTTGACTAATCCATGCATTCACTGCTTCCAGTCCGTTATTAGCACATTCAACATAGAATCCTAATCTGGTCAACTGTTTCAACAATAGTTTTTGCGCAACAGGATTGTCTATGTATTAAAATGATTAGATTATATACGGTCCATAAAAGATAGCAGTGTGAACCTACCTTCTGCAATAAGAATATTCATTTTGCTATACAGGTCTCGTTCTTCACCTGTAACCAAAGGCTCAGAAACTGTTTTCTTTTGAACAGCATTATTTGTCGGTGATAGCTTGTTCAGCGTCTCATCAATTGTTTTCAATAGCTTGAGACGTCTCAAGGGCACTGCCATACGAACTACCTTGCACCCTAACTGTTGGCTAGGAATAGGTTCAATCCATCGGCTCTTTTGAGTCATTCCGCCCGCTGGGTAGTTCATGACGACGATCAATGCATCCTTATTTACTCTGCTTGCGTCCTCTAACCAGGTAGATGGTGCATTCAAATGCTCTGGATTCATAAACAGACCAACAACAATGATATCATACTTGTTCTTTTTCAAAAGTTCCTGGAACTTGTCAATTTGTGTAACACCGTCTACATGAATACCAGTTAAGAGGTGACGGATCATTTCAATTGTTGCATAATATTTGCTGATCGCCAGAACCTTGTAGTGGCCAATGCGTTTTAATAACATATTTCGCTCCTCGTTGTATCCTTCCAATTGTGAGCCTTTACAGCTGAGCTGTGGTCGAAGCTTGGACACACGAATACTAAAGTAAAAGTCAGAGCCCTGGCCAGGAACACTGGAGACATTAATTCTTCCACCCATGAGTTCAACCAGCTGAAGACAGATTGAAAGGCCAAGCCCTGTTCCACCGTATTTACGCGTTGTGCTTCCATCGACTTGAGAGAATGGCTCAAACAGAACTTTTCGTTGCTCATTGCTGATACCAATGCCCGTATCAATGACTTCGAACAAGAGTGACACCTGATCATCATCCTTTTCATTTTGATTGTTCTTATCAAGTGAACATTGTATGCGGATTTCTCCTTCATGCGTAAATTTGATAGCATTGCCTAGTAGATTGATCAAGATTCTATATCAAGCTGTTTAATAAAAAGAATACATAATGTGTACTTGTCTATATATACTTACTGTCTAAGACGGTTACCATCTGCCATGACCACAACAGGTACATCTTGTGCTACCATATAGGCAATATTAATATTCTTCTTGATGGCCATGGCAACAAGCATGTCTACAACATCAGCAATGATATCTTCAATGATAATAGGTGAAAGATCAAGTGTGACCTTGCCAGCTTGAAGTTTGGAAAAGTTCAAAAGGTCATCAATGATCTGTAAGAGTATTTCACATGATTCCTTGGCAGTCTTGACCAAATCTCGTTGCTCAGGGTCGAGCTGAGTATCAGCCAAGAGAGAGATCATACCGTAAAAGCCAGAGAAGGGGGTTCGAATTTCATGACTCATATTGGCTAAAAAGATTTCTCGTAGGCGAGTTGCTCTCACTGCTGCTTCCTTGCTCTTTCGCGCATCCTCAAGTGCCTTCTTTTGCATTTCAATCATGCGCATGTTAGCCATAGTCACTCGCTGCACGGATTTAAACAAGAATGCGTTGGTAATGGAGATGCCCATCTGCTGACATAACAAACTAAGCACCGTGATGTGACGTTGTGTAAATATACCGATGGAGCCTTCGATAAATAGACAGCCAGCCATAGTGCCCTTATGGACGATGGGCATACAAATGACAGACTTATTGCCTGTTTTTTCATACCAAGAACCCAATGCGAAGCGCGCGTCTTGTTCAATATTGTGAATAAAGATACTCTCACCTGTATTGATTGTATGATGAACAATACGAGTTGATATCAAGTCATCCTCTTCTAATGGACGTGGAGGATCAAATGTCATGGACCCCTCTTGTTGGCTGCCATAAGCACAGATGCCGTGCTTTTCTTCCTTGACAATGATGGCTCCGCAGTCAGCACCAGAGTTTTCTAAAATGATAGACATCATCGATTTCAGCAAACTGTCAAATTTGACTTCGGATGAAATCACTTGTGAACTCTTGAGAATGGATGCCAAATCAAGCTATATAAACGAGATTAGTTATATCATGACATCTCGTATAATTTCACTTACAATATCTAGAGTCATTAGCGTCTGCTCGGTCGTCACAGGTGGAATCACTTCGGACACAAATGGTTCATTAACAGTAGCAACAGGAGCCATCGAAGACGTGCTCCAAGAGCCTTGAGCACCAAGGAAAGGGAAAGGATCAGTTTGGATGCCCACATCGTGTAACTCAGTGCGGCCATCATCAAATTCGCTCAAAAGTGAACTATACATTTTCGTCAAATGGTTGGCCTTTCCATAAGAGCCATGCTGAAGATATAAACTAATTGCCTTCTTCAAAAGACCGTAAGCTGCATTTTTAATACCCACTCGCTCATAAAATCCACCAGCGTACTCATGACAGATACACAGCTCCAGGTACCAGTTGCCTTCACGTGCTTCGTTGATGGCCTTTTCGTAGAGTGTGATAGAGTTTTTGAGATCATTGGATAATGAGGAAATTTCAGCTTCAACGAGGCTATGCCACATACTGCTATTAATCGCTGAGTGCTCAACCCAAACTTGAAGAATCTCTTGATTCTTGCGTACACGTTCCATGTACTCATCCACCAAATCTTGAGGCAAGGTCTCTCTACGAAGCTTCTCGATAATGGCCAGTGAATGTAGAGTAAGCATCATTCGCGTGTGTCTGTGGCATGGGTGGTTATGAATGCCTTGAATGCACATGTACCCCACAGCAATGGCATGGTCATAGTGACCATAGAGTACGAGTGGAATCATACGGAATGAGTCGTACCAATTCATGGGCACCGCCGGGTTAGAGCTCTGCTTACAGCTTTCTTCCATAAAATGCTTATCGTTGAACCCGTCATCTCCATCAAAGATTTCAGTAGGTGAGCTGTTAAATGTATGTCCTTGTAATGCCTTGATAGTTCTTATGATGGACATGATTAGGATATTGGTGTCAACTGAGGATGACCATGCATGGATGTCACTGTAGCAGGCTTCGGCTTCAGCTAGTGTTGCTGATAAATTGTCACCACCAAAGAGCATGCAGGTCACAATGTGCAAATGAGAAAATGAGCCATAGATACGATCACCTGTAGATAAACAGAGCTTGAGGGAGGATTTAAACCAAGGTAGCTGCTCTTTATAATGGTATTTCCACATCATCAAGAAATTCGCATACAGGAACCCAGCTCGGCCGCGCTCACCATTACTACCAAACTTCTCTGACACAGCAACACCCACCGCTCCTATTTCTTCTCCAAACTTGAACATTTGATAAACTTCAACAGCAGCCAAGCCCATGAACACAAGACCAATACCTGAGACTTGTGACATGCCGCTGAGAATGGATAGATGGACGATCTTGGTTGCCAAATAAAACATCTCTATCTGTCTTCCTAACCAATAGGCAGAAGTACACCTAATAACATGTTATTAGGACGACTACAATCAAAACAGTGTAACCTACATTTCTTCAAGAATAATCATTGTCGTTTTCAATTTTATGTCCTCACACGCGTCAATCTTTTTGAGTCTTTCAAACCCCATCTTTTCAATAAGAGTCTTCACTTCCATAAACTCTTCATCCAATTCCTCTCTTGAGTAAGAATACTTGAACTTTTTGATCTCAAGTTCTCTTAAACACTTGTGCAATGACTCAGCTCCTTCTGCGTGCATCTGACGTCCAAAGTAATACTTATGCTGGATGCGATATGCAATCACACGGTCCAAAGGATCTGTTGTGTTGGCAAAGATGGTGTCCAAATAAGCCTCGGTCGTGTCATATTCACCTACTACCCAACTCAAGGCAACTGCATTGCTGTAAAGAAAATGTGTAGTGGTGTAGTTGTCTCCTAACCAAGGATCTTCATCCAAAAGAGTGATGGCTGCCTTGTAATACTCGAGCGCCATTCTATGAGCTCCTGAGTTCCGTGCCTTATTGCCTGATTCATAAAATATGTTTCTGTAGCATCCCCTATCTTCCGATTCGACCAATAATGAGAGGCACTTCAACAAGTGATCTGCAATCAGAAAACTATCGGCATTGCCATCTAGCACACAGACCAGGTCAATTGCTGTTCCCATGTGTTTCTGACGTGAGTGGATAGGAGACAACTTACCTTGTAGTAGGTATTTTGCAATCTTGAGATGAATTCTTTCCCTACTTTTTGGATTGGCCAGCTCCATCGCAGCTTGTGAATAACGGTCATGAGACCATTTGAATTCATCGCTTTCTAGAGGCAAAATATAGCCTTCTTGAAGAGCCGCCTGTAGTCCGTTGATCGGGTCACGCGTGCTAGTGTTGCTGCTTTTGTAGGAAGTAGACGTAGTATGCGATTTGGCAGATGACCTGACCGAGGACGAAGGCGAGAAGCTGATCAAGGGTGCTGATGCGCCTGTAGAATCTGTCGTGTCTGTATCATGTGTCACTGTTGAATCCGAGAGGACTGTATCTGTATCAGAAAATTCAGATTCTGGATCAGAGTGGCTCATCAAGTATTTGACAGTGTTCCAAGAAAAGGTGTCACCGACGAACGAAGCCCACTTGAGCAAACGTTGTCCGTCCGCAGGCAATTCACGTAGTCTTGCTACAAGGAAACTAATGTCTAACTCAGCATCACGATCTGCTTCGTCATTCGTAAGGACAACTTGCTGAATATCCGACAGGTTATAGTCCCATTCGTTCTCTTCCCAATTGAAAAAGATGAGCTTTTTCTTTTCTAAAGCAGTAAGTAATTGTGCTGTATAGAATGCATTTCCTCTTGTCTTTTTGTAAACAATATCCGCAAGTGGCAGGATGGAATCTCTAGATGTTTCTATAGGTCTATGAAGCGTGTCTCCAATATAGCTCACGAGGGAGTCAAAATCGAGCAGGTCAACTTTAAACATGTGAAATGTTGCAATATCGTTCGATAGCAATTTCTCGAGTGACGGAGTTACTTCATCATCACGGTAAGCCAGGAATATCAACAGCTTTACTCTTGCTCCGATCATGCTCTCAATCAATTCTATCGAAGGTTCGTCAGCAAGGTGTAAGTCGTCCAGGAACAAGGTGATCATGCGCCATTGAGTTAATGCTCGAAAGACTTCAACAAATAAAGTATGAAATCGTACGCGTGTTTCTACATTATCGAGATGAATCATGTTGATAGGATCTTCACTATCCTCGCTATCCACAGGGTCTAGTAAAGGCTTCAATTCAGGTACTAGGTCAGCTAATAGTTCTATTTTGCAAAACTGAGACCCGAGGTGTGTTTTGAGATGATTATAAAAGGAGTGAATATCGTCTTCGGACTCGGATAATATCTGCTGCAAGATCTGTGAAAGTGATTTCAATATGCAACTGTAAGGCACCTTGTGTCGACTATCAAATTTTGTAGACGCCACATAGCTAATAAGGAGAGGGAGAGAGCATGTTAGTATGAATAACACACGTACATGTGCTCTACACTTACCCTTCTTGTCTAGCTACGGATTGAACTGAATTAAACAAGGTTGATTTTCCAACACCACCAGGGCCGGATAAACATATGATTTCAACCCCTTGTTTGCCAGCTGCTATTCTACCATTCCCGCTTGAGATGTCGCTTCCACAATAGCTTGGAGACGCATTCGATTTTGTTCCAGCATTTAGACTGGATAGTTCTGGGTTGGATAAACCCGCTTCACTTGCACTATCACTGAGTGCTTGATGACGCATCAAATCATCTGCACTTGTTATCGTGGGCAGAGTGGAGGCTGATCCGTGCGACCGATCCTTTCGTAGTCTAGCTGATTTATATACATTGGCAACATGTTGTATAATATATGTCATCTCTCCAATTAATGGCTGGCGACCGTAAATAACTTTGGGTAAAGTGAATATAGATGCCACATCTCTTTCTGCCAAAGGAAATGATTCAATGATCTAATGGGGATGGTAAGTATGCATATATACATGATTATTGTGTATATATGATCATACCTCTTGACTTGATTCCGAAGCAATCCTAAGCCTCTTTAAGCACTCTTTTAAATCCGCTCTTATGCCATATGCACTATTATATCTATCGTCTGGTGACTACACAAAAAGAAAGTTTAGCCTATTTCAGGATAGGGGGGTGACGATGATGATGATCTAATTTGATTGTTGTTACCTTATTCGTCATTTTTTCAATGATGCGAGCAACAACTTCGGGTACATCCAACTGGATTTCATTCACAAGAGGCATCTTTCTGCTGACAATGCCATTGAGTATCTCCAATGGACCACCTTCAAAAGGGAATTTACCCGTTAACAAGACATAGAAGACGACACCAAGAGAATAGATGTCTGAGCGATGATCAGGCACATACGTTGTTCTTCCTGTCTGTTCTGGACTCATATATGTCAATAAGCCCTGTAACAAATCCATTGATTCTCGATTATATGTTGTCTTTCTCCATCCTTCGCTTGTCAAGTAAGCTTCGAATGACTTTGAGCCTGACCCAAAGTTCCACAGCTTGACTCGAGCAGAATCTTCACCTGACCATTGAAAAGCAGAAAGTCTGATTTCACCATGTACAACGTTATTTTTATGGATAAACTCTAAGCATTCTGTACATTTGATAGCGAAACGAAGGAAGGTGCCGAGATCAAAGACGGGTCCAGAGATTGGCGTTAAGGATAGTCTGCCTTCTCTTGCAATACGAATTGATAATGATGAATTGTAATGTTTTGATGAAGATGTTGGTGAAGTGTCGTCAGGTTGACGTAGATAATCTAAATAGTTGTGTCCTTCGTCAGCATAGATGACAACGGTCAGGCCACTTGGTAAATGGAAGTATTCCAAGGGACGTACTGCATGAAAAGGTTAAAAAGATGAAATCAAGTTGATGATTTTTTTTTCTTTTTACCAAGAAATGAACCACCATCGGTTAATTGATAGAGTCTTTTCATGATGTAGTATTCTCTTTCTAGCTTTAATGAACTTGCAGATACTTTTGCAATAACAGGCTTTTTATTTGAAATTCTACACACAAATGGTCCACTGTCAGCTCTTGTTTTATAACTCACACAATGAAAAAATACCTATATCCAAATACAATATCCACATTATCACCATATGCTAAACTTGGTATGGGTGACGTCTTGAAATGATAGTTTGGTATCTGTAAGCTATCACCAAGTAAGCATATGCTATCTGTAAAGGATCCAGTGGACCCTGAATTAGACATTGATGTTATTTACACAAAGAAGAAAAAAAAAAAACAAAACAAAACAAAACAAGAAAAAAAGAAAGAAAGACAAAGAAAATAAAAAAGGGAAAAGAAGAAAAAAATAAGCTGAAGAAGAAAATAGAAATACCCCATTGAATGGTTACTCAAAATGGATAAAATTTATAAATACATGTTTTTAACTTTTAAAAAAGACCAAGGCATGGATCGAACATGGGCCATGATAAATCACCATTTCTATTTTCTTTGTATTCAACATAAACATTTATACGCAGTAAGCATGTCTTATGTAAGCAATGAAAGGGGTAAACATTTAATAGGATTGAACTGCCGATTTGTGTTTCAATAAAATCGAGATTGTTTTATAGAAAATAACAGAACAAATTTTTTATTTCTATTATTCTGTTGTCCAAATACCAGCACTGACAATTTGGGAACGATTAAATTTTGCTTTTGATAGATTAATCTTTTTCGTTGGCTCTGGTATCTTTTTAGATAATTCATTATGTATCGTCTTCCATGTTGATTGTATATCATTAGCATGCTTTTGATGAATGCCATCCATGATCTAATGATCTCTATTTGGTTATAACTTATTCTTACAAGTATATATGTCATTACCTGTTGTCTACCATCTTGTATCAGTTTCATGACTGTTTCTGTATGTTGTTGTTCAAGATATCCCTTATAAAAAAAATACAGTTATGAAATGTACGTATATTTTTTAATCTAAAAATTTACTTCAATATCTGTATCTAAAATTGCTTGTCGGTGTTCTGTCGATGGTCCCAAATGAACTGTACCAAGTTCCTTAATTAGTACTTGCGTGTCTACTCCACCTTGTGCTAAAAAGAAGTGTCTGACAATTATATAAGTGACAAATAATATATACAAACACTAGTTTATCATACGCGTGAATATCTTTTGCTTCGTCATGAACTGATTGAGTAGAAAGCTGCTTTGTTTGTGTGTCAATCTGCTCCAATCCTCTTTCGAGTGAAGGTAATTCTTTCTCAAGTATTTTGTTGTTTAATAACTTCGACTTTTCCAAGATTTGTTTTAAACTGGCTGCTTGTTTATGATCTAATTTGTTGGACATGGCTATAAACAATATAAAAAAAGAAAGAATGAAAAATAACGAAAACGTAAAAAAAGAGTCAATTGAGCCAATTAGAAAACAAAGCCACGGACCTTGGCTTTGAGCCAATAAGGAGCCTTTATTTATTAAGGATTGAAAGCACTTTATGAAAATGGGTGAGAAGTGATCTCAACATGTATTAGATTGACTTACTCCTTGTATGGATAAACAGTCCAAGATTCCCATACTTTATTCTTGACATAAGGGTCATTTTTAATCATCTCTTCAACCTCTTCAATCGTCTCTCCTGTACAAATCATGGCACTTCCTTTCATTTTACCCGTCTTTTTTATACATATTAAATTGTTGTTACAACCATTGTTTGTGTCATTACCTCATGTGAATCCAAAATAGCTCCTCCTGTGATAATTGTACCTCTCTTTTTCAATTCAGTAGCACCATCAAGATGCTTGCTACGTACTTCAAGCCGACGCTGTAAACACTCGGGGTCGCTAAAATCCTTGGCAATAACAACAAACTTTTTGGGGGCTGTAAAAAGTGTTATTCATATAATCTCATAAAGTCTCTCTTTGGTTGAACCTAATAAAGGACATTTCGTCGAGAATGCTCGTGATTGTCTCCAAAGACTCATCTTATGTGAAAGAGATGTAAAATACACACGACTTTAAACGCCGATATGCTCTTATGAGTAACGATAAATAATGAAAAAAAAAAAAAGACAGAACTGTTGCCGTCTTGCAGGCTATGATTGGAGCACGGAACAGGCATTTTCTACAATTGATATAGATTGTTTTAATGAGCTTGTCAGATTATCTAAACCTTCTGGATTATCCTTCAATTGTCTGATCTTTTCATTATACTTGGCAGGTAAGATACGAACGTTTTGGTCCGCACTTTCTAACTGCTCACGGCAAAGAAGGTCTTGGTTATCATATGGGGGTATCAAATCTTTCTTGCTGAGCAACAGGGGCAGAAGCACGAAAAGAAAAGGGCAGCTTGATTACGCGGCTGATCAAAAAAATATGCTTACACATCTTTGTTTGACCAGGGCAGCTGCAGTTGTTCAGAAAGCCTTCCATGGTATCAATCTCATAGAAGAAGATGGTTTCAGTGAAGTATCTGCACTGGTAGGCATTTTCTTCGAGCTGTTCGACCATGGAAAAGGCAACGTCGTAATCAATGCAGTATGCTGCTCTTTTCTTTCCTTCATTGGCTGTCAAGCGAAACCAGTCAAAACAATGTGCAGCTTTGATTGTGTCCTGCAAATAATCTAATGCTACCACTTGGGATAACAAGTAGACTAGGCGATCTACACGCAATGAGCTAGTGCGACCAAGGTAGAACGTATTCAATTGATTATGATACGATTCCATCAGATTGTTAGTGTGGAAATAAGCATTCTATAAATAGACAGAAAAGCTAGGTTTTAGTAAACTGGAACAATGAGTATTAATTATTACCTGTCTCCACGCTTTGGATCACAATTCCTTTTTTGGAAGCCACAAGCTGTTGAAGTACGCAAGGGATACTTCAAATTCCTTACTTTCAGCAAGTAACAGCTGATGAGCCAGATCGAATGCTTCTGGTGTTTCTGAGTACATCATGCTATTCAGATGAGCGCGAACATGATCTCTAATCAGCTTTGTATCTTGAGTAGACTTGCTTATTTTCACCTAAACGTTACATAATGCCTAACATATGCATTAAACCCTGTATCTTCAAATTAGATAAAACTTGATATTGTTCTTTTGAAGCAAATATCTTTATTGTTTTTAGTATTTCTTATTTATGAACAAAAAAATGTCTGCTTATTTTTCTGAGGCAATTGTTGTAAGACTTATAATTATCTTATTTTCGCTGTTGTAGACTCAGCAAGATAAAGGTCAAAACAGAAATAAAGGTTGCCTGAGATTAAATACTAGTAAGCGAGACACTCGTTCACCCAAGTACATTATTGTAATGTTAGTAGCAAACATTTTCAGAAGAGGCTCAATCAGTGATCTCATCTGCGGTAGGCATTCTATGAGCACTATACCCAAAGGCTTCATTTTACCAAGCCAGATGCTTTCTTCGCTTGAAGGAGCTCTTGAACTTTTTACCAAAGAAATGGCTGTAAACAAATGACGGGTGATAACATGAAAGGAATTCGTACTCTCATCGTTCTTTTACTAGCCTGGTTTGCTGCAATAATAAATCCTCTTTTAATGTTGGCTTAGGGGCGCTTAAGATAAGACTAATTTCTTCTCGCTGTGCTTCCTTGGGTATTGTTTGATTAATTTATTTTCTTCATTAGAATAAAATAAGAACATATCAGCATTAGCCCTTATAGTATTACCTCTGTAAATAATCTTCCACTATGAGTTCTATAATGATAGAGATGTCTAGTAATATCAGATGCAATTCTTTGTCCTTTTCTTAAAGTATTTAATACACCGTCGTTATCATTGAGAATAGCCCAAAGAGGTGTGGTGACCATTTTTATACACTTTGCTTGTTGTTGTTGTTCTGTGTTTACTTCCTTCTTTTGTGCTTGAAGCTTTTGATCAACAAAAAGCTGACCATATATTCTTTTCTTATTTTCTTCCACATATTGACGCCATGATAATATTACAGGAATGTATAGCTCTGTGCAAACATCAGATAATTGCAAGCGAGTAATTATTGCGCTTGGGTTTGTATCGTCTGAAATAAAAGGCGTAAGTGTTTATTCAATCCAGCATTTCTGCTTCGCTATCTTCTAACAAACCATTTGCTTGATTCCATAATTTTGATGCGTCTTTGTATACATTTAGCAAACTATTTTTTACTATTTCCCTTTCCTCCAAGTCTTTTAAAAGCACTTCTTCTGCTGAACTTTCTTTTTTTGGATATTTTTTGTATAGGTTTATCATTTCTCGCTTTAACCTTGACTCGAAGGCTTGATAAATGAAGAACTGGCATCTTTCTTTTATTGCTTGTTCCGAGAGGGTAATAATATCGTCCATTAGGGATACAGAAGATCAGTTATAAGAAAGAGAGGAAAAGGAAAATGGACAGCAGTAATCAAATTTATTCAAAGGTGACTATAACTCATCCATTGTTGTTTAGTCTATTGATAGCACTGCTAAAATCAGTAACTTTAAAGCTGAAATGGGGCGTCAATAGTGACGCACTCATGGAACTCTTTTTATATAAAACTAAAGAAGACTTTGTTAGTCCCGTTACGACTACATCTGGCTGACACAAGAAGTATCAGCTGTACAAAGAAATAGGAGACAAGATGCTGGAATTTTATTGTTATTCAAGTTGGACAAGACGGAAAAGCAGTGGCCAAAGAAGATTTAGAGATAAGGTATATAGCATCTCAGCCAGAAAAATAGTAAGGAATGCAGATTCAGAAACAAATGCTGTCTTCTACGGGGACTCTGACAGAGGACATGGCTCATGCATAAAAGGATACGAAAAAAGAAGCACAGATATTTTGCAGAAGTCCCCTTCCAGTAGATCAATCGTCATTTCGACTACTAAATACCGATCATGAAAATTATGCTGTATCTGTGACGAACCAATCGTTCATCCAAAGAAGAACAATGGAAAGGTCAGCGTTGGTGCAATCTTGTGTGTCAATCCTGACTGCATTGGTCATCAACATTCATATGCTACAAGAAGCCGAGATACCAATACAAGAGTGAATAATCTGAAAACTGAATTATACAAAATAATTACAAACGACGAACACCCTTCGTTCTCAAGAAAATGAAGAAGATGCTATGAACAAATCATTACATGGTTCAGCACAATTTGGAAAGTTGATGTTGGACTTTCTCTCGGTGTAGAGAATGGGTCTCGGATATTTTCTTGGGTATTTAAAGTTTTCTTGCTCTTATTGTACCTGATCAACATGAAAGCTACGTGTTTTAATATTTATAGGATATAAGGACGGGTTCTATTTCCAGATACTCCGTCTCTTTCTATAATAGAGTTTTCTCTTGATAAATGACATCTCAAGCAAAATGCACAGATAGCTGCCAGAACCATCGCTCCTCCATTGATCATGTTGGAGCCAACATATCTTGGTGCGTCAGAGGGCCATCCGGAGTAAAGGACAAAGGTGCAAATTAAGGCTCCAAAGTTAGCTACGGAGGATACGATACCTGTGGCAGAGGCAACCTCTATAGGATCTTCTTTTGAATTGGCTGTCCAGGCCATACTCTTTTGAAAAAAAAAAAGGGGGGGTTATTATGGTTCATCTCTTCTTCGTTTTTGCCTTACTAAAGGAACTGTTGGATAGGTGCCACCCGCGACTACCATCAAACCAAAATAACGAGCCCCAACAGATGGAGAAAAGCTTAAAATACAGAATCCAATAAACGACGTGATTGAGCAGCCTACTATAAACCATCCTCGACTATTGAAACGATCGCTACAGTGAGTGATGATATAGACCATGAAGCCACCGAATACATAAGGAGGTATACTCATCAAACTGACTTGAATAGAAGTAAAAGGTCCAATCTGTTGAACTATTTTTGGTATAAAATAACCCAAAGATGTAGCTGCCATTACGGGTGTAAAGTAGAGCACACACAATATCCACACTTTAAAATCTTTCAATTCTCCAAATACTTGTTTAAAATCACGTTTCAAGTTTCTTTCCTCAACCGATTCTTCTCTTGTTGATACTTCCAATCTTCTTTGAACTCTTGCCCGCTCATCCTCGGTTAAGAATCGAGTTGATCTCTCAGGTGTAGATGGTAAGTAGAATATGGTAGCAATTCCAAACAATAAAGAGACGAGTGCAGAAATTAAGAATAACCATTGCCAACCATACAGGTTCCCTTTTGTGTCAATTAATTGCACTCCTGCTGAAATAAGCCCACCTACAGCACCAGATGCAGGTCCAGCCAGATAGGTTACTCCGATTCGACTAGAAATCTCGTCTGGTCTGTACCATAACGTGTTGTAGTAGGCTAATCAAAGAGGGTAAGTGCTTTTTCTTTTGAAGCTTTTTTCTATATTTATTTTACTAATTCCTAGAATACACAATTTGATATCAATTTATATTCAATGGGTCATCTTTGTAGTTTTTCTTACCTGGCCAGAATCCAGCTTCAAACACACCCTATAAATAACATGATGCTCAGTGTTCTCCCTTCTTCAGGATAAAAAAAAAATACCAATAAAAAACGTAAAAGATAAAAATGCCATGGCCGCGAAATAGCCGCCATACAACCAGTGACAATACTCCAAGTGATCATGATACGAGCAATCCAGTGAGCAGGGTTCACATGGGCCATCATCAGATTAGATGGTACTTCAAAGATCTATTATTATTATCGTTGTTACCACTTTAGCTCAAATAATATAATATCAACATACGATATAACCAACATAGAATAGACCCAGTCCAATATTGTTTTGTTGAGGGGTAAGTCCAGAGGTATCCGCCAGCGTGTGTTTTTCGGCATGATTCATAGTCATTGCAAATCCAACATTAGATCTATCTTCTACAGATAAAAAGTAAAGTATAAATATCCATGGCACTATACGCCAGTCAAGCTTTCTTAGTAATTTCTTTTCTTGATCTCGGTCAGTAGCCTTGTCATCAGTTGATTCATTCGCTTGGTTGCTTTGAACCGAGGTATTCGAGCGTTGTCTAATGTCTACTTTTGTAGAATAAGGCCCATCCATCATTCACAATAAAAAAATAAACAAGAGGAAGAAAAAAGGATAATTTTAACAAGTTTTTTTTTATTTATTCAGCTACTGATTCAAATAGATTGTCAATACCATTGCTAAAGAAACATATATTGACATTAATGAGGCCCTTTACACAATTTTGTAGCACAAATTTTAAAATAAAACTCCATATAATTAACCCTTTTCTTTCTCTCTCTTTTTAGTTGCCTCCTTGTTTTTTTCTTCTTCTTTTCTTTCTTATTGCCTGTATACCTTTTTTTCTGTCTCTTTCTTTCTCTCTCTCCCTGTGTGTGTGTTTATGGAAAAATAACTGATATATTAAAAATGTCATTTAATCCAATCATGAATCGATCAAAGCAAGTATTATTTATTCAAATCATGTGTCTGTGTTTACTTGGATACTTCCTGGCAACAACAGTAAAGGATTATCACAAATACTTTAGTAACACTAAAAGTAAATTATACAAATTTGGATAAAAAGTAATAAAAAAGTAATACAGAATTCATTGTTTTTTTCTTTTAGGTATCCATAGCAATAAATCTAGACAGTATCCCTATACGATCATTACGGGTTCAAGTGCAAACCATTTGTGTTCTTTAGAAAGTTTCTTGTATTCTTTAAATGAGATAAAGCCCACTGTAGAGGACCACCAATTTCCAAGAGTTGTTGTTTATAATATCGGGATGAATAGAACTCAGTTACCAGTGTTAGACCAACTTCAAGCTAATGGACTGGTGGATGAGGTTATCTTGTTTGATCATGAACGATATCCTCGCTTTTGGGATGTTGCTATTGACGCAGGTCAATATGCTTGGAAGACAGGTATAGTCAATGATGCTCGTGTACGATATGGCGGAATTCTCGTGTGGCTTGATGCTGGAAATCTAGTAACAACTGAATTTATCCTCAATATTCCCAAAATCATCACTCAAGACTACCAAGGATTTTGGTCACCCAAGAGTACATCCTACATGGGCAAATGGACTCATCCGGGAATGTTTAAATTTTTTAAAGCAAATATTAAAGAATACAAGTACAAGTCTAATTGTAATGGAGCAGCCATTGGATTTGACACGACAAATTCAACCATTGTGAATGATATCATCCTTCCTTGGTTTGAATGTGGTTTACAAAAGAACTGTATTGCTCCACCTGGTTCTTCAAGAGCAAACCATAGACAAGATCAAGCGGTTCTTACTTATCTTGCTTATGCACATGGACATCACTGTACTGAACACATACACAACTTTAATCTGCAAACACATCGTGATGTCGCCTGTAGGTCCACTTTGATGGAGCTTGACTTGCAAAATAAGCTACATCACCCGTCTACAATAGGTATACACACGATACATAACTTTATATATATAGTTTAATCCCATCCCCAATAGATTCACTAAAATGGGAACGTGCAGATACGATAGAACTGTATAACCATCCAGAATGGAAGTATCCTGAGGATCAAGTACCTGTCAACATAAGAAGACCCAGCATACCATTATAAATACCATTCAAATAAACTATATACATTTCTTTTCTCTTTTCCTTTATTACTTAAACTGGTTTAGCGCACTTTCTCAGTTCAATCGTCTTTGTCTTGGGACATTGCATTTCCTGCCAGGAAATGGGTATCATGGGTACACCAGCAACACTCATAGCAAAGATAACACCTAATTCGTTTTTGGCTGTTGACAAGATATAAGATCGTGCATCACCCAAGGAAATGACCTCTGCCTTGATGATATCACCAGGTCTAAACGAGTTGTAAATCTTGACCTTGTCTTTTTCCGCTGCACGAACATCTTGTGTTCTATATTTCTAGGGATTAAAACAAGAATCATTATATCAATAGAAAGAGAGAGATGTTACCGGATAATTCCCATGAAATCTTCTTTACAAGGCGCATTATCTACAATCATGATGGCAATCATGGCTTGATGAGGTGCAACACGGATAACTTTACCCGTAATCTACATATACATTAAGCCACTTGATCAAGCAATAAATTAGAATTTGTTTTTTTTCTTTTACCACACTACCAACTTCTGGTACAGCTGATTGTTCTTTTTCTTTAGATACTCTGATTGTAGGTAACTGTTGATCAAACAGTAAGTCAAAAAAACAAGAGCAACATTAATCAGATTCTTACTCCTCCATCCTTTGATTGATCAATGTATCGTTGTCCAACAACACTTGCATAAAGTAATCCATCGCGCTCATATGTTCCTGGGCCTTGTATATAATCAGCAGCGTAGCCGAGACGCTGACCAGGTGTCACTGCTTCTGTTTTCTTGGCCATAGCTGTGGTTATTTCAAAGAAGAACAAAAAAGTAAAGATTTTTGTCGGCTTTTTATTATTTATTTAGAGAATTGTATCTTCAATGGCAAACGAGGGATGGTATCTTAATACGAGTTCATCAGCATGACAATAATAGACATAGTAAATGCACTCAGGACTGAATGTGCCTTGTACCTCTCTAAATTCTTTAAACGTTAATTCTTTGTACTTTTTCATTTTGCAATTTATACATACGCGTCCCCTATGGTTTGTTACAGATACGTATCCAGTAGTTAGACTTAGAAATAAACTTTGTAATGTTATATCTTGCAAATCTACTACATCGCTTCTTTCTGAAGTCATATCAGCATAAGTAGTAATATCATATAAACGCAATTCTTTCAGATTCGGACAGCTAGTAGAAAGGTTGTGGAAGATGGAAGCATGGACTTGACAGCCATAAATATGTAGGCTTTGTAATAAGCTATAGGTGTAACCACAAAATGACGGCAAAAATCTAACGAAAAACTGCAATCCTTGTAGCCGATAACACATTTGAATGAGCGGGTATACAGAAGGTAGTATTCCTATACCCCTTGGGCTGGTGACTATATGCAACTTGTCAATGTCCAATGTAGGCTGATATGCTTGAAGAGATGAGCCAGGTGTGTACGCATTAAGTTGACGTTTATACTCTATTGTTTTTCTTGATGATCGCCCCAAGTTTGTTTCGATTATCAAGTGTCCTAAACTGGTGCTTTTGAAAGCAAAGTATGCTGAATTATATGTGGCTTGATTCGCTGAAGGCAGCTAAAAAGTGTTATTAAAGCATTCCCAGATACATGCGGCGTTTGTATCCAAGGACAGCCACATGTCGCCCACAGTCAGTCTCAGTGTAAACGATTTGTTAGGACTTGTAGTCAAAAAGCGTAATAGTTGACAATGTATTTCACTTAGCTTCAAAGGCGAATATGGTGGGTGAATGGTGAATGATATGTCAGATTTACGAATTTTTTGGTAATATAGTCGATCATTGCCTTGGGTATACGTGTTTTTGTGGCTCGAACTGTTATTCGGGTCAGGGAGGGATAAGGATCTTGGTCAAGTGAAAGGCTCATGTCTTCTTCTAGTACAATCCATGCAGAGAAATTGGACAGACAATGACTTGCGTCGAAGATAAAAATAAAGTCTTGTGCTGTAGTAAGAGTCAATGAATATGATAATGACAAGGTTTATAATAGTAAATCATCGTGACCTGACCTGGATGTTCTGTCTCCACGTAATGAAGATTCCATTTTATGCTGTTATCGATCTCAAGTAGAAATCTGGATATGCAATTTTCAAAAACAGGCATATGCACCCCAGATGTATAACGTTTAGGCATTATTTAACTAACTGCGTAAAATCGCCAAACGTCATGCTTATGTCTACCATGTCACTGAATTTTTCATAACTGTGAGTGCCCATGGCCATAGTTTCAACAAATTGACCAACAGGTGTTAGTCTCATTTACTCTGATGTTTTGTTAAGCTGTATAAAACCTTCAAAACGCGTATTTTCCGCCAGATGCACTTCTTCAAACAAACGTTTGGCGAAAAAGGAATGCCAATTAAACAGAAAAGCCGCAAGACTGTTCCTTTTTTATTTTTCTGTTATATATTTGAACACCTCTTCCAGAAAGTGAGTTGGTAAATGTAGAATATGAGTCATTAAACGTGGAAAGAAGAAAGAGAGAAGAAAGAAAAAAATAAATAATAAACCCCGTTTATCAAAGCAGTACTGATAGACAATCCCTTGCTCTGCTTCTGAGGTTGAGCAATGTTGTAGTATCATCCCACTTCATCGGATAATAAAGGGATATATCAATCCATAAATAACATTAGTTTCTGTAGATGATAGTATGCACTGTATTAATTTTATTCTTGTCACTTGGTCGTCAGATTTTGTACTTTATCATTCAAAATGTTGTCATTTTATGACTTATTCTCCAATTGTAATCATATCTGAGCTTGAGCATAGCTTTTTTTTTTGCGCATATTGTCTTATTTAAGGTTAAAACGGCATAATTGAATGCGCTGTGCGGAGATTCATTCTTATAGCCTAATTGTGACTTGATTGCTCCAGAGAAAAGGAAGTCCTTTCACCCTGGAACTCAGAAGAAAAAAAAATAACTTTGCTTTTCTCATCCGAAAACTATAGAATACAGAATGGGACACTCTTCAGCAGATCACACTAGAGATCCTTGGTATGCTTATCGTCTATTTGCTTAATACAACTTGAAATTTCTTACTGAACCATTTTCGTTAGCCCTTGGGTCATTCTCAACGATTTAGGTGGTGCTTTTGTTATGGGTGCTGTCGGTGGTGGTATTTGGCATTCAGTGAAAGGTGCAAAAAACTCACCTAGGGTAAAGAGAGAGAAAAATAAAGTAATAGTCATCATATACTCAGTCTATTCATCTTATCTAGGGAGAACGTTTGACTGGTGCAGTATCAGCCATGAAAGCCCGTGCACCTGTCTTGGGAGGCAATTTTGCTGTTTGGGGTGGTCTTTTCTCAACATTTGATTGCGGTCTAAAAGGCATCAGACAAAAGGAAGACCCTTGGAACTCTATTATCTCGGGTGGTTTAACCGGCGGCGTCCTGGCTGCTCGTGGAGGTGTCAAGGCTGCTGGTGTCTCTGCAGTCGTTGGTGGTGCGCTTTTGGCTTTGATTGAGGGTGTTGGTATTGGTATTGCTAGATTAACTGCTGATCAAAATAAGCCTGTTATGCCTCAGGTAAGAGTTTGTTACCTTTATATATGATATGGATGCCTTACCTTTTGTTATAGATTTAGATTTTTGTTGTCAACTCAAAAAAGAAGCTATACTATTACTTTGTAAATAAATTCACCCTAAAGTATTCTATAATTACCAAAGTGCAACGTCCTCTCTGGACATCAATATATGTATAAAAACACACACAGTAACACCTTGGATAAAAAAGATGATTTGGAAGCAAAAAAAGGAAAGAAAGAATGAGCAAGATATGCAATTTATGAATCCCTTTTATACTTTATATCTTTAGTTGCCTCGGTAACAAGAAGTATAGTCTAAATTATAATCTATGTGTGTTGCGTGTGTGTATATATACTATGTCTACATTCCTTTTTGATTTTGTTTTCTCACGCATTGGATGCATGAATGCTATTAACTATTACCTCTGTAGATCTACATGCGAATGATCCTAAAACCTTAATTGTATACAGAAACTCTTGACATCCTGGTTTAATTATGACAGATCAGGAACAAACTTTTATTGAATCAGAATATACAAACTATTGAATAAAGCAACTTCCATCACCCGTTCGCAGTGAAAATGAGATAAGGATCTCAACGGTTTGTTGAGGTAAAAATCAAGCAACGAGGAGAACAATATCGAAAACTTTTGAAAGGAATAATGACAAACGAATTGAGATTTTACTGGCAAGTACGGCAGTTTTTCGCTGTTATCCAGTAAAGGTAAAGAATAGCTCAATAATGATTTTGCAATATTTATAACAGTGATGCATATCTTTATTGTGATAAAAAGGACACTGTGGTTTGATATCATTCAAGGGCATATTAAAACAGAACAGAAAATTCATACACGTCTGGATAAAGCCCAACTCGAATTTTTGTAAAAAAAAAAAGACAAATTTCCCTTTCTTATTGTTCTCTTCTTGCCTCTTTTTTTTTTTTTCTTCTTCAAATGAAAATATCGCACAACCCTTCACATTGGCTACCTCTTTCCTTCAAGTTGGCAAATTACCTTCGAGAGAATGAAATACATAAGCGTTTTTTGACTATAAATGAATCAGTTTACTTTGAATGCGCCCTTGAATCATTCGCTACATGGATAGCGTTTATCAGTTATAAGCAAGCTAATGAAGAATCTGTTCAGCATAAAATTGAAACAACAGTGTTCAGAGTGAGATCGATGCTCAGTGAACAGCTTATACCCCACTTATTTTACACAAACAAAGTCTGCTGTCAGCTTATTCCCTTGGATATACTCTTGGAAGAAGCACAGAGTGTTGAACTGCCAAACGAATCAGAAATTGCTGAAAGTTGGCAATCATATCTGGAGACACACGTAAATTCAAAGCAGACATCAGCATCTCCATCGGTGACCGACGCAGATCCTGTCACGACGATGACAACAACAACAACAGATGACAATATGACTAAAGAAAAAGAGGATTCACAGGAGCAGGACAACAGTGAAGAAGCGCCAATCAAGGTCGAAGAGGAAATGGGAGATATAAATGAGGCGAGTAAACTGAATCAGACGATGGAAGCAGATACAAAGAACAGTAAAACGATCATTCACAAAACGTAAAACACGTTCTCTAAGCTCTTTTCAATAGTAGCAGAAAAGATGATGCCTGCAAATGATGATATTATACTAGAAGAAATTACAACAGTAGCCGACAGTGTGCCAATCATAGATGTCTTTCATACACTGGAACTTGATAGGGCAGCTATGATTGAACAGCGTAAACTTGAGGTATACACATATACACGTGTGACCAGTTGGATGTTTATGTATCAGTTTGAATCTAATAAACACATATCATAGGAATTTGAAGCTCAAGAGGAACTGAATGAAGCTGAAGAAGAAAAGGAGAATTCGACTGCTAAATCGGTATATCTACATATACTTTGCTTTACCTTACACCAATATATATATATATTCATACATAATCCATAGCTATCTATGTTTAATGCAGATGGAAATTTCAATTTGAAGGTATATAGACAGCTACTCCCCCTTTCTTTATGAATTCCCTTTTAAAATCGATTTATACAGTATTTACTTCAAGGCATAGTCGCCAACAGACAAAAGACGTCATTATCAGATCGAGAACTACAAAATCTTTTATCAGACTTTAGACCGCATCGATCGAAATGGGCAAGTGACGAACGCGTTGGACAAGAGGAACTATACGAAGCATGCGAGAAAGTGTTGACGGACCTAAAAAATTATACTGAACACTCAACGCCATTTTTGAATAAAGTGAGCAAGCGCGAAGCACCGGATTACTTTGAAGGTATATTATCTGCATCTTTGACTTGAATAGCATTGTAACGTCTGTTTCTATATTAGTGATAAAGAAACCCATGGACCTTGGAACAGTAACTAAAAAGATGAAAAACCTTTGCTACAGATCAAAAAAGGAATTCGCAGATGATTTGTTTTTGATATATGATAACTGTCTAATGTACAATACAAATTCTGTAAGCAAAAGAAAATAATTAGATATTTGTAGAACTCAAAGGTTCCCTAGGCAAGTGAATATAGAAAGCATGCCATAGCCATGAGACGAAAGACAGAAAGATTATTGACAAGAGTACCTGATATCACAATCAAGGACAGAATGGACAATGAGATAGAGGAAGAGGGGGATGAAATAAGTGAAGAAGAAGAAAATGAGCCCCAAAAGCGTCCTTCCAAAAAGGTAATCACACACTATTTCATGGCTATATGGTTTTTCTAAATATGATTCAGTCTTCTGGGAAGCATACAGTGTCATCAAAGACCGGTCCTATATCTTCAGAATCAATCGAACGTCGATCGCGAGAAAGATCAATCACCCGTGGATCAAGTGCGGCGCCATTTCCGGGCGATATGAGTGATACAGAAAGTGTTCCTGACATTAATGTGTCTCAAAAGTCATATGGAGGAAAGACAGTAGGAAATCAAGCAGGTGATGAAAATATAGATCTAGAGCAGGAAGATAAGAAGCTAGGAGAAGAAATAGAAGCGGATATGGGTGAATTACAGGATCAAATATGGAGAGAAAAGACAAAAAAGACAAGAGCTAGGTTCACGTCTGATGTCGAAAAACAATACCAGTATTCATTCGGTGAGCGAGAAGCTCTAGTAAGATCAGGATTAGACATGGAAAGGTTTTCGGCTATACAGCATTTGCATGATGAGTCAGAGTTGATCATTAAGCTTATACGAAGTGAAAATGAAAAACTGATAAAATGGATCGATCGCAGACCAAACAATGTTACTGCCTATGATCATCTTGATTTAGACTCGAGCGATGACGAAAATCTCGATGCTTTCTTTTCAAGGAAAATAGTCAAGCCAGATAAATCCGTAGATGATTCAGCCAAGACAGATTTATTTCTTCCAGAATACAAGATCACTAGTGGATTGCCCGAAATAGATGGAGTGCCAGAAGATCTAGTGGAATCAAGGCGGGATGAAGGGTTTTTTGATGAGGCAGACTTAAGGCAGAGCATAGATTCCACAGAAGAACTATCAGATGTTTCATTTGACATATACCCGGAACTTGCATTTCCAAACTACGGGTTGATGCCCATGATTGATCGTAACATACAGACATTGGAAAAGATAAGACTAACATATGCAAAGTGCAATGCCATCAAGAACAATACATCCGTAATATTATGGCTTTTTTATGATGATAGTGAACTGTTTTCTAATATTTTCTTTATATATTAGATATCATCACTAACATCATCCATGAGCATTGATTCCCCCTCTACAAACGAGTCTGTTGATACTCCTCTTGAAGGCTCGAGTGTATCCAAGATGCCACCTCTTTCTTTAACTAGTGAGACTGGCTACCGCATGTGTCAACGAGTGATCTCAAAGCTGCTGACTCACGCTGGATTTGAAGGAACAAAAACGGCTGCTTTGAATGTATTAACTGATATCATGACAGATTACATTACAAACATTGGTCGAACACTGCGTAACTATTGGGATGACTATGGACATAAAATGAGCGGAGACGTAAGTACATGACTTCAAGCTATACATGGAACAGATATTAAGACCGTCTATAGAACATGCTGCTGCATACACTATATGAGAATGGTATTACAGACTTGAGCGAATTAGAAATGTACTGCCAGGATGAGGTTGAAAGGAATATATATAGATTAGAAGATATTCATACCAAGTTACAAACGTCTTATCAAGATATTTTAGCTGTAAGTTTGCCTTAATGTCATCCTCGCAAAAAGATACTTATTGTGTTGGTAGAACCCAGACGGAGGAGCACCAGAAAATGAAGAGAGCATACTCAATGATGAAGAGACCTATATTACGTAAGATTTCTCTCTCTCTCTCTTGTTTATACTAAACTGTCATGTAGTGGCCTATTTGGAGAGGATATTGGTGAAGATTACTTTGGATTTAAAGATATGGGCCTGGATAAAGAGTACAATCTAGACACACTGAATGTAAGTCTCCATTAAAGAGTGATATCTGTTACACTCTCTTATTTTACCCTTTCTAGGTCCCCGCCAGCTTATGGTTTGGTAAAAATAAAGAAAAACTGAATGTCGTTAAGCAGTAAGTCTAGCAGCATTATAATACATTGCCATTAAACATTACAATCTTATTATGTAGTACTGCCAAAGAGCAAAAGATTAAATACCATCCACCTCCAAGCTTCCAGCCAGTGACATCGGAAAAGTCTATTATTGGTTTACTTCAACCCTATTTTTCAAAACGACTCGCGGATTCTACAGGTTCTGTGATAGAAGATGAATTCTTACCCAATCGCAATAAATCAAAGCCCAGATACCCTCCCACGACAAAGAATGTACCCGGTCGAAAGAAAATGCCCAAAGAGGCGACAGCTGGTGGGGCTGGTGGAAAAGGCGATATTAGAAAATACAAAAAAAAGCGACCAGTAGAAGAGATTAATGCAGAAAAAGCGGAAAAAGCAGAAAAGAAGAGGCTTAGGATGGAAGAAAGAGCACAGAGAATAGCTGAAAAAGAACAGAGACGAAAGATGAAAGAAGAATTAAAAGAACAGGAGAAGCTAGCTAGGATGGAAGCAAAAGAGAAAAAGAAAGCATTAACTAAGAAATCGAAGCAACCAGCAACCAGTTCAAAATCACCTATGCAGGCAGATGAAGAAGACGATGAATAAAAAAAAAAGTTTGGAAAGTCGTGTCTGATAAAAGTCGGTGTTGTTACACTCTTTCAAGACTGAGTATCTTGAGCTATAAAATTAAATAAAACTACATGCATCTACAAGCTATGGCTGTAAAGGTCGGATCACTAAAAAAAAAGCCCTACAGTATAGAGTCACACACCAACCTTTTTTTTCTCTCTCTTTTCAACATGTTGGGAAATTTGCCCTTGCCAACAACTTCTGGAAGAAAGGGAATAAAAAAGTACTCAATCACCAAAGTGGGGACAATCAGCAGTGTCTCTGCTTTGTACATATTGATATCAACATCCGCTGTATTTCTCAACAAGCTATTGTTCGCTACGTCTGAATACAAGTTCCCATACCCCTTTTTTACTGTATTATTTCAACTATGCGTGACATTTATATTCATGGTCTTGTGGAGTAGTTGTCGTCCAGTGTAAAATTACTTCCAGAAGGAATTGGAAAAAGAAACTTGGACTTATATGTTGTATATCTCTAGACATCCGATGCACATTCCTCGATTCAGTTGGGATTCTTCAGTAGCTATCCGAGTAGCTCCTCTATCTATAGTCTATATGTGTGTCATCATATTTAACCCTCTCTTCTTACGGCACGTCGAAGCAACCGCCTACCATTTCTCTCATTCATTATCGATCGCTTTTTCATTGATCTTTTCCTTTTACATGCTTAAAGTAGAGCCTTCACAAAACCTCACTTCAGCCTGTATCGTCATCATGCTTGGTTTCTGTATTGGATCAATGGGACAACTCAATTTTTCGTTAGCTGGTGTGTTCTATGCATTGGCCTGGCCAGCTGTTGTCGCAATATATGGAATTTATGTCAAAAAGACAATAGCCGCATTAAGAAATGATGTGTGGTTACTAATACAATACAACACAGCCATGTCCATAGTCACATTGATTCCTCTTGTCCTGTTGTCAGGCGAACTGAAGGAGGTCTTGAATAACGTTTGGTTTTTGGATGAGTTTGGATTCTGGTTACAGATGGTAAGTGTGTATGTGTATTGTTTGTTATTGATCAAAAGTTCATTCATGGTTTATTTGTATAGGTCATAACATCATTTACTGGATTTGCAGTTAACGTAGCCATGGTCTACTTGCTTATACATGCAACACCACTAACACTTGCTGTTGCTAGTGCTAATAAGGTATAATAGCAAGGAATGTATTACATATAGAGTGCTTATCTTTATAATAATAGTCGATTTTTCAAGCATCTATAGTCGCAATTGTGTTTGGTAACTCAATGTCACTATTGGTAACTATTGTACATATAAACAAAGACAAGTAAACTAAAAACAATGTATAGAATGCAGCGGGTATGCTTACCGCATTAGGAGGGACCTTGTTTTACATTTATACTAAATATAGTGAACTCTATTTGTAACATTAAAAGATATAAATTTATAGAGAGACAAGAAATAATCTGCATGTATCTGTCTTTATTTCAGGCATAAAAAAGAAAGGACTCTTTTGTTACTATTATTCTTAGGAAAGATAAAAAAAAAAAAATAAATAAATAAATGCCTCCTTAGGAGGAAAACCTTAGATTCATTATAAAAAAATAAATTAAATATGATATTAAAGTCATAAGCCAAGATGCCTGTTATTTCCATATATTTGATTCATAGTATTTGTAAAATTGCTATTATCCTCCTCAAGAGCATCTTGTGTTCATTGATGTATAGTGTTTATAATGAAAATGATGGGTGATGTATCTCAGTTGTCTTCTTCTGGATAAAACTGTGAATGCAATGAGTATATTGCTGTTGATGGTATCTGCTGATGTTGTTTAATAGGTTGTGGATAGGTTGTAATGTCCTGAGCAACATTTGTAGAAAAGAATCCATAGGCATATGAGGCGGTAGGGAGTGGTGGAGGCAAAATACGCTGATGGAGTAGATTATTCTTGTAGGATGCAGTAGATGATGAAGTACTGGAGATAGATGCTCTATTTACGGATCTTTCTGAATTGGTAATGAGAAGGTTTTGCATAGACATAACGTTTGTACATTTTTGTTCACTAGGTGATGTGTCAGAATAACTCTCTTGACGTGAGAGAATGTTGGATGGCTGATAGGTGCGCCTGAGCTTAGTACTCTTGTATGTATCATTTGACTCAAGATTTTGCCTAATGTTTTGGTTCTGTTGTATCTCGCGCCGACGTTTCCTAAAGTAAATTGACTTAGTTTGTTTTCCCTGAATAAACTTTTAGCTTTGCCATGCTAGCCCTTACATGGGCGAAGTACACGCTGCCCTTGCTTCTTTTCTAATCCGTAGACGAACCCCTTGTTCCGAAAATAGCCGTGTGAGCTCCGTAGATCCTACATTAAAAACACTAAGATCATCTTATTTAAGGTCTTCTTTATCAGTTCATACCTGACATTCCAGGAAAGCCTATTAAGGGGTAAATTAGACATACTCTGAAAAATTGAATCCACTTACATTTTGGAGAATAGACTTGGAATCTATCTGATATCACGTAGCAAATCCTTTCGGCCTCTGACCTAAGCTTTTGATTAATAATTGTTATGTAATTTTTTTGAAAGCATAAAGTACCCCTTGATTTGGAATAGTGTGAATTTAAGTCTGAATACACCTTCTATTCTAATGCTAATATCTGAAAATACAAAAAATGCGCCCTCTAAAAAATATAAACCAGATGAATACATACATGACGATTGAACAATTGTTTTTATATCTGAATAGCTTACCTCTATTGTCTGTATCTCGTAGCTTATGTAGTGACTGAGCAATGGATCCGGCAGTGGTTTGATGCCCGTTTACGATGTGAATGTCATTATAATTCTCTGAGTCAATCAATGTAGCAATGACAAAGAAGTTTGAACTAAGCCAGTAGTTGCTAAATACCATAGAAAAAAATAAGATACGATCAATCAATACATAATTTCATTCATATACGTCAAATCACTCGATTGTTACTTAAAGTTGATCGAGCCAGTCTGGTGCAACTGAACTATAGGTGGTGGATCCAACGGACGACGGTCGACTATATAGTAATTAGTATAAGATATGTTATATGTATATAGCAAACGAACTGACCTTTATCCTTGAAACTGCAAAGTCTCGCCTTTTCAGGCTGCTGTCTTACTGTTAATGTATATCTGAAAACCAAGTTAGAAATAAATAAGCAAATGAAATATGAATATGCTAACTCTGTTTGTGGTTTTGATGTTGAAGTATGAAGGAAAGGCACATTAAGTTGGCGGCTTTGTTGAAGATGGTTGATTCGCGTAATATTCATCCTTTGACAGAATGATTATAGAGTTATATAAATGGAATAAATGCTTATTACCTTTATTGCATAAGATAACTACAATCGAGAATAGCAAATAAAAGGAAAGAACGAAAAGAGAAATAAGGGAAGAGAAAAAGGAAGTTTAGCATGAACTGTAGACGATGTGCTTTTATAAAGACAAGAAGGGAAACATCAAATAGGGTCCTATAAAAAGCAGGGCATCAGCGATGTCGATACATTGATTTTCTTAAAAAGTAGGACTTACAGTATATATTGCTACATCACATGCCCTCTCCTACAGGTATATCAGGGCCCCTTCTGAGTGACATCGCTCTAATATATTACAGCCCTCCTTTTACTTTTTATGTTTTATCCCCTTTAGAATTTCGTAATTCTGATCGAATCTAAGAAAAAAAGCCAGGGTCAAGGTAACTTTTTGTATACATTATTTAAAAATGACAGGCTGACACCGACCGATCAAATATATGTTATTGTCATAAATGCAATGCGCTTATCGACAATGCATTCAATTAAAAAATCTTTCCTCGAATTCTCTCCCTCCCTCCATTAAACTTACACGCATTAACGCACACACACGCACACGTCAGAAACACATTGATTAATCCACGTTTAATGACCCTGACCGAACCATTCCGCTTTATTGAATATAAAAGGAGAGGCCATGAATTGTATAAGTGCGTGATCGGAGCCAACATAGGGAATACAGGAAGTATATTGTTATAACGCACAATGCTTAATAACAATAAACTATGCATTTTTAATAGTATTTTAATATAAATTTAAGGAGAGCATTATGTGAAACTGAACAGGGTGAAATCTAGGAATAAATGCCTAAAAAAGGTATATGCAAATGCACAAAGCTTTTGCAATCACTTCCGATCTATGCGCCTTTTTATTAACTATGCAGGGCCTTTGGCAACTTTTTTTTCTTTTTTTTTTTTCTTTTTCTTTTTTAGCTACACCACGTTTCGAATTATAAGCCATGCATTTCCCCTTAATCCGGCGATGTAAAGAAAATAGTATCAATCCTAAGCATGTAATGAAATAAGGCTATTATACATTCTTTGTTAAATGTTTGACTCTACATACAAAGTAAGCATATTTTCGTACAAGTGACTCATAATTACTTGTTTGATATATACAAAATTTATGATACAATCGAATCTTTAGCATCGTTTTGAAAATGTGATTGCAAAATAACAATGTGTCGATCATTTATTTAATATATTAAAATTTCTTATTTAGGAGTCGAATGACTGTATTGTAATGAATGACGTCCACGCTGTCTACAAACACACGCCTGCATTTGTCAAACAAGTAATGCCATTATGGCTCGTAAAGAAGACGGGGCAAGGTAGGGCAAAATAAGCATTTCTACTTTATTCGTTTTGCCAATACTTATGTCTACATGGGATTCTACACGCTATCTCTTTGCATAAAGTTAAATGCCACGTTGACAGTTCAATCTGATAAGGTTGTAACCATGGTAACCTACACTCCTTACTTATGACCATATCAACACAAATGCTTTGTTTTGTGATTTTTTGCCTCTAGATACGTGCAGGAATCTATTGTTCGAATGACCTAGCCAGTCACGACAATTAGTCATTTTTTAGTAATCATAACTGATAACTTCAAGGAGAAGAACGTGTCATGTTAAGATTCTTTACTACCTCACCATTAGCGACATGTCTTTATTTTAAACAACCGTTTCCCCCCCCCCCCGTAGCCATGCGTTATTGACACCGCAATCTAACGTATTGATTGAAACATAGATGGTCGGAGGCGGGGAGTCTATTTTTACCGGAACGGATTGATGACATAAAGGCCGCGCTCGGTGCAACAGGCTCTATTTTTGGGAGGGGGTTTGGGACTATAAAAAAGTGTTTTAATTCTTTTTCATTCTTCTTTATATCATGCGTCCTCTTGCCTCTGCTGTTTCTGGTGCTTTCCGCGCAACTAATGCCAGACCTACTTTCTGCTTTACTTCCAAAGTAAATTCGACACATGAGAAAATAACGTACTAACATTTTACAATCAGAGCGCATCATTTGGAAATGCTCGCCACTTTAGTACGCGTCCTGAGAAAAAGGGAGGTAGTAAGATCTTATTAGCAACCTTATTAGGTGCTGGTGCTGTCGCTGGTCTTACTTTTAACCAAAGCAAAACTACAGTCAAGCCTGCTGTTAAGGAAGCCGTTGCTGAAGTCAAGGAAAAGATTCACTTCACCGCTCCTGACTTTACACCTTTGAAGGTAAGGGAATATTAGCTGAAACGAGGCAACACAAATAACCCCCTCTTTTTACAGTTGGTTGAAGTCAAGCATGTCTCTCACAATACTAAATACTACCGCTTCGAGCTTCCCAAAGATCAAACTGCTGGTATTCCTGTTGCTTCCTGTGTTCTTGCTCGTTATCAAGCCGAAGGTGAAGAACCTGTTGTTCGTCCTTACACGCCCATCTCTTCTGCTGATGTAATTAATCGTAAAAAAAAAAGAAAGATATGTACTGAAAGCACACATCTAGACTGTAGGTTTCCTCGAATTTGTCATCAAAAAATATGACACTGGCAAGTTAACACCTATCCTCGACAGCATGAAACCCGGAGACACACTCGAATTCAAGGGTCCTCTTCCCAAGTATAACTGGGAAAAGGATCAAAAGACCAATGTAGGTTTGATCGCTGGTGGTTCTGGTATCACCCCCATGGTCCAAATCATCCGTAGAGTACTCGATGAAAAACCCACGGATAAGAAGACAAAGATCACCTTGATCTTTGCCAACGTCAACGAAAACGATATCTTGTTGAAGGACGAACTCGACCAGATTGCCAAGGAACATCCTGATAAGGTCAAGATTATCTACGCTCTTGACAATCCTCCCGAAGGCTGGGCCGGTCTCAAGGGTTATGTTACTGCTGATGCTATCAAGAAGTACATGCCTAACCCTGAAGACAAAGATAGTATCATCATGGTCTGTGGTCCACCTCCTATGGTTGCCTCTCTTGCTGGACCCAAGAAGGGTATGAAGCAAGGTGAACTTGGTGGTATTTTGAAAGAGTAAGTGATATCATTTTGAAAACAGAAGCGAATAACTAATATAACTAAATCTTTAGATTGGGTTACGCTCAAGAGAATGTCTTCAAGTTTTAACCATAAAAAAACCCTCAGTTTTATATATTTGTGTAAAAGGAATAGAACCAAAAAAAAAAAGTATACATGTATATGTGTGTTTGTGTATGTTTAAAATGATGGAATGAAATCTTTTATGATACAAGAAATTGTTATCTACGGGGTATGGTTGTTTTTACTATTATCAAACTTGAGCATCTTACATTTTTGCATCTTCATGGCAAATTTTGGAGGCAACTTTATCGTATTCATCTTGCGATTGACGTCCACTTCATTGGCTGTTGTTGAGTTATAACCAATATCCAAAGTAATTGTGATCAGAATCTCACTGAGATGACTGTAATCATTCTTGATGATTGAAACTACTTGATCTAACCGTACAAAGTAAAGGTCCTGTTTCAAGAATCGCTGCTTTTCAACTTCTTTAGTCTTGTTACTACAATCTGATGCTTTATCTTCATTAATAGACACATTAAAGCAAATCATAGGTGACAAAGGTGACCATAGTCTTTCCTTCTCTTTAGCCGATGCCTTTCTTCTAGACAGATGAGGGTACTGTCGTAATAGTTGCTCTGTCGAAATCCCCAACAAGAGGCCGACCTGTACGTCCGTCACATAAAAGCTACTGCTGTGTTCCCCTTCAGGTTGCTGAATGGTATAAAGCGGTAAAAATTTGGACGCACAGTGTATCGACGGGTAATGTGTTTTGCTGTCATCGTATAGGCCCATCATTTCTTCTTCCTTTTTAATGACTTTTGTCCAATGATCAGGTGGTGGTGTAGGTATAAGAGGTTGATATCCATCAACGGGCATTTCGGTCTTTACTATCTGTAAGTTCTTTAGGCTCTTCTTTGGAAGATGTTGCCCAGAAAGCTGTCTTGCATGAGCCTTGGCATCTTTTACGCTAGTCTCTGTCTTTAATTCAAAAGACGTAGGAGATACAGGAGATTCGGGCTGTTTGCAAGCCATGTTGGCAGCAAGAACGAGTCGACGCCTTTTTGGTTTAGCTGGTTTATGTTGTCTCAAGATGTCTGCAATTGAGTCATCTCTTTCAATGGCAATATCAAGGGGGGTTTGTCCCTTTGAATTGGCAATGGTCATATCTGCTCCATATTCCAATAGTAGTTGAACGACTTCAGTGTGTCCATTTTCGGCTGCATCGTGCAATGGTGTATCCAAATCCGCTCCTCTAGAGTTCACATCTGCATTGTATTCCAACAGCAATCGAACAATGTCTGTCTTGCCTCTGAGGGCAGCTTCATGCAATGGCGTATAACCCGCATTATCTCGTTCACATGAGTTCGCTCCTGCTTTTAATAATTGTTCAACTGCTTCAACATATCCACGCATAGCAAACTTGTGTAGTTGAGTATAACCCAGATTGTCCTTCTTATCCAGCTTGACAAGATCAACAATCGGCTTTTTCTTTGGTGTGTCATCGTCTACTGAGCATTCTCTTGATGCTTGCTTCGATGTTAGTTTTCTCTTTTTTGAAGGAGAAGGAGGAGGAGTAGTTGAGCTTTTATCCTTTTTGGTCTTTTTCAACTGTTGACTCTTTTCTGCTTTTTCAAACGACTTCATAATTGCTTGAATTTTTCGTTCTTCTCGAGACAGGACAGTGTCTTCCTTTATTCTTTTATGCTTTGTGTTGGATACAAATGTGATTTCATCAATAGCCTCTGTAGTTGCTCTCAGTCGATTTTCTTGATCAATATGTGCAGTGATGATTTGTCGAACGACTACAGAGTCAGAGACTTGATAGGCTGTGTGGCCATTTTCGTCTTGAATATGAACATCAGCGCCTGCGTTAATTAAATACTGTACAGTAGCTTGATGTGAATGTTGAGATGCTAAATGTAGCGCAGTCGAATGATGATGATCCACACTGTTTATATCAGCACCATTTTTTATCAGTAAATCAACCAGTGATAGATGTCCATGTCGAGCTGCGCAATGTAATGGAGTGGATTGAGAAGAATCTCGGGCATTGACATTAGCACCTATACTGAGTAATTCTTTTACTTTTTCAAAAGAACCATCTGTGCAAGCACGATGCAATATCGTTTGTCCTTGATCATCAATAGAGACTATTTCATCCACTTCTTTCATCTTTGCTTTCAGAATACGAATACAATCTTCATCTTCACATACATCTAATGGTGTTTGCTTTTCTGAGTTTAGAGCATATACATTTGCACCCGAATCGACCAGTAGCTGAACACAGTCCACAAAACCATAGCTGCAAGCATCATGCAGTGGGGTGTCATCTTCAAACCCTCGAGCGTTGACTATGGCACCTTGTTCTATTAGATACTTTGCAACATCATATTGGCCTTTGATAGCTGCTTCATGAAGCGGAGTCCATCCTGCATGGTCTTTATGATTTACATTAGCACCTCTTTCTACTAATTCTTTTACTTTATCTAAGCTTCCAGAAGAGGTATAGTAAAATATTTTTGTTCTTCCTGCCTTATCGATCTTGTTTGGGTCTTGAAAGGTGCTTCTTCCTTTTTTATTGGTCTTGTCCATAATGTTGGTCATTAAAATGTATAGTATAGGTTTGAGGTATATATATATAAATGTGTTTATGTATAATTGAAGCTTTTTTGGTAAATGGAAAGGGAATCTCTATATGAAAGACATTAGTTAATATTCTACAAGCGCAAGTAACTTATTCACCTTATAAAAGAAAGACCTTTTTGTATATATATAAAAAAATTTTTTTTGGAGTTAAAAAAGGGGAAAAAGAAAGAAGAGAGAATAATAATAATAATAAGAAAAAAGCTTATTTAAAAATGGTTTCATAAAAATCAATGCGACTGGTTTCTGCTATGCACTCACTTAAATCATCCAGAATTTTTTGATTGGATAAGATAATGATGACGTTAATATTTCCTTTTCGAATCAGAATAGAATAAGATATTTACAAGTGCAAAGGGCCAAAGCAGCTGGCTATTTAATAGTGCTGGTTAAAGTACTCTATTAAATGCAGCATTCCTTGATCTAATATTACAGTTATTATTAACATAATCTGCAAGAATCGATCGAATGTCCAATGCTATGTTGACGTCTCGGTTCCAGACTTATCATTGGATGGAGTTGACAGTATTAAAATAGAATAATTAGTGCCTAACTAGCTGTAACTAAACAAAAGTAACTTAATAAGTCTCCACCATAAGCATTACCAGCTGGACACTGTTTACAAAATTTTAAAGGGGTATACAATGAGAACATGGCCTATCTTGTAAACTTTTAGGTTAGAACATAAACTTTAAACGTTCGAAGTTTGGCAGATATACCTATTTGCGTTTTATCGGGTCAGAGACTGGATCAATTAATAATGCGATTCTTATCATTTACACACCATGTAACACGATTTTTCACTGTACTCCATTTAATCGTCTTTTTTTTCTAAGAATTAAATAGAGGTCAATATCTTGTACAGTTATGTATATAAATAATATTTGCATACTTATGATTGCAATCAAATCCTCTTTCAGGCACAGTAATATCCTCTAAATCGTTTTTGCAATGGCTGCAAACCCTTGACGTCCTGTATTCATCAACTAATATTTTTATCCCTTTTTTTTGATAAATGTCTGCGTAATTACTATTGCCTGTATTAGATATAATTGCATATTTTTGTAAATTCATTTTACCTTGGAGGGTGTAGGAGTAAATGAACGCATAAAGCTTGGAAGGCTGGCGCCGCCATATACAAAAATGACTCTCCTATGGCGTTGACCTTGAAATCCAGCATTCCTACGATATAGCTCTCTCTCCTTTTTTCGTCTTCTGCTTGTGCTCGAGTCGCATAGCGGTATGGCTCGTTTCGTAAGGTTCTTTGGTATAGAACATTCATAATATAGTCTAATGTTTGTTTTCCATTGCTATATAAATAACCTTTCCTTTCACAATGCTCAAATCCTTTCATGAAAGGAAAAGTACTAATAATAATAATAGTTCAAATAAGAATATTATAAAGATAGAAAACGATTTATAAACTTACTGAACATGAGATATTGATATGATTTGTATGTAGGATAGAATATTTGAACATTCTGTGACATTTGGGTTGGGAATCATGCCATACCACCCTTGTATCCCATGAGAACCGTATTGACGCCTCTTACTCAACTCGACCTGTGTAGACCAAGCAAAGCCTGAACGTACCTTAAAATTAAGTAATGAAAAAAAAAAGTTATTAGTGTACCTTCATACACACTCTTGGCGTAATTATCTTACCTGTAATCGCCGTGCGATATTGAAAAAGTATGATCTTTAGTTGTCTGCTTGTTGATTATATGTTCATGAGATACATCAATAGTTGTGACTAAATCACGATGACCTACATAAAGGTGGTATGTAGTTAGTTTTTCTTTTGACTCATATTTTCTGGCTTGTATATAGGCACCTGGATCGATCCCAATAAACAGGTCGTCGTTTTTAAGACCAGCGGGTTCTTTGTTTAGTGTTAAGTACCTCTTTTCCAACTACTGATATTAACAGACCTTGGTGCATATTGTTCATCATCATTAGTTTCTGGAAGCCTTTCTATTATTGCATAAAATCGATGCAATATAAAAGTATTAGCACATACGCAGTAAAAGTGCTTCAAATATTTGACTTACCAATAGTTTTCGCCGAGAGTAGAACAGACACCATGTGTCTGTCAGATGAAATACTGTAATCCAGTGTGGCCTTATTTTTTTCATTGTTCGTATTTATAGCCAAACATTACAATATGTCATGAATATTTACAATATCAAAAGCCAGTAATAGGCAATCTTACAGTTTTGTTTTCTTTGTCTGTTTTTCTGAAGATGGTCGGTATTAAATATATGTTCCCATAGTAGCTCTTTCTCTCCGCGATATAGTTGCCACTGAGTGTCGTTATTGGCATTAGATCTAGGTAATACTAGTGAAGTGAACTTTTATTAGTGACATTGTGGCGTCTGTGTTTCAAAAATATAGTCTGCTACATTGCCTGATTTGTATTCACGTCAAATTACTGCACTAACAAATTTGCAGGAACAGGATATCCTGCCTCCTTACATCGCCTAAACAAATGATACATAGCAATGTGACCAGATAGAGAAGCATAAGCTTTAATATAAGGTAAAAAATAAGCTTTAGACAGAGATAAAGATTGATATCAACTATTTACCGATTCCGTGCTTTGCTACAGGTAGCAAACTCCAAGTTCGAAATTCAAATTGCAATCCACGAAAATCAGTAGCTTCCCTTAAAAGCGTGACACTGAAGCGTAAAAGATAGGGTGCATTTATGAGGGCAAAATCATACGATGAACTACGTCTAATGAAAGATCTCCAAATGCACCATAAAATATACTATAAATTAACCTAAAAGTAAGGAAGTAACTTAGTATAATAGCTCTTCTGTGTAAGTTTTTAATCTGAAATATAAACCCATATAATTCATGGGCAATAGGAAGAAGAGTTGTCGAATGTTCAACGGTTGATTATCTATTTATAACACTATTGTTGCGAGATTTACTGAAAATAAAGAAATTACAGTAAGCTATCGTTGATCGAAAAATATTGCACTTTCTAGCTTATTTACCAATATTAGACACATTTATAGGTGATCGAGTTTGTATCTTATATTCCAAGAAATATCCCTTGAAAACTATAAAGATGTTTCTTCTACTGATAGTTTTGGTTTGAAAATGCAAAAAAGCTAGAAAGCATAGTACGAGTAAATTTTGGTACTTCCAAATGACAGTAGCAAAAGACTACTTATTAAGAATATAAGCTTTTCCTGCTTCTCCCCCCCAGTTTTCACCGCTGTTAACTGAAAAAAAAGAAACATATTCATTAATTATCAATCTTTAAGTATGCATTATCCTATACTTAACAAAGACAATTTACTAATAAAAGCTGTCTATAAAAAGTACATAAAAGTCTTAGCTTCTAGTTGCTTAAAGTTCAATTTCTTTGTTCAAAAGAATAGGGTTAATCAAATGCAGTATAGTTCACTCTGAATCAAATCGCAAGTAGCTTGTATATAAAAAGAGTACGTAGAGTAAATACAGTAGAATTTCCTATAAAGCGTCTCTAAAAACATATGCTCAAGAGTAAATATTCTTAAGCTTGTTATATTCGCTTGATTCAAGGGAGTGCGCACCATGATATCAACGACTTCATCCAATCCATGGTGATATAGTTGCCTCTCGGAACAACACGGGCGACACTCAGACGGAAAATGAACAGGAACCCTTCTCCAGTTAAGCAAAGTCAAGCATAGGAAACGCATCAAATATATTTTCAGAAAAATACTACGTTTGTAATAGAACTGGAGAAAAACCTAATCTAGAAATAGAAAAGACCTTTTTTTTTTTTAAAAAAAAAAAAAGCAAACAAATACAGCACTATTTCTATTGCCACAACATTCATGAAGGGAGCCAAGTTTTTCGTGCTGAGTAGAATGATCATGAAAGCGTGAGTGGAGACGTTAAGTAATGGCTTTAAAACTATTTTTTCAAAGCTGTAAGCAACTGCTATGAAAGACAACCAGTTTAAATCTTGTGAGACTGTGTATATACCAAGATATAAAAAGTTTAAAATGCAGCATACTATACATCTTATTCGTAATACACTTACTTATACAGTCTATCATAGTAATCTCTGCTTATGTACCTCAAATGACTGAATTTGTTGAAGAACAAGCAGCTTCGAAAAAAAGATCTCTTATCCTTTCATTAAAATAACGTTGAATTGCAGCTCTTATGTCTCTTCTACCATAGCTTTCACGTAACTTTTGCAATATAACCTCCTTCGTATTGCCCGATAAAGGAAAAAAAGAGATATCATCAAGGCTTCCATTAAGATGACTATGCTCATTATGAAGCTTAATAGTGACCTGATTAGGTGCTAGAAAATAACAGGTGGCAGTAACATAGCATCTGCAATCGATCTTCTTGTTTGGTTTCTGAATTGGCCGGCTTTTAGATGATTCATCTTTTGTCTGTACACCAGCACGACTCTTATATGTCCCAGCTCTATGGCATATGTACTTAATTTTCCAAATGATACTTCTCCCTATTACGCACTTTGGTATAGGTTGGCCTTCTTCGATTAAAGTAGGCATATCACCATTCGTCTTTTCCTTATAAATTCAACGCGCTGCATGATGAGCAGGTGAATTTTCAATGATATTTTTCTAAGAGTCAATATCAACAGTAATTTCTCTAGGAAAGGAAGTGTATTGTTCTAAAACTAAGTTCTCAGAAGTGATTATTATTCTTTAACAAATGGGGAATAAGTGGAAGAAAAAGCCAAAGAATTAAAGAAAATCAAAGGAGAATTAATGATCACAACATGAAAGAATAAATTAGAATAATAGCCACTTTAAGAATTCAAAGTTCAGAAAGGGAGGTATGCCTCTACCATTGTTGTATTTCTAGTGTTTATGTATATAGAACAGTAGGAGTCAATAGCTAACAGTTACTATTTTTTATTTTAAAGTTAAGAGAAGAACTATTAAATGAGGCAAACACTTGGTGCACTCAAAAATAAACCAATACCACTATCCACTACCTATAATATTGCCCACTAAAACTATTCGATGTGTAGCGTAAAGCTAAACATGACTTTAAATGTTGCCATCTTAGATTGTTTCCTTTCAAGAAGAAGAAAGAGATAAAAAAGAAGCGTTGCTATTGCTTATTTTTAATTTTACGTTGTCAGTTTGATCAGCAAAGAACCAAGATCAATCATGTGTAATTATGATGAATTCGTACTTTATACCAGAGAGAATGAGCTAGGCAGCCTTAGGTTAGGCAGAGACTTTGGTAGTGTAAAGTTGTAGTGATGTCACATGTAGTGCCCCAAGGAAGCGCTCATAGCACTAGCCTATTTTTGAGTGCATTTTTGAGTGCACCAAGATGTGTAAGCATATTTTTTTGATCAGCCGCTTAACCAAGCTGCCCTTTTCTCCTCGTGCTCCTGCCCCTGTTGCTCAGCAAGAAAGACTTGATACCCCCATATGGTAATCAAGACCTCCTTTGCCGTGAGCAGTTTGAAAATGCGGACCAAAACGTTCGTATCTTGCCAAGTATAATTAAAAGATCAGACAATTAAGGATAATCCAGAAGGTTTAGATAATCTGACAAGCTCATTAAAACAATCTATATCAATCATAAAAAACGCCCAATCAAGGCCTGCAAGACAGCAATAGTTCTGTCTTGTCTTTTTTTTTTTTTCCTCCTAATCTTAAATCAATTACTACCAAATTTTACGCAAGTCTTCACTTGGATGTTATTTTTCATTTTGTGACTCGCTGCTAAAATCTTAGTAACTTTAAAGCTATTCCTTTGGGCTCATGTGCGGTTTTTTAAAGTGACTGTTCAGCTCAAAAGGAAGAAAAAAAAAAAATCAGATACACACCCCAGCTATACAGTAACCAAATTGTTGTTGCCCCTATCTCTCTGTCTCTCTTTTTCTTAAATAACCATGTCCAGGTTGACCATTGCAACAAAGTCACTATGTCAAGCAGCAGCAACTCAGTCTAGACGACTTATTCACACTTCTGTACCAACCTTGTCTCATATTGGACGTAAACCAATCACATACTCTCAAGAGATCAAGATTGAACATGACTTGACACCTATCCTTGAACCTCGCATTCCCTCTGAATTAAACAACACAACACTCACAGTCACTGGACCACTTGGAAAGCAACAATTGCCAATAAAACCCTTTGTCAAGCTTAACTTTGAACCAGCGCCCAAAGATGATCCTAATGCCGAAAACACACTTCAAGTGACAATTGAAGATGAAAAAGAAAAGAAACAAAAGGCAATGTGGGGAACAACTCGTGCATTGATTAATAATGCAATTGTTGGAGTATCAGATGGATATAAAGTTCATTTACGTCTCGTCGGTGTTGGTTACAGAGGTGCACTCGAGAACAACAATAGAACCTTATCCCTAAAGCTTGGTTACTCTCATCCTATCCTCATGGACTTACCAGAGGGTGTTTCATGCGCAGTGCCTCAACCTAATCGTATTGTACTGCAAGGTATCAATTTACAACATGTGACTGAATTTGCTGCAAAGATTCAGCGCTGGAGAAAGCCTGAACCTTATAACCAAAAGGGTATCTTTATTAACGATGAGACAATCAAGAAGAAGGAAGGAAAGAAGAAATAAATAACACAAAACCATTTGTGCGCATGTAGTTAATAGTAGCATAGAGACAAAAAGTAAATAAATCCCCTCTTTGAAATTTTATTTCTTGTTTTCTTTAAACTAAAAGATGTTTGTAAAACTAGTCACTACGTTTGCACTCAGTAGTCAAAGATGACACACGGTATATCGGAAATAAAGGTTCGGAGAATCCGATATTCAATCAGTTTATTCATTCATGAAATACTATAAACTATGGATTGAATGTATCTATATAAACAATTTCTTCTGATACAGCTCAAGAAAAGAAACAGAGAAAAAGTGCTTACAGCGTGTTGTTATTATTATTTTGACAGCTGCATTTGAGTTTATTCAATAAACTCCAATCAAATTGCTTGTTCCTGTCAAACAGATATGACCAACAGTGACACTTAATTTTTTTTTTTTTGAAACTTCTATCAATGAGTGATTTACCTTCTCTTAGAAAAAAGATTGATTCTCTAGATATAACACTAGTCAACATACTGAACGAAAGAGCCCGTGTTTCATTGGACATTGGTGCAGCTAAAAGAAAATCAATGTAAGTGAATTCATGTACGTTTATATAGATAACTCATATTATTCACTAGTACAGCAGAAGAAGAAGCAGAGTCCGATGTACATGTGTATAGACCAGGTAGAGAAAAGGAGATTTACGAAAAGGTTTGATTATTTCAAAAAAAGATAACGTGTCATCTCGCTCAATACCCTTTGTAGTTATCTCGTCTTAATCCAGGACCACTCAATGATGATTCATTAAATGCCATCTTTAGAGAGGTAAGATTGTACAAGAATTCAATCGTTTCGGCTCAATAACTAATATATACTCCAAGATTATGTCTGCATCGATCGCATTACAAAAGGATGTATCCATTGCTTATTTAGGGCCTCAAGGCACCTTTTCTCATCAAGCAGCTTATAATCGTTTTGGTGATAGCGTTGCCTACGTGGCTCAAAAGCAAATTAGCGGTAAAATACTAGATTACTTTATATTAATAGCCTATACCTTACTCGTTCCTTAGACGTATTCGATGCTGTCGAAAAGGGTCAAACAACGTACGGCATTGTGCCCTTTGAAAATTCTACGTTTGGCACAGTAGTCGAAACATTAGATCGTTTCATTCATTCACCTGTTAGAGTACGTGCAGAGACTTATCTGACGGTACATCAATGTCTGTTGTCAAACAGCAAATTAGATAAGATCACAAAAGTGTATAGTCATCCTCAAGGATTAGGCCAAACTCAAAAGTGGCTATCAGCGCATATCCCAACCGCAAGACGTATCACGGTTCGATCGACTGCAGAGGCCGCAGAAAAGGCGGCATTAGAAACAGGAGCAGCGGCTATTTGCAGTGAAATCTGTGCAGAGCTTTATGGGTTGGAAGTCGTGGCGTCCAACATAGAAGATGTTTCAGCAAAGAGATGTATAAATAACAACATATTTCAAAATAGCCAATAAGACTCGTTTCTTGATCATTGGTACAGCAAGCGATTCTCCTACACAAGATGATCATACCTTGATTAGTTTCACCGTAGATCACCGTCAACCTGGTGCACTATGTGATGGATTGAAGGTATTCAAGGATTATGGTCTAAACTTATTCAAGATAGACTCTCGTCCAAGTGGTCAACGTCCATGGCACTATGTCTTTTTTGTAGAATGTTCTGGCCATTTTGAAAATGAAGAAATCAAAAAGGCACTCAAGGATTTGGATAAATTCTGCTTGGATGTTGTCGTGTTGGGTAGTTTCCCAAATCAGAGACCAGAATAAAAAGAAACATTAATTTATTATAATTTTGCCACTTCAATGGTCTGACGGTCTTCTACAACGTGTCGTCTTAAATAATCATTGAGGAATATGCCCTTTGGATCCAACTGTTGACGAACACGTAAAAAGTCCTTGAATTTAGGATAAGATGCTTCCAAATCCTTTCTTGTTTGACCATGTGCCTTTAAAGAAATGATCAGAAAAAATTAAGCTATTGAACAAGAGAGTATACCTTGGCCCAATGAGGACGACCATTGTATTCACGCATGATGTCTTCATATCCTTTCCAGTATTTCTTATAAGGAACAGGCTTACCATAAGGTCTATACATGATCACGCCAATATAACAAGTTTTACGTCCATTAGCAGGGCTTAACCAAACATCATCTTCATCCACAAAGCGAATTTCTACTGGGAAATGAACCTTGAGGTCGTTTTCGGTAATGAATTTATCCAATTTCATCAAGGCTGCAGGCGCATCTTTCCAGTCAATGGCCCATTCGTTGACATATTGAGGAAAGAGGCAATCAAAGTTGAAGACCTTGTTGGAGTCATCCACAACATGAATAGGTTTACTATGTAATGTTTTAAACATGAGTTTTGTGAGATAAGGAATTAAAGAGGTTCCATATCGTGTGACATTGAGCATAGCCTGATAGATGTGAAATCCATATACTCTTTCCATAAAATAACTTGGCGAAGATTTATATTTCTCCTTGTCTGTACGATTTGCTCTCCACACAACACAATCATCTGTATGTGGGTACCACCAGATACGGGTGTGCTCTGATGAATGAATGACATCGTCCCAATTTTTCAATACTTTAGAAAACTTATATGGCTTTTGAATAGCCTCTAGCTTGAAGTCAGGTTCAACTTTCAAAGTCATACGAGTGATGATACCCAGAGCACCTAAGCTACATCGAGCTGCTTCAAATACTTGTCTATTTTCATCTGACGAACAAAATAGAATACTTCCGTCAGCTGTCACCAATGTTAAATTGACAATCTAATAAACAGAGCGTTGGTTTTATATCATTATTATTTTGGTGGGGGAATATTTACAAATGTAGACAGACAGCCAAAGTGAGCACCCGTTCCATGCGTTGCAGTAGCCATGACACCAGCGATAGATTGGTCAGAAATAGAGCCAAGGTTACTAAGAGCAAGACCATTTTCTCTTAAAACTACATGTAGTTTATGAAGGGACATACCAGCTTCGACTGTCACCGTGTTGTTATTCTTGTCAACATTCAAGAGAGCATTCAAGTTTTCAAGAGAGATCATGAATCCTGAAGAACATGCTAGATCAGAAGGTGAATGCCCACTGCCGACTGCTTTCAGTGGTTTGTCCAATTTATTTGCCAATAAAATTATCTATAAAAATAAACATTGTTTATAATTTGACAGCTTATTATTGTTCTATGTTTACTTTTTGAACTTGATTTTCTGTCCTAGGACGAAAGAATAATTCAGGTTTACATGTGAACGTATTTGACCAATTTTTAAATGTATAATCGTCTACTGCCACTTGTTGAAGTTCAGGTTCTAATTGATAAATATCAATCGAGGTCATTAGGATATAAGAGAAAAAGAAAGAAAAGAAGCAGATTTACAACACCAGAAAAAATGATCCTCTCCGCTTGAAAACATCATTTATACAACAGATGAGACAATCTCTCACTTATTTGTTGATGCTATTAAAAAATGAATAATTTATTTATATATAAAAATGCGAAAAAAAAGTCTATGTTCAGGCCGTAGAAGTGAGAGGTTGCAAGACATCAAATGAACCCGTGCCTCCTTCTACCACTCGGCCAACAACGATTCTCGAAGAGGGAGAGTCAAGTGTATCAAAGTCACCATGTCTATTATAAATAAAAGGTTAATTCATGTGTTTATCATTATTTATAAAGTAACTTACAGTGTTGCTTCTGTCAAGAATTTACATGTCGATTCAAAACTCATCTTGAGGAAAGGTGCTACATTGGATCCAATACCGATACGAGAGAATGGTTTATATCCACCTTCAAATGTCATATAGTCTGCAATCAACGTCAAGTGACGACGATCCACCACAATACCATAGACAGCAAAGACACTAGCCACTTCCTTAATAATAGCATTTCTAGCTGCCTCAACACCATATGTATTCAAGATGGCAGCAATATCATTGGTATCAATATAGTTAACATCAATAATATCAGAGAATGCCCACATGCCTCTGAGATTGACACCTTCAGTTTGAAGACGTTTCTATTTAAAAAAAAAATGAGTGTTGGTCATTTAATGCCAAATGTACTTACAGAAGTATCGTTTTCAGTGGGGTTAATGTATTCAAAACATTTGGAAATACCCTTGACTTCATGGACAACCACTCTTGCGCAAGATTTTTCAATCAAAGAGATCATCAAGATCTTCTTAGTATCAGCAGGGAATTCCATATCAATTTCACAGAATGCACCATTGTTATCATCAAACTTGAATCGTGTGCAGTATTTACTCTTTTGAACAGCTTGTTCTTCAAGTTTACCTCCTTTAGAAGAGGATCGCTTAGGAGCTTCTTCCTCATCATCAGCACCAGCAAGAATAGCCTGTTCAAACTCTTCTTCCTCATCTTCCAAGCTCTTTTCATTGTCTTCGGGAACAATATCATCTTCATCGGGCTCGTCATAACTTGCCTGTGGCTTGTTCTGTGCTGACTTACGAGCTGTCTTGGCATCCATATCCTCTGCGTCGTCAGAGGCATATCCATCCTTAGCTGCAGCATCACCAAGATCTTCATTAGCATCGTCATCTCCAGGAGCGTCCATCTTGTGAGCTTTGCTAATATCTTCAATCTTTTTGGTATCTTTAATATCTTTACGAATCAACTCTTCCAAATCTTTCAGGAAAGCAGTAGCCAGTACTTCTTTAACACGCTTAGCAGAAACACGATATTCTTCGTTATATTCCTTCTCTTCAAAAAGATTAACACGAATAGAGTATGTTTTGGATCTTTTGTAGTTATTGTCTGCCGTCTTGGCGCTTGTCTTTTCTCTGACAACGACATTATCCACCAGTTGAGCCAATGTGAGTCTAGACGCAGACTTGCAAAATTGAGTAGCCTTCTTTACAGATGTTTCTGGTAAGAGAGGCAGTAACATGGTAGGTGTCTTAATCTTGCGAGCAGCGGTCATGATGATTTCACGAAGACGAGGGATACCCAAGGTGACGTTGGCAGCACCATAACCAGCAAAATGGAAAGTATTTAATGTCATTTGTGTAGATGGTTCACCTACAGATTGTGCGGCTAATAGACCAACTGCTTCACCGGGCTCGACTAAACTGTGAAGGTATTTGAGATTCATCAAGGCCTTAAACTTGTTCTTTGTTAAGCCAGCATAACGAGCTGTGTTCTTTGAGAGTTGAGAATCCTTTTCGAAAGGCATACCATCTGGGTTCTTTTGGATATAGTTCTTCATTGCAAGAGCGAATCGTTCAGAGACAACACCAAGATGGGTACCTGGGTTATACACAGAAAGAGCAGGATCGTACTTGCCTGGCTTCTTCAAAGCCTTCTTGGCGTATTCTTCACCTTGCTTGATTTCAAGTGAGGCTAAGGCAGCCTTAGGATGATATTTCTGAGAAAGAGCTTCGAAATTGTGAGCAGAGAAACCGAATTGATTGATATGCTTAGCCTTGATAACGTCTAAAGAGTCTTCACCATAATGGAACTGTAAGACAGAGCCATCAGAATCACGTACGGTGTGATCGTAATGAACGCGTAAGCCTTCGAGATGCTTGATCAAACAACGTTGCAAGTAACCAGAACGAGATGTCTTGACAGCAGTATCAATCAAACCTTCACGACCAGCCATACAATGGAAATAGTATTCTTGAGGACGAATACCGGTCAAGAAACGACCGGTGACGAAACCACCAGCACGGGCACTGGTATCAAAAGGTCTGAAGGAGGGAAGAGAGCGACCTGAGACCATAAGAGGTACACGACGACCTTCAAGTTCTTGCTGACCAAGTAAACAAGAGATTTGAGTAGCATTGACATTAGAACCCTTGGCACCAGACACAGTCATCATTTGCATATCGTTCTTGGGAAAAGGACGGATGAGACCATCGGGAAGACATTTCTGAGTGATGGAGGAAGTCAACTTGTTTACTTTAGCCTTCATGGCGTTATCAAGACCAGCCAGTTTGTTGTCATCACGAATGACTTCGTTCATACGAAGCTTGAATTCTTTTGAAAGCACTTCAGGACTAGCTGTCTTTGCTGTATCTGCTAAGCCAAGGAATTCCAAGTGAGCTTCATCACCCAAACCGACGCCTTGGTCAAGTAAGTCTCTACGCCATTGATCACCTTCCTTGGTGAGAACCAAATCGTCCATACGACAGGTGAAACCGTGTGATTGAAGGAACTTGATGAACAAACGACTCAAAATACTGAGAAGCATACCAGCGGCTTCAGGACTATAGATTTCATAAACAGAATGAACGAGACCAAAAGCAGATGCACCAAATTGTGATTTGTCCATGACACCATGAATCAATTCACCATCCATAACCAATACCTTATCCTCTTCCTTGGCATTGGGGCCCCAGAACTTGGCAGGCACCTTTGACTTGGAAGTCATGTTCAATTGTGCCTTACCCCAAGTCAAGTTCTTGAGAATAGTCGAGATGACTTGCTTACCAGTCCACAGAGGTTGAGGCTTCATGATGGCAGGAGGTAACATTCTGATCTTGCCGCCACCGGTACCGTCGGTTTCAGGACGAAGAGAACCATAAAGGAGTTGCTGGTACTCTTCCTTGGTGAAGAATGTATCACGAGAACTCATCCATACACCAGAGTCAACGTTATCTTGGATCAGACCACGAAGAGGGTTACCGCTTGTAGGGACCAAGTATTGGTTGTCGGTATTGGCAATAAAGGAAGCTTCAGCACGAGCAATTTCATTTTGAGGAAAGTGAATGTTCATTTCATCACCGTCAAAATCGGCATTATAAGTGTTACAATTGGCGTAGTGCATACGAATCGTCTTTTCTCCAGGTAAAATACGCGCCTTGTGTGCCATGATGGATGGTTTGTGAAGTGTGGGTTGACGATTCAAAAGGAGCATATCACCATTACGCAAGTGGCGGAAGACCTTCTTGTTGATCGTTTGAGTACGTGTAGGGTAAGGATTGTTTCCGCTCTGAGCTGTATGAGAACTTTGAGGGGCCAAGAGTGAATTGGCAAGAGCAATACGAGATTCTATACTGAGATCACCAAGGACATCAATGGATTGATCTTCGTTCTGAACGTGTGTAGCACCAGGCCATTTGTTGGGACCGTTAATGACAGCCTGTCTCATCTCCTTGATGTTGTGAGGGGTGACTGGTTCTGGATAAGTAAGCTTGGTAGCAAAGACAGGAGGAATACCAATCTCGGATGTTTCAATGAAAGGATCGGGAGAGATGACTGAACGAGCAGCATAATTGACACGCTTACCCATCATATGTTTTCTGAATAAACCTTCCTTCTTTTCCAAAGCTTGACGAATACCAGGAGGCAAGTTCTTTCCTTGGGCGACTTGGGTTGGGTTTTTAGTAGAGTCAATAAATGAATTCACGGCATGTTGAAGACCGATAATAGAATCCACAAATCTATTACGTGTTGTCTCCAACATCTTCTTATCGACTGGCTCTTGATCTGAAATGGCTTGCAATTCTTCAGAAAGGTCACGGACAAGATGAGATCCTTTTAGAATGCTGGATAAAAGTTCATTTTGAGGTGATTCAAATGTTTTATCGCCCATGACAGAGGGAGGTCTAAAACGAGTAGGCGCCACTGCCAACACTTCGATAAAGAACATGTGATAGGTGGCCTTTTTGATAAATGAGGGAACGCGAGGATCACGAGCACCAAAGAGCAATGTTGTGATATCTCCTTCTTTTTCAAACAAGGCTTGTACATGCTTACGGACTTCATAAGGGGTTAAAAATCGTTGACCATTGGTAAATCCCTTTATCTCCTCGAAACTGCCAGTTTGGTTCTTCAGACGGTCCATGGCAGCTTGATCTTTCTTGTTGAGAGCAAGTTGGAAAAGTTTCGCAGCTCCATCACGACGAATGGGAGGAGAAATACCGCAACAGTTGGCGCACTTTTTGCTATGAATACATTGTTTCATGAAGTCTCTCATGACTGACTTTCGAACTTCGTTAATGACTGTCACTTTATAATCTTTTGCGGCGAATTTACGGCTTTCCTCATCTGCCAAAGCATTTTTCATGAAGGTGTCGATGTGTTCGATATAATCTTCGACTGTGGATAGCGAAAGTGCTTGTTCTTCCATTCTATCTTCCAACGTCTCATCGTCTTTAGCTTCTGTCTTTTTGAAATCAAGGACAAGCTCGTTCAATGACTGTGCTTCGTTCACTAAACCATGCTGTAATAAAGTCAATTGTGCACTGTATTTTTTCATCTGAGATAATAGTTAGCTTTATACAACACATCGTATATCATATTTACCAAAGCACGAGAAATACGGAATTGATGACAATAGACACATTTGGCTCTGAGAATAGCGTAGAGATTGTCAAAGAACATGGGGTTATATGCTGGAATAGGAATTTCAATATGACCGAAATGGCCAGGACAGTTGAAATGATCTTGTGAACAGGTGGCACAGCTACAGATAAATCGAGTTAATGATATAAGCATATGATTGCTGCTGTTTATTTTACATTTGAGTCTTTTGAAAGGGACCAAGTGCAGGGTCATATAAACCGCCTTTTGTTGGATGACCTAAGGCGTCAAATAGTATGGGATTGAAGATCTGTTTGACAGATATCTTTCTAATCTCGCTGGGTTCATAGAAAGAGAAGGATACATAGTCCACCTCAGTGCCAATAGGAACTGATATATTCATAATGGGTCTCTTGGTGGTTGGTGCTGAAAGAGGACTAAGCTGTTGAAGGTTAAATTTTTTTTCTCTAAAAAAAAAAAAGGGAAAGCCACACTGTCAGCGGATAGACTGCTTTTCTTTTTCATGCAGATTATGGTAATGAACTGATTTCGCTTTGATCTCCGACGAATCTTCGTTTTTATAAAGCCCAATTTTTGCTTTTCTACTGGCCAAAGTTCGTTTTAGTAAAGACACAGTTTTCACCTTTGCTACCACGAAAGTTCGCTTTGGCATTGCTTAATTTGACACTGTAATTTATTCCAAAAACAAAAAAAAAGCAAACAAAGGGAGCGCCCGCTGTAGTAGCAAAACGTAGCGCTACCGCAGAAGCACTAATGCACAGAGACACGTACATAATGGCAGATAATCTAATCATTAACACGAAACTATACCAAAAGTTAGCTACTGTCTCCATTAGACATATCCATACTCATCGTGAGATACAATGCTTGATTGTATATATATAGTTCATAACCTGCATATACTACTTTTTTTTCTCCCTCTCTCTCCTTTTTGCTCACCCTCTTAATCGTGCAATTAGTGTTGACTGTTGCGCCTTATTAAGACTTTTTTCTTTCAACGGTCTTTATTTTTGTTGAACATTACATGCATCAGAAAATAGACTAAACAATGTAAATACGAATTTATCATAATTACACCTGAGCTAAGTGGTATTTGCTGACCAAACTGACACATAAAACTGGAATAAATAAAGAAATAACAACGTTTCTTTTTTATCACTTGTTCTTCAAAAATCTTGTTGACGACATCACAGGTAGTGGGTAGAGGTAGCACATGTAGTATTAATCTAACTTCTGGTGTATTTTCTGATGCTTATAACATTTCCCCATACAATCAAACGGCGCTAATACTATTAGAAAAACCGGAAACTGCTGCGATGACTGGAAATGCAGACATGACGCGTTTGGCTGTGGAGGAGAAAGGTTCAATCCTTCACTTGACAAAAGGAAAGCTCAAAGACGAGATCAAAAGACTTAAGTAATCAAGCAGTCCCAAAAAAAAATACATTTTGTAAAATAATAAAAACTTCCAATTGCATCTTAATTATACTCATACTAATCGCAATTATTACACAAGGCAATTAAGCTATTTTTATCGATATTGTATTTTATAGTCTAAAAAAGATAAAAAACTGAATATGTATGTATATAAAAGGCTTCTCTCTGTTCTCAAATTATTTGATTAACAGAACCAACCATGAGAAGGTGGAAGCTAATCAGGCCCCAAAAAGATGTGATTCTGCTGACCAGATTGGGGTACACTGTGCCAATAGAAGACCCTCCTTCAGACAACGTACTTAAGAAGCACTGATTGCTCTGAAGGAAAAAGAAAAATAAAAATAAACACTCGTTTTGGGCATTGTGAACACATAGAGTAGTAATTCATCTTAAGCTTATTTCATTATCTCCTGGGACTTTTCATATGTAAAAAATATACTTTTAAGTACAAAGCTAAATAAAACGATGGGCTATATTCACTATCAACCATTAGAAGATGCATAGTTGGTAGAGAAAATACTATACTTAGAGACTTGCTGTGAGTGGCAAGCGGTCTTGTCGTATATTTAAAAATGTAGAGGGACCTTATAGTACTACAATGTATTCAGTGGAAACCCTGTAATAATTACAGTATCTACAACTAAAAGCAAATATAACATCGATTTTAGGTAAAATTCTGTCATCAACTTAATTAATGTTGGTTTGAGAATTCCAAAACATATCAAAAACGGACAGTTTGGAACGTAGGACTGGTGCTTTTAGTGTAGGAACGATAATAGGGAATTATCTGAGCTATTTTTGATGAAATAAAGGGATATCGTCATATCATTAGTAATGCTCCTGTCCTTCTCTGCTTATCTGTACTGAATCCGATGGAGCAGTTCTGGGCAGTTGTCAAGAGTAAATTTAACAAGGTAAGTCGCTGAGCAATAGCTAGAACTAACAAGGTATGTGAGGGTTTACATCTGAGTGACTTTAAAGACTTTGTTTCCTATTCTGTTAAATAGTTTAGTATATATTAACAATGAAAATTTATGAACCTTGAAGTACCTTCTTTCACAAAACGTTCGTTGTTCCAGGAAAGTTAAATTTCTACGAATTAGTAGTTTCCCGTAAGTATCTCGTGTGATTCTATTGACGCTGTCATTCGCCGCATCAGTGTAACGTTGGAAGCTTTTACCTTTTTTGGGTATTTTGTGAGAAAGAACAGGGTAGGAATTAAAGCAATTAATAAAGATAAAAGAAGTGATCTTGAGGATTGAATAAGCCCTAACTTTTTTCATATTATACGGTACTGATACACCCATGACCGTCTGCAACAGTGTACAAGATGTTAACCGCTCATGATAGAGCAAACAATGACTCCTTAAATACTAGCAGCATTTTCAAGGAAGCTAATAAACCTTTACCAATGTCATTCCAATATGTATTCCACCCTTCGTTTCCGAGTCTATCTTACTACTACACAATCAATGTGCTTTTCGTCCTTTCTTTTTCATCGTTAATCACTAGTATGCACCAGGCACTGTGCCATTCCCGAACAGCTTCAATAGCTAAATTCACTCTTGAATTTTCTAGATCGCTACATTGCCTCTAGGTTATTCCATCGCTTGACACCCAATACTTCGATGGACCCAGGTTGTTTATAGAATTCCATTCGATTTCTTAAAAAGAACATTGACTAATTGCTGCAAAAGATGTCTACTTATAAATTCACATTGAAATAAACGACTGCAATGACTATAGATAACGTGGACTCATACTACTTTATTTAAAAGAGCACTCTTTTCTGTATGATCCTCTTCATGATAAAATGCAATATCATAACCAGACCATGAAATAAACATATACCATTCCACTTGACAACAACTGACTTGTAAAATAAAATGGAAGTAATTGATATCAAGAAATATCAATGAATAACAGAATGCTCCTTGATTTCAAGGCATGTGGAGCACTTCAACTCTATGTAGAAGAATGAAAACCAAAGGTATCATTATAGATAAGATGATCAACCTCTCTTTGTTATATTTAATATCCATAACATGAACGTGTTTTAAATTTTTAACTGAGTCTTTTTCAGCCAGTAAAAACGATTCAATTTTTATTTTGTCAGCACTCTTCCCCTTCTCTTTCAATCACTTTGGGCAAATAATGACTGGACATGGACGTACATCTTCAGTCGAAATTGAAGAAGAATTAGCACAAATTAGACGTTATGAAGATTTTACTACGACTGGTAATCAAGTCGAGATCTACTCCTTGATACGATCACTCATCGTAATATAGATTGGGTAAAGGATGCCATCATTGAACGATATAGACAAGCAGCAGTGAAAAGCTCTATATCAAGTGATACCACTTGGCGTGCCTGGTGGCATCAAACTTTTGAAACTGCAGAGTCTTGGGTGGTCATATTCTTAGTTGGTAATATATACTCCCCCCCCTTTATAACATGTCTTATCTCTTCTTGTGACAGGTGCGGCAATAGGATTGATGTCAGCTTTGATCACTATTGTTACCGATTGGTTGTCAGATATAAAGATTGGTTACTGCTCAACTGCTTGGTGGCTCAATCAAAAGTTTTGTTGTTGGCAAATGGAAGAACCAGGTTTGAAAAGGGAAGGAAGGGATATTAATAACAAGTTGCTTAAAGAGAAATTTAGACGGAGGTTGCGCTGACTGGACAGATTGGAGTGAATTTGTAAACTTGGGACCGGATGTATATATTGTAAAATGGTTATTTTATATTCTATGGGCGGTAAGTGTGAGCCTGGGGGTGGATGATGAGAATGCAGAAAAGAACTGACGATATTCTGAACAAAAGACAACCTTTGCCACACTATGCGCTTACCTTGTTAAAACTTTAGCCCCTTATGCTGCAGGTTCGGGAATATCGGAAATCAAATGTATTATAGGTATTTAGAAAAAAGAGCATAGGATGGATGCATAAACCTTTCCTTGAAATAATAGCTGGATTTGTGATGAAAGGATTCCTTGGTGGATGGACCCTTGTAATGAAAAGCGTTGGCTTGGTAACAAAATAATACAATATATATTAGGTACATGCGTGTTTATGTAATGTAATCGTTTTTTCTTTTAAAGACAATGTCTGTCGCGTCAAATTTGTCGATCGGAAAAGAAGGTCCATCTGTGCATATGGCCTGCTGTGTCGGAAATGTGATATCTAGGTGCTTTAAGAAATTCAGGACTAGCAAAGGTAACACTGTAGATCATACTTTGTCTCGTATTCTCACTTGTAATAGCTGAAATGAGAGAAATACTGACTGCTTCAAGCGCTGCTGGTGTAGCAGTTGCCTTTGGTTCACCTATCGGCGGTGTTCTATTTGCACTAGAAGAGATGAGTAACGCATTTCCAAACAGGACAATGTGGAAGAGCTTCTTTTGTGCAATGATTGCTACCATTGTCTTGCAGGTAAATCATAACAAGACTATCTCATGTCCTTCTAACGGGATACTAGGCAATGAACCCTTTCAGAACAGGCAAGTTGGTCATGTTTCAAGTGAGCTATGACAGAGATTGGCACTTTTTTGAATATATTTTTGTTGTTATCATTGGATTGTTTGGCGCAAGTATTTCTATCACAGTCATCATACACTATTCTTAAATAGTTTATCATCTAGGGTCTTTACGGTGCGCTTGTCATCAAATACAATCTACTCGTTGCACAATTTAGAAAAACGACATTGAAGGATTTTCCTATAGTAGAAGCTGCCGTTCTTGCTTCTGCCACTGCCTTTATCGCCTATCCAAACATTTTCTTACGTATTGATATGACTGAAATCATGGGAATCTTGTTTAGAGAATGTGAAGGCCCTGGAACAGAGAGCTACTATGGACTGTGTGAGAGCCAAGAAGCATGGAAAATGGTCATACTCTTGTTCATTGCCACTGTTCTTCGCAGTCTAGGTACCATTATCACTTATGGAGCAAGAGTTCCATGTGGTATTTTTGTACCCTCCATGGCCATTGGTGCCATGTTTGGAAGAATGATTGGGTTACTTGTCAAACTATGGCACGAGTAAGGAGCATTGTCTTTTAAGCTGTGGTACGGTTTAACCATCTTTTCTATAGAAACAAACCTGATTTCTTTTTATTTGCTTCTTGTCGACCTGATATGCCTGTAAGAAGTAAAAAAGGGTGTATATAAACGAGGCAGTAGGGGATCTAACTATGTTTTACAGTGTATCACGCCTGGAACCTATGCTTTTCTTGGAGCTGCTGCAGCTTTAGGGTAAGTGATAAAATTTATTCTCTGATACAATGGAATAAAAAAGTCTCTCTTTTTTTTATTTCTTTATCAAAAGAGGTGTTATGCGGATTACAGGTAAACTTTTTGTTGATTTACATCTTTCAATAATTGATCCTTTTTTAAAGTGTCTGTTGTGGTTATCATGTTTGAGTTGACAGGTCAAATCACTTATATTCTACCTACTATGGTAAGTGGGCTTATATGTTGTTAGCTTCTCTTACTTACTATCAATAGATTGCCCTTATGATAACCCGTGCTGTAAACGATTGGTTTCAGTCTGGTGGCATTGCCGATCGTTATATCCGATTGAATGGATACCCAATTTTAGATAGTGATGACCAAGTATTCGGAGTGCCAGGTACACATTGAATTGATAATTGTTTATAAAAGACTGATCATATTTAGTTTCACATGTTATGCAAACAAATTTGACTGTCATGACGGCTTCCAGTATGACATTTATGGAGATTGGTGCGTAAAGTATATGAATACTCTAAAGCATACTTATACTTTTTTTCTTTTATAGAAAGAATATTAGAGACAACAAATTATCAAGGATTCCCGGTTGTAGAAGATTTGAAGTCAATGGCACTCATTGGGTACATTGGACGCTCCGAGCTTCAATATCTAATCGGTAAAATATAATCAAAACTGATCATTATATTAACATGAAGAAATTAGAAAAATCCAAGGTGAACAAGAAAGCTCATGATGAAACCTTGTGTCGGTTTACGCCTGATGCAAGTGATGAACCAGAAATACTGACAAACATTGGTCTGAGCGACGAAGGACAACATGATTTAAGAGGATCTTCTGATGCACTGGACTTTGGTCCATACATGGATCAAACACCGATCACTGTTCATCCAAGACTTTACTTGGAAACAGTGATGGATATGTTCAAACAACTAGGGTACAATCAGATCTTTTCTCATATTTTTACTTTTTGCACTCAACATTGTTTTGTTTTAGGCCTAGAGTTGTTCTCTTGGAGGAAAGAGGGAAACTGAAAGGGCTAGTGACAGTGAAGGATGTGCTAAAGTATATAGCGCACACAGAAAATGTAAGAACTTCATCGAGCAGACCATCTAATAGAGAATGTGGAGGTCTCTTTGAAATCATGACTTCATGGATCACCGATAGACCAAACCGCCGTCGCCAACAATCGTATACACGATTGCAAAATAGAAGCTCAATAGATATTGAAGAATCTCATGAGCTTCATAGACAGGCGTAGTCATTTTATCATTAATTAAATAAACCATGATTCCAATATACAACAAGGCATTACGGAAGAGGGTGAATTAACTTTACAGTCGTTCCAGTGCCAACATGAGGCTTCTTACTTTTGAAACAAATATCCGTTATATTTAGTATTTCCTAATGCAAGTAAGACTAATATTGGTATATATGCTCCTATACTCATCATCTCTCAATCTCGTTTGATATGATTTCATTTATTTCGTTGACATTCACCATTGCTCTTACATACAATATCGTTTTAATTGTTTTATTCAAATATATTTTTCTTTGTCGTCTTTTTACATAAATAATTTTTTTTAAAAAAATACAGTAAGCACTAACCAAAACATCAAAAGTTTTTCTACCTCACAGACTTTTGGCATTGTTGTTTAATTCAGAAGGGAAACATTGTATGCACCAGAAGTTAGACTAATGCTATAGATGCTACCTCCAGATATTACCTACGATGTCCTCCAACAAAGCTTTTCAATCATTTTGGTTTATTTCTTTTCAAGAAGAAAGAGATAAAAAGGAGTTTTTTATTTATACTAATTTTATGCTGTTGCTTTGATCAACAAAGAACCAGGATCATTCACGCGTTACTATGATAAACTCTGGATTTTATACAATTAGAAACGAAGACTTTTATGTACTTTTTATAGACAGCTTTTATTAGTAAATTGTCTTTGTTAAGTATAGGATAATACATACTTAAAGATTGATAATTAATGAATATGTTTCTTTTTTTTCAGTTAACAGCGGTGAAAACTGGGAGGGGGGGAGAAGCAGGAAAAGCTTATATTCTTAATAAGTAGTCTTTTGCTACTGTTATTTGGAAGTACCAAAATTTACTCGTACTATGCTTTCTAGCTTTTTCGCGTTTTCAAACCAACTCCTATTTCACATCAAAGGATATTCCATTGGAAAGTCTAACAAATATAGGAGAAGAAGCGCTCATAGCATTAGCTTATTTTCTGGTGCATGTAGTGTTCCTCGTTGTACTATGATATCTTGGACTTCAGCCAGCGCAAGGAAATAGACACTTCACTAAGGGCTTTCAGAGAAAGTGACTATACGAGCTTTAAAGCTGAATTCACATCGAAGTTTCAAAAAGTAAACGTGCTAGCGTTGAATGATGGCGCAAGCAAGCAAAAATTACTTTGGATGCTGAAAATAATGAAACTGTTTTATATTACTCTCATCCCCTTGGAATTTACTAACAAAGGCACCTTTATTTTGTCATCTCTTCGATCTTCAAAAGCTTGCTATGCGACAATCCTCACACCTGTCTCCTCTTTGGAGAAACGAACTTGAAAGCGAAGGCAGCCAAAGTCAATCGATATTTGGGAGGTGGGGAGAAACGCTTCTCAAGACCAAAGTTTGACCTCATCATTAAAGGCGAAAAGTACCTATTACTAAATAGTATCACCAATGGAGCAATAAAAATAAGTATCCTCAAATCTCAATTACGTGAATCTACCAAGTAGAATTTAATGAAATGTACCAAGGCCAGTAAGAACACTCACGTGTCTTCCTAGCAAGATTAAGAGAAGCCGCACAAATAGCTAAACTTAAAGATAATGGCATCATAGAAAGTAGACTCCGTGCCGATCTATTGCCTGAAATTAAGCAATTTGTATACAAAGTAGCTCAAGGAGCTTAAAGGAATGGTTTACTCACAGTGACAGATGGTGGAATGCACTTAGGCCACACAAGATATCTATAGTTAATCATCCTTTCCTACCAAGGAATGTTAATCAAACTCTCATTTACCAGAAAAAAGATATACAAAACTTGTAAGCAATGTTCAAGCAAGCTATTGCGAAAATGGAACTACCTTCCAGGGCTCTCATCAGGAGCGCAAGCTCTACGAACCACAGTCCTAAACGATGAAGAATTTGTATATAGTCTATCTAAGCTGTATGAACATGGCTATGTATTTGTCCAAGACTTCAATTTTTCTATTCTCGGCGAATCTTCGGCCCTAACACGATCTATGCCAACCTTTTCAAGAACTTCTCTGTTATTAGCCACCTGGTCGAATCAGCACATGTCACTCTTGATGATATGTCCTCTACTGTTGATGAGACTCAAGCCTTACTGGACGATTAACAACAGCAAACCTAGTCTTGAACCCTGACAAGATGGTCTTTGGTCAGTGAGGAGGAAAGCAAAGATTCAAGTCCGCATGTCTCGCCACGCAAAAAGCAAAGAAATACATCAAGTTTTTTAGAGCTTAATGATATAATAAGCTTTCCACCTCAGTTTTCATTGCAGTTAACTTATATATATATATATATCCACTAAATAAGAATCTTTAAGTGTATATTAGCCTACTTAAACAAAGACACAATTTTACTAGTAAAAATAAAGTAATTGCATGTTCAATGTCAAGTTAAGCTGAGTTGATTGTTGGTAACACATCCTCAAAAAGGTAAAATAGATGGATATAAAGAGTATGGTTTCTTTGGCTTAACAAACACTTTATTTAAAAAGATGTTTAATACAAATGGTTTCAACAATAAAATAAGCCTAGTGTCCTCTGTAACAGTAATAATAATAATAAAAAACCAAGGACAATGGAGTATTACGGCTATCTCGTGTAATTTGCAAAAATATAGGAATTAATTGAGTGGCCATTTTGTGTCACATACCTCAAGGGTAAACGTTGCTACCATAAATTCAATCCCCGTTCCATTTTACTTTTTAAACTCTATTCGTCAGATGCGTTCTTTCTTTCTGGTTTTTTATATGCTTGCTTGAACGTCAAAAAAGGATGGACACTAAAGAGCAAGAAGACATAGATAATGTCGCATTTAATACATTTATTGGGGTATTAGTATCCATTTGTGGCAATGTAAATATCTGATAATGCTCGGTTTAAAACGATAAGTCACTTAGATTACCTCTTCTTTCGTAGGCATTGATATCCGTTGCCCTTAACTTACAAAAAAGAGCGGTAAGAATAGAAAAAGAAAGCTAAAAATATAGGATACTCATTCTCCCTTTCTTTATGATAGCATAATAAAATACAAGAAAAACAAATGGCACATTACTTTTCAAATATGGATGAATCTCCACAGTGGATACCATCTAGCGGATTTTTCCCAGATGACGGATACTCTTCACCGAGGTCATCGATTGAATCTTCAGTAACTGTGCCCAATACTCACAACAATAATTCACAGTCTGAAGAAGAGTTCATTGAACGACAGAAATTTATTATGGCTCAGGAGTACGACAAAGGAGATAATACAGATTATTTAAAATCAAAGCTATGGTGGTTGGGAATAACCTTGATGATTTTAGGTGAAGTTGGCAATTTTGTTGGTAAGAGTATAGAAAATATCAGTCAAACACAGGCAAATTAAATGGCTGCTTAGCATACGGATTTGCCCCTGCATCAACAATAGCACCGTTAGGAACAACGACATTGGTATCAAACGCTATATTAGCACCAGTCATGCTTAAAGAGGTATTTAGAAAAAGGGATCTCATCGGTGTCACTTTGGCAGTAGCAGGCGCAGCTATTGTCGTGCTTAGCTCGAATTCTGAAGAAGTCGCAGTAAGAAGAGATATGAATAGACTTTTTTGATTACTAAATAGACGCTTTTGTAGTTGTCGCCTGAGCTCATCATGGATGCAATCACACAAACACAGTCGATTATTTATTTTATCCTTACAGGCATCACTGTTACTATCTTGACCATTCTGTCTCCTACCCATGGCTCTTCAAGTATCATGGTTGATTTGGGTCTAGTAGCAATTTATGGTAATACAGACTCTTTTGTACTTTATTTTCGTTCTCTTATTCTATTCATTAGGTGGATACACTGTCCTTTCTACTAAAAGTGTCGCATCTTTACTCAGCTTGACATTGTTCAAGATGTTTACGTAAGTTAACATATGATCCTAATAACTGTCTCATTCATTTTGTTTTGTCCTCTTAGGTACCCTGTTTCTTACTTACTCATACTCGTTCTAGTCGTCACAGCCATCTTACAGATCAAATATTTAAATAAGGCACTTCAAAGATTCGACTCTACAGAAGTAATCCCTACCCAATTCGTTCTGTTTACGATTTCAGCTATTATTGGAAGTGCTGTGCTCTATCATGACTTTGATGGCATGAGCCTTGAGCAGTTATCAAGGTTCATGGCTGGATGTGCCATTGAATTTCTCGGAGTATACCTTATTACTTCCAAACGACCCAAACGTATGCACCCTGCATTATCCATTAGCGCAGATAGCAGTCATACAGCCATTATGCTACCCGAGCATGAATTGCCATCTGAACAACAACAACAACATCCCTTACGCGCTTCAAAACGTGTTTCTTTAATCTTGCCAACCGTTAATTCATCTTCTGCTCGTGAGGATGCTGTCTATACCCATCCAAGCACACACAGTGGCCATTCAAACCAGAGCACGGTTACGAACAACAGTAATAATAACGCCAGCAAACGTCGTAGCTCAGTGTTTAGGGGTATATCTATGGCTTCACAACTGCTGGATAGAGATGATGAGCCATTTCAATTACCTTCGTCACAAAGAGACTCGGGGCTATTTTTGAATACAACAGGAAATATATTAGCAGGAATTAGTTCTCTGATTGCAGAACATCAACATCATCAACAACAACAAGATTTGCATGATAATGATGCGGTCGAAATAGATATACCAACTTCATTTTCACTTATAGATCGTGAATTAATGCCCATGACAAGGGGAGCAGAGCATGGTGATAAGAAAATATCCAAGCTAGTAGACATTGACGAATAGTTGCATTTATTTTTTATTTTTTTTCTGTCTTCAATACCAGTTGTATCACTTAATATACCTCAAATGTCATGTTTAATCTACTTCCACGATACCAATTCAAGAATAGGTCCATGCACGGTATTTAATTAGTATGAAAATATTAAAAAAATAGTCATTTCGATCTACTCTTTTTATGGAATAATCAATGATAAAAGGTATCAGGAATGAATCGGATCGACGCCTAAAGTTTCTTAAGGAGAAGGAAAAAGGAGTGACCACATATACACATAAAAAAAGCTATTACTGCAAGAGGAACTGTATCCTTTTGTAGACAAGATGAGCACACTTTTCATTTCCCTCTTTAGTAAGATTTCTCGGATCATGTCACACGAGCCTAGAAGGGCTTATTTTTGTTTGTCGGTGGTGTTTTCTTGTCTTTCTTTCTCCCTTTTCATTTTTATTTTTTAAACATGGGCATCCAAGACGTTGTTGCGCGTCTAAACAAATCAGCTGGTTTTGAGGATACGACAATAGCCAAACCAAAGTTCAACACGAATAAGACAGTCATGATCAACAAAGCATTTCCACCTTCACCAGCAACGTCACCCACAAGCAGTACTCAATCTGAACAAAAAGAATTGATTAAACCTAAAGAGATCAAGGCTGAAAGGAAGGAATCGATCCAAAAGGAAATAAAACTGACCAAGCCTGAGAAAAAAGAATTGATTATACCAACTGTAGATATGGACAAGGTTGATTCAATATCAGCAGAGATCGTTGAATTATATCAGCAATTGCTAGATCAATATAATGCATCACAAGAATACATAACCACATTAGAGAGAGAAGCGACCAAAGTACGTGATTATGAGATCAGAGTGGAATACTTGGCCAACAAGCTTGAACAAGTATCAGAAGAAAGAGATTACTTTGAACAACAGTTAAAGCAGCATATGCCACCTTCCCCTGCTATTAGTCAAAAAGAAGTTGTGCAAGACCAACAAAAGAATGATGCATTCATGGCAGATTTAATACATGTCTATGAGGATATCATTGACGAAGAAGATAATGAAGAAGAAGGTGATGAATTGATTATATTTGATGACAACAACAACAACAACAATGATTACATTATGAATCTTGAAAATGAAATACAAAAGGGCATTCAATTGACCATTGCAAAATACGTCAATGACTTGGAACAACAAAGACAAGAGACCAAACAACTGAAGCAAGTGATTCAAAAGCAGGATGAGTTAATAACGACATTAGAAAATAAGTTACAGAATCAATCATTACTAAAAGAGCAAGTCGAACTACAGACGATTGAACTAGAGAATAAAAGAGAATTGCTATCTCAATTACTAAATGGAAGAGACGATCTTTTAAAAAAGAAGAGATCGTCCTCTACATTATCAACTAGTAGTAGTAGTCAAGGTCATTCTAATAGACACAGTTCTTTATCTTCTGGTAGACGCACACCTACCCCCTTGACTGCCCCTCCCAAACAACCATTACCTCCTTTACCTTCATGCTAATTTTGTGTATATAATTTATTACCCCCTCCTTCTTTTACATTATGACCCTATTATATGTGTCATCACGTGTTGTGTATATTAAACTATCTTTAGCTTCATCCCCAAGCTGCTGTTGTACAGTAATTGACGATTAAATGTCCATCGGTATTAAAGCACTAAACAAAGCATTATTTATCTTCTTTTTCTTTCTTTCTTTATGTTTTTACTTTATGAAGATTGGATATTGTTTCATCAGGTGAAGGTGAAAAGGAACTGTTGATGTATAGAAACTAGACAAGTGTTTTTTATAAGCATATATACAAGTTTTTTTTTTTCATTTTCCTTATTACCAATGGATCTGAGCCTTTATATTTAAGTTCTTTCCTTAGGAATTGTATAACTGTTTGAAACTTGTTGGAAGCTGTTAATTTAAATACTTTTTGCTTTAAAATGGGCGCATTTCCAATAGCTTGAAATATGACAATGACTGCAGTAATATTAATAAATAGACAAGACTACTTGTAATAATAACCTTTTGAAGTATCCTTTTCTTTATATTTGTCAACAATGTCTTTTATTTCATCTTTCATATTTGTTTAATTACAAAGAGAGAAAGAAGGAAAGGAAAAACAAAAAAAAAAGCTACACTGGCACAAATAATACTCTTGTGTGTGTTACCTTGTTCTATTTAATTTGTCGGTTGTCTTAATCAAGTTTCTGCTTAATGGATCCACCTTGTCAATTGTTCTTCCCAGTTGCTTATTCTGATCATCAAGCGTAGTATTCATTGTGATGGCCATATTCTTCAATCCTGCAAGAGCGTCTCCCATTAAATCAAGATTCTGGTCAATTTCATCTTCAATGGCATCATCTTCCGAGTCAGCTTCAAATTGATATCGTCGACGATCTGCTTCACTACGTCCTCTACGACCTGCAGATCTAATATTCTTTTGGCCTTCATTCGCTCTATTCGTTTCTTCAATGCGTGCCTTGGTTTCATATTCAAATTGACGGATCCTATCTCTTTCTTCCATGTGCTCTGCATGATCTTGTTGAAGTCTCTCTAACTCTTTCTTCTCTCTTTCCTTTCTTCTGAATGGATTAGACACAACAGGTATAAAGATAGATCGATTTAATTGTCTCAGCTCCTCTGCTTGGTTAGCTGCTCTGTCAGAGTAAGCTTTTGACATATCCAAATGTCTGTTAACATTGGCAATTTGAGCTATAGGATTTTATGTCAATACTTGGCCATGACTGTATCAACTTGAACTTACTCGACTGTTCTCCAAGCATGTTCATCGTATTAGCTGCAGTAGCTTCTGTCTCGTGAAGTCGTTGTAAAGCAGCACGGGTACTGGCCAAGCTGTCTTGTTTGACATTCTTTATTTTCTGCTTTAAACCAGCCACTTCAACTTCTTCATCTTGTTCTTCATCATAAAGCTGCTCTCGGTTATTTTGTCCCAATCTTGAAGATGAGTAGGCATCTTGGCTATAATTGTTGTTTCGTGCTCCAGCAAATAATTCATCTCTGTTACTGTTTGTTCGACTATAGTCTGATGGTGGTGCAGAACTATAAGAAGGAGCAGCAGAGGGGGTGGAAGAATAAGAGGGAGCAGGAGAAGAGGCTACAGAACTGGTGTCAAATGGGTTCGTTGACTCTTCCTTGGCTTTATCCTTCTTTTTCCAAAACATTTTAAAATGTGAATAAAGGGAAAAAAGGAAAGCCAATTAATTATTTATTTATACCCTCTTCAAAAACTAAATTTAGAAAGCAAAAAGGTGCTCTCATGTCCCCTCTTTCATTTGTATTGCTAAGCCCTGTTGTATCATTCTTTTTCTTATTTTCATAGTTTCTTTGTATGCACACTAGCTTAATTGAACAGCTTACTCTTCACTCACCATGGCTCAAATGAATTGGGCTGCTGTGTAGCTTTTTATATAACAACACTTTAAAGGTAAGCAGCATGCTTTCATACAGTCGTCCAGTGTCAACATGAGGATTTTACAAAAAAAAAAAATAGGACTTTAAAATGAAATTTACTATGAAACAGCTGGTTGATCTTAACTCGTGCCATGAAGAGAAGGCAACAGTTCAAAGCAAAAACTTCACTATAAGTGCAAGAGCAGGCCGTTCAATCAAGTCGACTGAATATACGCTAGCTTCAAAAGAACTGTTCTTTCAATATAAAATTCAAACATGTTATATCAGTTGCTGCAAAGAAGAGTGTTTTGCTTGTTTAAAAACCCTTCTCTTCTTTTTCACATCTATCCCAGAAAGATTCGTCCATCATATGCAATCTTTGCAGAATAAAGCTTGACAGCAGCACCAATAGAGGGTGTCAATGTAGCTTAGGTGTCCAAAGGATGTCTTTTGATGCTTTGCTTATCTTCGACTAATATTCTTCAATTGGGTTGAGAAAAGGCAAACTAAAGAGTGATTGTTAATGGTTGGATTAGTGGTGACCACTACTCATAATTTTTTTCAAAAATTCTAATCAAATTTGAATAAAGTAAGTTCTTGTTAAATATAAGGTCTCAAACATGGTCTTCGTATAACAGAACACCTTTGGTGAAATGCGCACGCGATTACTTTCCTTCCTACTGAACTGACCAAAATTTCATCACAGACCCGGAATACTCATGACTGGCATGTCACAATGCGATACTTTACTGCAAACAATAATTGAAGAGTGACTATAAGTGATTGAACTAATATTGCTCTGTTATTTATTCATTCATTTACAACTTATTCCGTAAGAAAGACGATATGTCCATCTTTATATTTGTAGAGAGGATTTACAACCTCTGCCAACTTATAAAATAGCCTATAGAAAGATACATTGCATTTCATACAAAAGAAACATGATTACAATATAACTTCATATGAAGAGCTGATGCTAGTAAAAGCTATTTATTTGTTTTAAAAAACTAAAACAAAACATGTCCAGAGTATGTGAGGAAAATTGAAATCTTCCCATGCAAGTACATGTGCTGAGTAGAGCTATCGAGGCTTAGGAGCAGGGTAAGGTCTTGGAAGAGCAGGCTTGTCGGGTCTAATAGGTGGTACCATGGCAATAAAACTTGAAGTATAAAAGTTAAGATGAAATGAAGAATAAAAAAGTAAAGAAAGATTTATCTTGTTTATATATCATTTGAAACAAAGAGCTTCATAATATCAAATCAATAAACAAACAAACTGTTCGTTTTCCTGACAACGTTCTTTTTAAAGTAACAAAGGGAAAAAAAGTTGTCACTAATAATAGATTAGTACGGATACACTTTCTTTAAATTATAACTAGTGATGCTAAAGTTGACTTTCCTGTAACAAACTATGAGTGACTACGTGATGTGAGAAATAAGACTCTATTGATCAAAATACGTCTAATGACAACATTCATAAATATCATCCGCTAAATAGTTTAGACCAACAATGGATACTAGATTGTGATGAGCCCCAGTAGAGAATAAAAATTGATCAAGATTCAGTACATTTTTACATCACGTCCATAACAGTCTTCTACCTTTTCTTCACAGCATGTCCCTAAACTTTCCATCACTTGGCATAGAATCATGTATGACAAGACGCACTATATTTCTGAGATGTATACTTCTTACCTTCAAAAAGCAGTTATAGCTAATTGTGCCAGAGGAGAAGATTTTGTGACAAACAATCGACATATGGATTTTGATTTATATTGCTGTTAACAAAAACCAAAGGACCATATCCACCATCCGAAAGCAGTACCAAATCATGACACTGATCCCACAAAATTTGATAACCGTTAGAAGATGAGGTTGTCACTAGTAGCGTCTTGCATACTGAACAAATGTAGAGGATGTATTTGTCATATTGACTAAACTCAAATTATTTTAAATAGAATCCTTCAGTATCTTGTGTATTTTCCCCATTTTGTGAAAAAAGAATATATTAGAGTAAAGATGGCATATAACATTAATATACGACCACAAATGACTTTGTTTAAGAGACAATACTTTAACTCATCTTCTCTACTGCGTAATTTGCATGTATGATGCTCTCTGAGCATTAGCTATTATATCAGTTCCCACTTATGGAAAACGTCCCCTTTTTCTTTTTCTAGTGTATTAAAGATACCTTGTACTTTTCTTTCTTTTATATTTTCTTCTTTTAAAAGATATTTAAGTGTACATACGATAAAGAATAATCTTAACCAGTTAAAGTCATGAAGAATGCGAAACAGTTTACAATAAGACTTGATGTAACCTATAACTTGTTTTCATGTAAACAAACAAATAAAAGGGAGTGACGCATTCTTTTTTTCCCTCTCTTTTCTTTTCTCATCGTTTTTTCTTCTTCTTTTTCTCAAACTACTCATTTGATCTTTTGATCTCTTGATCTCATGGTCTTTTGGTAAGTTTTTTTAAAAAAGCTTACTCGGTACACAAGATGCCTTGGTTGTATATGTCCAGGTTCTTCGCGAACGTCTCACTATGGAGCTTATCAGACCCTTTCCTGACAAAATCTGGAGCCCACTCTAATCCCGCTATCCACACAAAGTAGAGGGTCCTTCGGACAGTTCCCAAAAAGTCAGTAGATAGTGCGTCTGTGGCGAAGTTTATGGCCCTTTCTTCAAATGAAGCTTTCATAGTGTGTGCTATTAGCTTAGTTATCTGTAATATGGCTAGTTGACACATCACTGTTGAACATGTTTCAACAGTGTATGGCCTCATTGCTCATATCTTTTGGTCTAGGCGTTATTGGATGGTTTTGTTTTAATCCTAGGTGTTTTTGGTTGTTTTGTTTTGGTCCTAGGTGCGTTGGACTGGTTATATGACTGATACTGATGGGAGAACGCCTGCACTGCGGTATAACTGGTCTGTCTGGAGAAGAGTTCCCTTGAAGGCGGGCGTCCATCTTTGGAACGCCAACTAGCAACAAACAAACTCTTTTAAATTTGTGGGCTATAGGGCGTGCACTGACTTTTTTTCTTCTCTCTTTTTTTGGTACATTTCAGGTAATCTTAATGTTAGCTTCATAATAAACAATAAACTACCTTTTTTTTTCGATTATATTTTCTGTTCCTTTTTAGTAATCTTGAAGCTGAAAGCGTCTCAAGTATAGTAATAAAATTCTTTTCGTAGTACTCACTGATACATACAATAACGAAATAAAGGGATGCACATGAGTCTCTGATCCTTACTTGATATACTAGATATGTTTGCAAACGCAAATATATCGTTGGTACTTCTTTTACATTACGCAGGTAGTTTATTTAAAGTATGTTGATGAAGTTACATAGAAAGAAGTGATAGCTTGAGATAGTGAGAAGACGTCTGTTACTTTATACCTAAAACGTAATAAATAGTGCCTGAGCCCTGTTCAGAGGATCAGCAGCAGACGTTATTATTCCATGCGTAATTTGCCAGCCTCCAACTTGGTTGACTTGTACAAGTACAGCATGCATGAACATACAAATATCTTCATTGTCTACTTGCTCAGCACCACAAATTCGTCCTATTGAACAAAGCAGCCAACCTGCTATGCAAAAAAAGTAGATGAAACAGAGCAACTTAAGGATTGTAGTGCATATCCATCAACTTTCTTTACCAAGGATGCACTCTGGAAGAATGAGTTGAAGCCAGTATCAGTCATCGTGCTGAGAGTAACAGATAATAATCAACGCAGTCAACCATTTATTAAAATACCCATACATAAGCGAAATATGCATCCATAACCTTGTGTCTGATCGACCACTCATAGTCAATGTAAAGTCATCAAAGATAGAATAGGAAAGAATATTATTAATGTGTTCATTATAAAAACTAAAAGCGGATCCCAAGATGTCGACCTCAATAGAAATATTGGATATAATGCATGAACAACTAGAAAGTATGGCACGATTCACTAGTTGTGCTACTGCAGTTCAATCCTACTGCTACTTTCAAGATAACACATTCATTAATCGCGCTATGGATTCACTCTATACGAGCTTCTTGCGCTTTCCATCCATCGTTCACGTCAACATGAAGCCTACTCACTATGAAAAGGAGATGACGTGACGATTTTATAACAAGGGTACATAATAACAAGAATATGAACATATCTAATAAATTATTAGATATCAGGTTGCATACAGGCTATACCGATTTCAGATTTGGCGCATTTGTACCTCGATGGAAATTGCAGGCCTTTTTGACGTAGTTGGGTAAATCTGGTCTTGTCAAGAAAAACGTTCATGAAGCAGAGCGCTATTTTGCGATATGAATAAACCAATACCCGTAGCTATCAAGTAATCCGCCTTATCTTGCCAATGAACAAAAGGTTACTGATTATGATGTTAAATATCCTGCTGCCTTGGACTCTTTTACAGTAAATAATACATCTTTATTCTCTCTTTTCATAATAATAACCATTATATAATAGTATGACGCTGTACGCTACTTGCAATGGTATCTGGAGCAGAATGAACAGACTTACTTTGAAATTGAAGAAGAACCTCCGCTTGCGCATAGAAGTGTTAAATCATCATGCGTCAATGATAAGTCCTGCTGATCACAAGCATGGATTCATATGTTCATTCAAAAAGAATACCATTTGACTATAGGACTATTGCATCAATAGAACAATTAGAGGCCCTTTACGATAAGCTGTCAACAGGCACTGAATGGGTACAACATTCGTATCACCTTACTATAGACTCTCTCCAGTTATTTTCATTAATGTTAATTACTAAGTTATGTCTGACTATGGCTACTTTATGGTCATGCGCAGATTTAGACAAGTGGAAGTACTTGAAGAATTAACTGATAATTTCGAATTGGAAATGTGTGATAACTTCCAATAGCATTCTCTTATGTTGGCGTAAAATAAGAAGAAAAAAGAACAAACAGGGTTACTGCATGAATGTATCACGGTTAATGAGAACTAGGTATGGCATGTCTATGGGAATAATGTATTTTATGGTCAGTTTTTTTATACTTTTCTTTCTTCAAGTAATCTTTTACAAGATGGAGTATTTATTGGGTATCTACTAAAATTAGTAAGGTCAACTTGGTTGATAACGGCATATATATCGCTACCAACTTTAGGTTCTTACGCCTTCCTTCATCAGGGCCTGAATTTAGAAAGACACGCACTCTAATAGAGCGCTTGTTTACACTTAGGGTAATATTATAGATTAATTAAGCTTCCCAAATTTTTCGTTTGCTTAACCCCTCTACATAAAGAAACACCAAATATCTGGCAAACTGCCACACGATACTTGAAAATGAAAAGGTTGTTGCTTCAAAGAGTAGGGATCGAAAGCAGAACAGCAACCGTTCTCCACACAACGAAAGACAAGATCAAGAAGCAAAATTAGATCGCTAGATTCGAACCTGATAGAGCATGTTTGGTCACTTTGAGGGACCTCATCAAGAAAAGAAGACATGAGATAAAATAAGTCCTAGAGTAACGGCTGTTTGGTGGGAAGCATAAAGGCTCAATGTGAAACTGTGATTGAGGCAAAAGGAGGGCAGACAAAGTATGAATGTTCTTTTTTATGTTATATTCTTTCAATAAACAAGCCAAAACTTGTTTATATATATATATAGAATCTTAAAGCACTGAGCAGGAAGTGCAATGGTTTTCCAAGCATTTGATATATAATATGCAAAAGATTAATTTACTGCTCAGTACGAAAATCGATTATGTTTATTCTATTATTCTGTCTTTCTTTTTTTACTGCCTTTTCCTTCTTCCCCGTCCATGTTCTCTGGGAGATCAAGGAACTTGCGAAGACCAAAGATTGTATAAAGATCAGGCACAACCTTTACTCTTGTCACTGGGGTCACATTCACCTGTTTGACAAGCTCATCATTGGATTCAACAGCTTCAAACTTGCTATCCTTTAAGCGGAAAACGGAGATTAAATCGTAGTCATCATTGTTATTAGGATCTACAGCGATCCAGAGCTTCTGTTCGAGGTCAAAGGCAATGTCAAGGATAGGTAAGCGTGTGACGAGAGTATCTTTATATGAGAATGTATCTTCTTTCCATTCCAACACGATACATGCATTTGCTCTAATTACACAAAAATGATGAGTTTTATATATTTATGGTATTTATCTTCCTTTTACTTTGCAAAACCAACTACGAGAAGTTTATCTTTGCTGTCAAAAGTCAATCGGTTAACAATGGCATCTTCAGAATTGGCATCAGCAGCCTAGGGACGATTAGTTTTTTTGTTTTTTTGTTTTTTTTTTACATGTGTATTCATTAACGACACATACAACAGGTTTATAAGGTTCGATTTGTTCTTTGAGGTCTAAACACTGAATTTGCTTGCCAGAGACATACTCCCAGACTCTAATCGTTCCATCACCACCAGCAGATACTAATAAATTTTCGTTCCATGGCAAGATATCAACACAAGTGACAACGCTAAAGTATATTGAGAAAAGGTTCGATTTGCTATGTGATTTATATTACTCTGTATGCCCTAAGCAGAAGGTTTCTATATTGTATCCATTGGGATATCGACTCACTCTGATGTGTTCGTCACGATCTGATGTGATCACGTATTTATCATCTGGTGTCAACGCCATGTCGGTAACCATTGAAACATGGCCTACAATAGGATTCAACTTTTCGTTGTCTTCTTCTTTCATTGGATGACTACAAGCCCGTTAAAATTGCTTATATTTACGTACACAAACATGAATTACCAGTAAACATCACCAAATTTGTCTGCTACAACAACAGTAGTAGCTTTGCTATCGAATTGAAGAGCATTCACTCGTTTGTGTGCAGGTCTACTTAATCTTTAGCCTCATCTATTTTTTAAGTAATAGCCTTTTTTTTACCTTGACAGCTTTAATGACCAATCTTTTGTATCCCAAACACAGATCTTCTTGTTCTCACCTGAAGCAGCAAATAATGACCCATCTTCACTAAAGTTCATACTGCGAAAATCGTCATGAACAGTATCTTTCTCAAGTTTGTCGTTGGAGAGAGACTTTATTATTTCACCATTGCTTTTTGGACAATAAGACGTCTTTTTCTATACTCTTGTTCTATGGTTTATACCTCGTGTTCAATACCAAATAGTCTTCTCCATTAGTTAACACAAGCTCTGGCTTAACTGGACTGTGAGCTAATTTAGTAAAAGGAAAGCGATTTGACATGTCAAATTTTTATTGTAAAGTTGAAAGAAAAGAAAAAAAAATTTTTGTATTAAAAAATTCGTGTTCTTCATGCAATTCTTTTTTGTGCCTTTTACAACAATCATCTTTCCTCCAATCATAGACTGCCTTTTGTTTCTTCAACATTATCAGTTTACACGATAACTGGGATGGGAAAGAATAAAGATAAAGCGATTATTCGCTCCTAACGCTTGAATTAACAAAAGCCTTGGTATTTCTACAAATAAATATTTGATCTTGAAAATGATAAAAATATCTTGTGAAAATAATAAGAAAAAAGCCTATTAAATGGAAACAAAGCGTTCTAATAGAGTCAAAAAGATTATTAGAATGATTTGTTATACTGTTTCCTCTGGTGCATTTCAAGAGTGGTTTTTTCACCTCAATTTAAGATCAAGTCACGTGATGTGCTCGGAATATCGAAACGGCCGGACACTGAGTTTCAACTGCAAGCAAGCAGCGCAGATAGCCAAATAGTTGGGCATATGTAATGGTAAAGAAGTGGAACCCTGACAAGCCCCCTCTTTCATCGTCGTATTGTAAGTTGATTATAACACCAAGGTTGACAAGAGAGACATATGGATGGATCAATGGATGAATGTGTTCAGTATCATTGGATGCAAAACGAAAGATGCACTCTTATCAATAGAATCGACATTGTATCCTTTCTATAATAATCTCTTGTCAAACTTTATATTGTTCTCATGTTAATTCAATCATTTCTTAGAGTATAATATAATGCTTGTCAGTAAGCAGAACAGAAAGGTCATTTACGAAGCTCTTTTCAAGGGTAAATAACACATGACAGCTTTTTATATAAAACATTATTAAACACCCACAAACAAACAATAGATGGTGCCCTTGTTGCTCCCAAAGACTACAATGCTCCCAAGCACACCGAACTTGATGTTCCCAACCTTGAAGTCATCAAGGTTATGCAATCCTTGACCTCCAAGGGCCTCGTCAAGACTCAATTCTCTTGGCAATGGTATTACTATACCCTTACTGATGAGGGTATTGACTACCTCCGTGAATGTAAGTTGATGTCTGACAATATGCAACAATCACTAATCAAACCATAGACCTTCACTTGCCTCAAGAAATTGTTCCTGCCACTTTGAAGAAGACCGCTCGCCCTGCTTCTGCTCCTCGTCGTCCATGTAAGTTATAACAAAAAGATATGTGGAATATGAGTTGCTCATCATTTATCAGTCGGTGGTGACCGTGAAGGCCGTGCTCCCCGTGGTGACCGTGACAACTACAGACGTAAGGAAGGTGCTTCCAGTGACTTTAAGCCTGAATTCCGTGGTGGTCTCGGTAAGTGAAGAAAGCTGTATTAAAAGGAGATATAGACTGATATATTTATGCATCAATAGGCCGTACCAACCGCGAATAAGCTTTTTTTTTTCTTTTGCTAATTGTTAATAAAAGAAAAAAAATCATCCTTTCTTATTATGTTTTATATGTAAATGAGAGAAGTTTGGATAAAAGAGGAAAGCTTTATTAGTTAATTGAAAAGGAATGCTTATTACTTCGATAAAATCAAGGTAAATCGTTGACAGCAAAGTAGTTGCAATGTCCATGAGGCGACTATACTTCTTCTATCTTGACAGAAGTTTGGCCTTTTAAAGATATTCATTCGTAACTAGAAAGAGTTAAAACCACAAGTGCCAATGTAAACCGGACAAGTGTGAGAAAATGCTCTTTTTATCTTTCTGCAGCAGATTAATACTTGATCTAGTTTAAGCTTATTAACTATGTTAACTTTAGCTATAAATGTACGGTGTGAAACCACGATGTGAACAGTGCATTAAATACACATGGTATCTTTGTTTACAAATTAAAACACGACATTGAACGTCCTCCCCCTTCAAAAGACTAATGGTGCTTCTTGGATTTAATGCACTGTCCATGATGGCAATACATTCCTTAACGCCTCGGTAAGTATAAAACGAATACTGCTTTTTTTTTTTATTCATTAGTCTTCTAGTTAACAATATTATTATCATATAACGCAATATGCCCGATTATCATTGGCCATGATTGATTGTAATAAACCTGTTATTATATAAAAAGGCGCTTTTTGTAATAATGAGCCTTCTTTCTTTCTCTTGTTCTCGCAAAAAGGATTATGTTGAGACACGTCGACATGTATCTTTTGTATATCTTTATGATTGCGTTTAGCAGAGGCAGCAATAAGAAACCCATATATATGAAGCGTGAGGATATAAAAGGCTTACCGTTGGAGCTTCACATAGAACAGAGTGTAAAACTACTACCATGAAGTACTCGAAAATAAATTAATAAATAAAACAAATAAGTCAAGGTGAAAAAAATACTAAAATAACCCTCATTCTCTTTAATAATCAACTTAGTAACATCTTTTCATGTGAATATAAGTTCAGGAATGACGAATAAAAGAATTATCATACACTATCAAAAAGCCAAAGCACTTATCCCCCCGACACCATTCTATATATCCCAAGCTATGCATGTTCTGGTCACTGTCATGCCCTTACAAGCAAGTTCAGTTGTTGCTTTCATTAGTATTTTTATACTTGTTACTTTTGTCTACTATTGTTAATAGTGAGCTGCTGTTCATAACTTTTAGAAACTAGTAAGCTTCCTTGCATCATCATTTGGAAGAATAACCAATACCTTCTTTCGAGATGATTCGTCTCTATCCTACGCCGAGAATGATCAAGGGTCTGCCATCAACGACACTATCTACATGCAGACTTAGCAATCAAGGAGGACTGTCAAATTAGGTGCTGACACAATTAAAGGAATAGCTTTTAATGAGAACGCTTTAATTTGTAAGACTGGTAGGATATTCTTTCTTTGAAATAAACTGAAGTTATATTTTTCATCACCACGTTTGCACATATGAGTGCATTATTGTTGCTGTACTGTATCTTTTTTTATCAATTATTGACATTAATTATGTGTATTCATGCATTTTGAGTAGTCACATTTATGCGCAGTAGCCATTTTTGAACGGTTTCTTTTTCTTTTCAAATGTCAGAATTACCAACCCTTACAGAAGAGCAATTGCAACGCATAGCAACTAATAAAGCTAGAGCACTTGAGAAGTTAAAAGCAAAAAGAGAGTTGAAAGAACAAGAAGAGAAGAAAGATGAGAAGCCATTGAAAAGAGCAAGATGGATAAAGTCCTTTTATGAATATGATCTAAGTACTTTGAAGGATTCCAAGGCAGGATTTATTGTAGAAGAAGATACACAAAAGGAAGAGAAGGAAGAGAATCGCTATGTAGCTCAACCATATTATCGTAAAATTTATCATAATTGTACTATCGATATAATAGACTGATACACTTGCTTTCTACCTTTCTCTAGCACCCTCTGCAGATCCATCAGAGAATCCAAAGTGTAAAGAGTGCGGTTCTATAGACCTAGACCCTGTCTTTTTCAATGTGTTTCATATGAATCTGTGCTCGATCTGTAAAGAGAAGTATCCAGAAAAGTACAGCTTGATTACTAAAACGGAGGCTAAAGAGGTATTCATGCAAATCAAAGGCAAGGAAGGCTTTACTCAACAGTTACTTAGGATTACTTACTTACGGATCGTAAGGATCACAATCAGCATCATTATTTTGTACTTATTTTCTAAATAGCTGAACTGAAGGATACGGAGTTGCTTCCACATTGGTCAAAGCCAAACCCTCATAAATCAACATGGAATGATATGATGCTATATATTCGAGAAATGGTAACTTGGTGATTATTGTACATGCCCAAAAGTATTTAGTGTATTAGGTAGAAGAATATGCTTTCAAAAAATGGGATGGGCCAGAAGGACTGGATGCTGAATATGAAAGAAGAGAGGCGCAAAAAAAGGCCAAGAAAGAGAGGAAATTTAAGGAGAAGTTGGCAGATTTAAGAAGGAGAACATTGACTTCGACTAAGGAAAGAAAACGACAGGAAGGACCGCATAAACATGAGTTTGGATCAACAATACGCGATTCTGAAGGAAAGACAGTACAAAAATGTTCAACTTGTGGTTTAGTTGTAGAGACAGAAGAATTATGATATAAGTAAACTGATGAATAAAATGTCCACAATAAGGTAACTGTATTATGCAGTCATTGACAACATTTTATTGTTTACAATTAGCTTCTTTGGGAGAATATCGAGATTACAAATATTAATTGGAAAAATAGATATGTACATGTTGTTGTTATTACTATTACTATTACTATTATTATTATTATTATGGTACATGTGTAGCCCAAGGAGAGTGAGAGAGAATTCGTAGTGATTAACTGATACAGCTACATTGTCCATCCATACAGAATCCTATTAAAGTTGAAGACATATCTTGACAAAGAGCATCACACGATTCATGATCATCATCATCACATTTTCCTATTTCTGATTTTTCTGTGCAGTAGCATTTATTGAATATACATGCACCCCTTCCTTGTACCATTTCTTGACAAGCAAACGCACAATCAGATGAGTCACCTTGTATCTGACAAAGGTTATAGTCACTAAGATCTAATGCTTTTGCATGTACAGTTGTGGTGAATAAACAGACTAGAGATGTAATAATAATAAACGTCTTCATTATTAA